ATGTCTGATTCTGTATCAGAACTGTCAGTCACCCGTGGCGTATCATACGCCGCTATTTAGTTGTTTTATTTTCTACTTTTCAGTTATTCATAATTTGTGAATTCTACAGTACCACTGCTGTCACTGAAAATATTTAGGCCGATGCTAGCCGGAATAAGGTACGCATGCGCAATGGAGAGAAACTACGACTTGCCTTCGCGCCGATGTTGTCGATGGTACTGCGCATGCGTGTGTATACAACCGCAGAACCCTAACACTAACCCTAAGCCTAATCCTATCCCTAACCATAGCCCTAATCCTATCCCTAACCCGCTATCCCTAATCCTACCCCTAACCCTCATTCTAGCCCTAACCCTAGCCATAGGTCACTTCGAAATATTTAATATTTACTTTAAAACACTATCAGTAAGTCGTTAAGGATGATAACCCCCCCCCCCCTCCTCCTTTCCCCCAACCCCTAACACCCCCCCCCCCCCCCGTGAAAGCAAACCCCTCTTAGCTACCTCCCCTAAGTTTAAAATCGTTTCAAACTAAATTATCTGCCCCTAATAGCCGTCACTAAACCCGGCTCTACGATTGTAAACATTTAGCGTGAACCACAGCTCACCAGACTTCCTAGAGAGGAAGAGAGAGGACTGCAAGGCGCGTTTACAGCTTGTTTTCTAACGTCTCCAAGAAGAGAATTATATATATAGATTATTGGCAGTATATGGCCTAATCCCAGGCCTAATTTAAAATTAATTATAACTAGATTTCTAGATCTAGATAATCTAGAAATCTAGATTTTAATCTAGAATAATCTAGATTATTCTAGATTTAGTTTTCTGTGGTTATAGTGTAGCTTAACAATACATGTACGTTAAAAAATAATAAAATAATTTTAGTGACTTTAATTGTCAATCTTCCTCTTTGTCCAGTCCCTAGATGTGTATTTTGCAGTCACCACAGTCTTCTTTAGTTAGGAAAAGACTCCATTTCCATCTTTGTAACCCTGTTTTGCATTCCCTGTGGGTTTTCATGTGCCTTTTGCAATCTGTGCCTAACCCAGCACCATTTCCAGGAATTTCCTCTTTATCTGCAATGTTGTGTGCTCCTGTCTTGTCTGTCTCTGAAGTTAATTATTTAATTAAGTGGCTTTGCAGAGCAAACTGCATACCACCACGCCTCCTCAAGGCCCTGGGCTAGGCAGAACAAATATGTATGGGCATGGGCCATACGCAATCATTCTTCGCACATCACATTCAACTTTTCTGTTGTGATGACTTTCTGTTCGTGTGGTTGAAGTGGTTGTGCATCAGGCAGGTTGTTTTTGTGGCATGGGTTCCAATCCTATACTATTGGCTCAGATTTTTTATTTAGCTTTTTTCCTATTCTTCTTTGTAAATAAAAGCTTTGTTGAGTTTTATAGGGTTAGGTTGAGGCATTAAGGTGGGTTTTTAGGGTTAGGGAGGATTTACTGCGAACTGTAGTACATCGAAAACATTGCAATGAAGAGAGAAAAATTTTTCCCTACTTCCGCATGCTTAGTTTGTGCTGGCTAGAATAGGCTATTATTTTAATATTTTGTGACAGTTACTTATACTTTGTATGGCCTCAGACAGTGGTGGCCTTGTTGCATTGAGTTAAAAATAAACTGAAAACAATAATATAAACAATCTCATTTAAATAGGTCAGGCCATATAGATACATAGTGTTGTGCCTGAAAAAAAATTAATAATTATCATGATCATTAGAGACAATCATGTAATGATATTACACATTTCCTATAAGATGCTATAGCATTATACATTTTTAAATGATTTATTTTTACTATTAAAGAAACAGCTTCATTGTTTCAATACCATCATCCCTTCTTGATCTAAAAGTTAAACTTTTAACCCTATTAGTACATTTTAAGAAATGCAGTATTCTGAGTGGTGGGGGGAAAAAAATCCATTGTGGTATTGGCCTTATATGTTGTTGGTGGATGTAGGGAACGAGGCAGTAATGAAAGTAAAGGTTGAGGACTGGTGTTGTCAAATTTAACAAATGATGCTAGTTTTGTCTATCATCATACAATTGCTGAGCTATGCAATTCTTGTCTTGCTCAGATTACATATAACTATTGAAATTGACACTTAAAACATTGAGTTCACGGGCTCCTTATAAATCCTTATAACAGTTTTTTTATAATAGTCCTGTAACTACTAATACTTGAAGATTTGCCAGAAATATGTGTAATATATTATAATATATAGTACTTATTTAGTTGAACAGAAAGTTTCAAAATCCCTCTGCATGATTGAGTACGTTGAAAATGTGTATTAGTGTATTTATGTAGTTTGACATATGTTGACATAAACTGATGATAAACTGTTGTTTACATTGAAACATGTCATAAAATATCCTTTTGAGAATATCTTCTTTAAAAGATGGCTGTGTTTTGGCCCATTTCTGCTCCATTAAAATAAATCTAGGCTAATTCAGCTATTAAAGTTATTATCTTTATACATTTACAGGATATTATAACTAGATGTATGTTCCTTATGATTTTTTTCATAAAAATTATTTGCTAGTATTTTATCACTTCAGTTGAAACTAAGAGAGACAACTATAGGCAAATTATTAGTTCATTTTTAGATGTATTGAAATTTTAGTATGAACGATGTCTGGAATTTAACATCAAATAAACCGGGAGTGATCTCCCCTAAACTTTCTCGAATATTCAAATATAACACTACGGGGGATGGCAACTCGGGATTAAGACTTCTAGACATGATTTTTAATCCATTTTAAATACTCAAATTTTTAAAAATAAAATATAATCTCGTAGAAAAAAGAAATGCACACCAAGTGAACGCTAAATAAAGATGTGCATAATAGTGCGCAATATTATTAGTACTTTATAAATTTACATGCGTTTTTTGAGAAATCGGAAATAGCGTAAATAAGTACTTCCGGTCAACGGAAATTACTCAAAATTTGACAGAAGGTAGAGAATTAGATCTTTTACTTATATATCAAATTTCATTTATCTATCTGAAATAGTGCTCAAGTTATAGGCTTTTGAAAAATTCAAAGTAGAAAAAGTACCACTTCCGGTTATCGAAATTCGCTCAAAAGTTGATACGGATCTACGATTTTGATAAAATACTTATATATGAAATTTCATCAACCTAGCTGTAACGGTACTCAAGTTATCGTGTTTACACACACACACAGACACACACACAGACATACGGACAAGATTGCAAAATTATGTTTTTCCGTATCAGTGAGGTGTAAAACGTCGAGATTTGTAAAAATCTCGATTTTTTTTTGCACGATTACAATACTTTCTCTATACTTCGTATATACGAGAAAGTAAAAAGTAGTACAGGGTACCAGCAATATTACTGTTCTGTTCAGTAGAAAGCTTCTAACTCCAAGATTTAAAAAAAAACTGTAACTTTGTCAACCAAATGTATTATGTAATGAAAATTCTAGTCCATCTAAAAAATAGTCACAAGTTTCTGTATCATAATCATCCATTCAGTTGGTTTAAGAGATAAGTCTATTAAAAGTTATTATAATTATCTTTTTCCCCCTAAAAATACATATTAATAATATTAATAATTTTACATTTGTTTTTTTAACTTACTAATATCATTAAACACAAGAATATAAATTTTTAACCTAATTATTAATTAACCTAATTGAATCTAATTTTAACCTGAAAACTTGATATAGATGAAGAAAAAAATTGAATTTGTAGATCATCAGCTCTGTAAATTGAGTTTAATAGCGTAGTTTGAAACTTCCTTTCCACCATTTCAACATACCCTACTTTCTTTAGTATTATCTACTTGGTTTATCTACCTGTTATCAATCTTTCCATTGCATGTTTCAACACAAATATTGATTTACAATTAGTAATTGTAAATTTTACATAGAAGTAAGATATTTTTAAAGGGGTATTATGATTATATGCTGCTGGACATGTATAGTACTGAGGTTAGAGAAACTGCTTTAACTGTACTTCATCTGCCTCATTAACCATCTTGCCTGGACATGGTCCTTAGTGTATTTACTTTGAATATCAAGAAAGTTTTTAAAAAATCCTGTGATCTAAATCCTCTTAGTATTTTCACTATTTTATATTGACATTATTTTCACCACCTAATGCAGGCACTTATTGTGTAGCATTGTTCAAATCTGCCTTTTTATGATGTTTAAAAATTAGGTTTACATTTTTATTTTACAGATGATAGTTCATTGAAATTATTACAAGAAAATTAGCAATTATTTTAAAAGAAACATTACTAAAGTTATGTAATTTGTAGACAGAATGTATGTTACAAACTAATCATTTTTAAAAATAGGTCGGATGTCCAAAGATTTAACTCACAATTTATTTCCTTCTTTTCAAGTCAAAGAAAATAATAATTTAAATTATTACTAGGCGTCTTGGTCTTAAGCTTTGGTTGAGTGATATTAGCCATATGAATTGATACACTACCAACACTCTGGAATATTTTAGTTTTTTTTTTAAAACATCAAGTCAAGGGCTCAAGTTATTATAAAATGTGAATACATTGTGACATTTAGAATAGAAAGAAAAAGCCTTCACAAAGAATTCTGTCTGAGTACTTACATTTCCCATGTTATAAACCAGTGTCTGCTCTCATCGGTTCATAGAAGAAATTTTATGATGCATATTTAGTGCCAGTATTAACAAGGCTATTTCATCTTGCATGTTTTGTTGCTGTTTGTCATCGTGTTCACAGGCTGCTATATGATTATAATATAATTTGAAACTCCATGTTAAACTCCATCTTAAAATATACATAAAATAATTGATACAGTTTAATTATTTAAAAACTATTTTTTTGATAAAATATACTGTACTATATCTTGTAATCATAGATCACTAGAAAACAATATTTTTATATGGCGCTCAAAATAAAATGTGATGCATGCATTTTTTTTTAATTACTTCTTTTATCACAGTTACAGTTTGGTTTTCTTCTTTTGTTTAACAGGCAAAGATGAGAATGCAATCTTGTATGCCTTCAGTTGAATGTGTTATAGAGAGTTTTAACAAACACACAATGACTGTTTAAATCTGACTTCATCTTTATGCGGACATAAAAACGAGTCATAACTTTGTAATTGCTAAAGCAGTTATCAAATGCTAGTAGAGGCATCCTTGTGTCTTTACCTACATAGTACCCATGGCAAGCAGTGGTAATTTACGGCCTGACAAAGACAAGAAATCCAAGAAAGGCTCCCAATTTTTTTCTTTTGGGGCGAAGAAAGATAGTGAAAAGAAAACTTGGTTTCCTTTTCCATCTTTTTTACCAAAGATGCAGGTGAGGATTATTAAGTCAGTTATGTTATGTATGTTTTGTATGTTGTTTTTTTAACTCTACAAACATTTTTGGAGATTCATTTCAGTATTTGTTACTTACCTGTGCATTAGATTTTAGTTAGCTATATATGTATGAGTGTATTCATATCTGCTCTGTACTTGCTTTATGACATTTTTATTATGGTGTATTATCTATTTTAAACTGTTTTTTTTTTATTGTAATAAGCTCATTAAAAAAAAATTTGTTGTTATAAAAAAACAATTTTTTCTCTCTCTCTATTTTAACAAATAAACTTCTTTTGTTTACACTAGTGTTAAAAGTATTTCCCTAGACTAAGTGGAGCAGTTTATTGCCTTACTTTTCCTAACAAGGAAATAATTTGTCCTTTTGTGACATTCTTTACTAAGGCATTCATGTAATAAAGCAAAATTTTATTTGTAATTTTGTTTCTATTTAGGCAAATTTTATTTTAGGAGCTGTGTAAAAATAATCTTATTTCAAATGTTACATTTTATAACCTATTAAAGCTCAGTCATTTTTGTTTGCAATTCTGTAAACTTCTAAAATTCAAGTGTGTAAAGATTTTTAAAACCCTCTTAAAAGGCTTTGTTACTGAAAATGACAAATTACAATAAGCAGCTGTAGGGGAGGGGAGGTGATGCTGCTGCTGTCACTCTAATTTATTCCCTCCCCTTACTTGTAACTACAGAAGGGAAGTAGTGTCAAGTTGTAAATGAGAAGGTCAGGCTGTAATCAAAGTATTAACAAAAGTAGTACCTGAGAACTGGTTTAGGTGAAAGAAATGGGATGTGTAAAAGAAGGGACACTAGAGTGGGCTTAACACAGAGAGAAAAACTTCAAGTTTCATAATGGAAAAAAAAGTTGAGGTGATTAGATTTTTAAAAAAATTGAACTTTATGTTCTGTTTTTGTTTTATTTTAAATTTTCTTATTTCTTTTTAGGGACGGGGGCGCTTTCAAGTATCAGCTAGTGAGTTTAAAAGTTTACCTCCAGCAAAATGTCTCAATCTGCCTTTACAGCAGAGGATTTTAGGAGCAATGGACTTCGAAGAAGAGGACAGTGTAAGTATTAAAATAGTTTTTACAATCAGTTTGGAATCTTTTTATTATCTATTATGAATCTGAGTAAAAATTCTGTCTAGTATAGAAAAATAAAATAGAGGTGCATTAATTGTTATTATAATCTGCCATCCTTGTTGATTCTTGTTTTTAAACTATTCTATTCAGAACACATACTTGCTATTTTAAATACTTGCATTTACAAATTATGATACTGTAGTCATTAATGTCAGTTAATGCATGCAATCAGACTTAAAAACATAATCTCTTAATAATCACCAACATTTTTGCTGTTATGATACATTTGTTCTACTTTAATAGTCATTTTTTAACTCTAGATTTTCTATATTACATGTTCACAATGTTTAACTCAAGATTGTCTATATTACATGTTCTCAATGATTTTGTTCTAGAATCGCAAAGTTGTCCTTGGCATCTGTGCCATGGCTAAGAAATCACATTCCAAACCAATGAATGAGATCATACGACGGCTAGTGGACAATTTTGAGAGGCTCGAGGTAAGCTCACTGCGGCTGTTACATTTACCGTAGCTCAAAAATTTCTCTTACAAATTTACTAGTTATTGTAACTTGTTTGTATTTGTTTTTAAACTGTTGTTAGTGCTACCTAATAAAACTTAATGTTATTTGTTTTTGTTTTCTTGAATTGCAGGTGATTGTGTTTGATGAGGACACAATTCTGAACAAGCCAATTGAAGAGTGGCCCATAGTCAATGGATTTGTTTCTTTTTTTTCTCATGGCTTTCCTTTAGAAAAAGCCATTGCTTACAAGAATCTCCGTAACCCTTTTATTGTAAATGACCTTGAAATGCAGTATACTCTGCAAGACAGGCAAGTGATTAAAGTATTAATTTTAAGTTGGTATTTTTTTTTAATTAATAAACAAATAAACCACCCACATTGTGGTCAAACAACTTCTAGTTTGTTTTTAAAATTGAGAAAACTTAAATAGTTCTATTTTTTTAAAGTATTTGAGAGTATGACATTAGTTCATAGTGTTAGAATTGGGCATACTCTGAAAATAAAATTAAAAATTTGCAAGATTTATTGATATTCTGAATTTGTATGCATTTTTAGTTGTTATATGCTGTGTTCTTATTTTGTTGTTCAGTAAAATTATATTCTATTTAGACGCAAAGTTTATGCAATGATGAAGGAAAATAACATCCCACATCCAAGATATGCCGTCCTAGACAGAGAGAATGATCCTGATTGTAAGCTTTCATTGGCAATACATTAGGTCTAATTAACTTACTTATGTGATATTAGTCAAAATAGATTACAACAGATTTCTATTAACCTATTTAAAAACTATTGTCTAAATAGATCTTTGTGTGTTATTTACATGTTATTATTAGCTTTCTTCAATGCTTGTTTGCGTTACCCTAGGTCATGTCCTGGAGACAGAAGATTCTATTGAAGTCAATGGCAATTTATTTATGAAACCTTTTGTTGAGAAGCCAGTTGATGCTGAAGACCACAACATCTATATATATTTTCCTGTTCAGGCAGGGGGTGGAAGTACTAGGCTATTTCGTAAGGTAAATACTTCTGAGTATGTGAAAGACAGCAGTTACCAGACTCTCTGGTGTAATCTATAAATTATTGATTGCTTGTTTAAGGAAATACATGAGGATTAAATCTCAATTTCCAGGTGAAAGATCGCAGCAGTGTTTATTCTAGATTCTGCCGTGTGCGCAGCAAAGGTTCCTATCTGTATGAAGATTTTATGCCAACTGATGGCACAGATGTAAAGGTAGTTAAATAATTTAAGTCTTATTTTTTAACTTTTTAAAGCATGTTTACACTAAAACCTATGGCAATGTATCTTATTGCGCAGGGTTTGTTTTACAATCTCAGGAATAGCTTATTCATTGTTCCGTGTTCATTTTACAGGTGTATACTGTCGGTCCTGACTATCAGCATGCTGAGGCAAGAAAGTCTCCAGCACTTGATGGGAAAGTTGAACGGGACCAAGATGGGAAAGAAATTCGATACCCAGTTTTATTAAGTAACCGGGAAAAAATGATTGCTCGTAATGTGTGTAAAGTTTTCAAGGTAACTTTTTTTCTTTCAATCATTTTTTGTACAAACTAAATATATCAAACTATGGATAAAATTAAATTAAAAATTACTTTTCCTCCCAGCAAAATGTATGTGGCTTCGACTTGTTGAGGGCGAATACACAACATTATGTTTGTGATGTGAATGGGTTTAGTTTTGTAAAAACGTCCAGCAAATATTATGACGACTGTGCTAAAATTTTAGGGTAAGTTTACAAAAATAATTATTTGTAAGAAATATATAAGTTAACATCCCAAGCAATTAACACAACAATAAATTGTTTAATCCACATTTGATGCTAGGAAAAAATACTTGGCCATGTTTATCTGTACTTTAATTGTATCAAAGTAAAATGTGCTTTTAGACATGATGATTTCTAGGAGCAAATTAAGTAGTTTACCTTTTTGTAAAAGAAGGAATTGTATGGTCAGCACCATGCCTAGCCAAGTAAATTGGTTAAAATGGTATCTGTATATTATTAGCTAAATCATGTTTTAAAATAAAATACTTTTGAATTTTTTTATTTAACATGAACTTTATTTCCTTAGAACCTTAGTGATGAGAGCATGCTGCCCCCAACTACATATACCTTATCCAATGTGTACAGCCCCAGAAGACATTCCAGTTGTTCAGACAACATCCGGGTCTATGTGAGTCGTAAAACTATCATTTAATTTTTTAATTCAAATAATTCACCTTAATTGATTGAGAATGCTCAGAAGGATGCTATTGCCAAGTAGTTGAGTAGGTCATTATGACTGACAGGCCGTGAAAGAAACCTTTTTTTGTTAAATAGTTCCTAAACAAATGAATATGGGTTTTTTATTATATTTATATTCTTCACATTGCTGAATCCATTTTAATCAATATGGACATGTGTTTAAGTTACTTGAATTGAATGAACTCTTACTAGCCATATACTATATTATATACTTTTAGTTTTGTTTCTGTTTATTAAAAACTGCTTTTTCTGTAACCATTTAACATCAAATATAACTTCATGATTGCAATCTTCAGGATGGAATTGAGATGTGTTATTGCTGTCATTAGACACGGAGACAGAACACCTAAACAGAAAATGAAAATGGAGGTTAAAAATAGAAAGTATGTAAAAAAAAACCCAATGTTTCTATGTGCATATAGCTTTGTCAAATTATGATTACATACTTTTTTGTTTAAGGGAGGTAATTAGATTATATAATATTTGCTGTTAGCAAAGAATATAGCATGAAATTTTTTTTTTTTTAAATTGGGCTTTTCTTGCAAAAAGCTTGGTATTCACGTTCATTTAATTTTAATATTTAAAAAAAGCCTATATAAAGAATGTAATTTTTGTTTTAATTTGTGATCTCATTAAAGATTTTATTGATTTCCTTGTAACCACAGGTTTTTTGATCTGTTTGAGAAATACGGTGGCTATAAAACTGGTCACTTGAAGCTAAAGAAACCAAAACAGTTACAAGAAGTCCTTGACATTGTCAGAGATTTGCTTGCTGAAGGTCAATACAATGCAGACCCAGAAGTGGCAGAAAAGAAAGCAAAATTAAACCAGCTGAAGCTTGTGTTAGAAATGTAAGTCACCCTTCCGCACCTCTATTTGCTTCCATGATCTGCTGCATATGTCTACTATTGGCTTATTTACCTGATAACATATATATTTTTAACTTGACAGCCTAATAGCCTAGAATTTTTTGAAGAAAGAGACTGTCTTAAATGAATTGAGAATGCCTTTATGTTAAACAAAAAAAAAACAAGAGATTAATTTTTCTACAAAAATTTAAAACTTTTATAAAGATCTAAACCAAAGGGTAAAATGAAGCAGAAATAAAAAATTCTGTTAAAAATGAATCTATATATTTAAATAACATTAAAACAAGGGTTATTGTGTATGAATTATTACGTCAAAGATACATACCTGTTAAATACAAATTTCTTTAATCCTTAAAGTACTAAATAGGTACATTATGTACTTCTGCATGCAAGTTTCAAACTATACAAAAACTAACCTCAATTATCCTACCATTATCTAAAATTGTAATTGGTGAGTAGAAGATGGAATGTTTTCATTTGATTTTTTATCCATACAGGTTTGTACTGTACAGGGCAGCCTTCATTCCCTTCCATTATATAAACCTTCATTTTATCTTTTTAACTGAATATTGTAATGCAGGTATGGCCATTTTTCTGGCATTAACCGCAAAGTCCAGTTAAAGTACCAGCCCATGGGTCGGCCAAAGAAATCATCTAGCGAGGAGGGTGTGTACTGTTTGTAGAAATTTATTTCATTTTTATTTTTAAAATTTTTTAATATCTTGAGCTTTTTAATTCAGGCCCAGGTGTAATTACTTTCAAGTATTCAGTATTTTTTGCTTTTCATTTAAAAATTTAATCAACACTTTGAATTTTTTTTAACACAACACTATATTCGTCTTCATTAACTAAATTTGTCTTGAAAGTGTGTAATACATATAGGCCCTACTGCATTTTAATGCTAATATGAATGCTATAACATAAACAAAAACATATGCACAAGTAGGCCTAAATAAATAATTTTTCGCAGCACGTTTGCTTGAATATTATCTTGATTATCAACTGATAAAACATAATCTCTGGTGCATGTTACAATGTTTCTACTTGTTATTGTATGTCCTGTGGCTAAACCATTTTTGTTTTTAATTGTTCTGTTTCAAATTTATATACTACTATTGTCCTCTTTTTTGTATAACACTTAGTTATTTGATGGCTGTTTTTTTTTACTATTGTACTATTTTATAAATGGTAAAAACACATCAACACTTTAACTTCCTATCAACACTACTTTTTTATTGTTTCAATAATTTCCAGGTGATTTTTAAGTTTTTGTTGTTTTTACTGCATGATAAAAAAATATGCTAACAATTGTTGACAGCATGATCAATAATAAAGTATAGATATTGATTGGTATAAAGAATTTTATAAAGTATTTTAAATAGTAGTTGGGGTAGAAGAAACTATTGATATTAATAAAGTACCACGTCCATCCAGTTTTTATAAAGCTTGTATACTTGCATGATTTTGTATTTTATTGTAAATAATAATTTCATCAGTTAATACCAGCTGATGGTAGAATAGATATTTAAAAAGCCATTAGTGTAACTGTTAATAAGAATAAAATCATAATAGCTGAAAGACAAAAACAATAAGCATTCAGTGGTTTTTAAGTTCCTGATATAATGCACAAAATAATACATAAAGTCAAATATTATTGAATTTTTATTCACCAAACATAATGCACGGAAAATTATATAATATAAATAAGAAATCTAAAGGAAATATTCAGGAGATGGCCACCAATCATATATTTAACACACACAAAAATCGTAATCAAATTAAAAGCTTATGGTCATTGGATATTAATGGAAGGGTATAGTCTAGTTAAACTAGTATTTAACTAAACATTTTTATTCTTGGTTACATTTTTATACACATATTTGTACTTTTTTTTTGTTAATGTTGCAGTTTTTCATATGTAAAGTTTCAAACTGAGTTTTAAATTATAAATGCTTTGCATTAGTTTAACATTTAAAATGTTTTAATCATGGCAAAATTTGATACTAATTTTAGTTAGCAAAGACTGGTTGCCAGACAGTTATTCCCACCTGAGATGTTTTGTGATGTGTTCAGTAATTGTATTCAGCATTTCTCTCTAGAGTAGCTTATTAATCTCTTCTATTTCTTCACTACACTCTCTATAGATGTCAGCGATTCATCAGAACAAGGGGTGGCCTCCCCTGATGAAATAGGTTTGTTCACATAGAATCCATTAACAACCTTTGTGCATTATATATTTCTGTTTTACACCGCATTGTATTGCTTTCTCCATTGTTTCTTTTTGTAATTAAATTTACAAAATAAGCAGTTACAGGTTATTCATATAAATTTCTTAATTTAAAAAAAAACACCTAAAATATTGATGGGTTTATGTTTAGAAATTTAATATTTTAATTTTTTTTTGGTGTAATCTTAGTATTAATTTTCTGATAAGTATCATGTTTCAGTTTGTTTTTGTAACTGCATTTTTTTCTGGCTTTAAATAACATGGTGGAGGTTAATATATCTCACTACTGTAGTAGCCTTTTGCATTCATTGTCTTTCTCATTCAGTTCAACATTTTCATGTGGTGTTTTGTTGATGTTTCTTTTTTTTCTGTGTCACTCATTTTCTTATGTTTAAAGTTCAGCTAGTTTCTCTGAATGTAGTGTGTGCGTGTGTGAGTTCTGTTGCAGCTTCTATCTGGTCAGGTGTGTATGTGCAAGCTAACATGGATGTATCCGGGGTTTCATTAGTTATCCACATTGTTTCTATGATCCTGGTATTGGACTGTTGCATGATGTAGTTAATCCACACAGAAGCAGATGGTGGTGGCTGCTAGTGTAGATATTGGGATGACACTCAGTGAATCCTTCCCCACCTTGGTATCATTAGATTCCATAGGTGGGAGTAGAATAAAAGAAAATTGAAGAAAAAAAATATGAATTTGGTTTTTTAATAAACCCTAAAGTTTTGCAAATTAATAATTCATTTTTTATGCATGTTTACAAAGCTTACAATAAATTAAACTTATCTTGTTAGGGAAAAAATCTGTTGGTGAGGGAGGCAGCTTATATGTTAGAAAAGAGAATATCATTTGGCTTGTAAAAATGGCCAGAATAGTGAATATCATTTGGCCTGCAAATATATCTAGAATAGTGAATATCATTATGCCTGCAAATGTGGTCAGAATAGTGAATATCATTTGGCCTGCAAATATAGCCAGAATAGTGAATATTATTTGGCCTGCAAATAAATCTAGAATATAATTTGGCCTGCAAATATAGTAAAAGTCAAATAGCACAGGGCTGTAAGTTTTTTTTGTTACACTGCTTCGTTACTAACTGCCACTGTTTATTTTGTTGCAACTTCTTTTTTATAATCAATTTCTATTTCTGAAAGCTAAGTAAGCAATAACTTTGCACCAACAGATATTTTAAGAGTATAAAGACTTCAGAAAATGAAACATCATATACATAATTGCTTAACTTTACTGCATATATATTCTTTCTGCGATCTATTTGTATTATTTTCTATAAAGACAAAATATTGCTTAACCATTAATGTCCCATTCATTCTACCAAAACTCCACCCATGACGGCCCAATGTAAGGAGCATAACTCTGTATGATCAAGTGAATAGTTTCACAAAATATTTGTTTTTGTCTAAATGAAATTGAAAATTAAGATAAAAACTACTGCTTAATGTTGGGAATAAACCTGGCTTTCCAACAGTATTAAATAGAATATATTATATTCGGTACAAGTACAGAATAAAAATAAAAAATGTCGGAGAAAATTCAAAACAGGTCATTTTCGGTAGTCAACTTTATTTATTTTTGTCTAAACAACTATGCATCGAATTTAACAGTTAAATATCAATTTGATTATCTTTAAGATATATAATTCATAAAATACATGCCTAGATATGTTTAGAGGAATTATTTTATTTTATTTTTAATATTAAATCAACTAAAAATTGGACAGATGAGTCTAAAATTTCGAGATGGAAAGAAACTATAATTTTTTATCTTTCAAAAGCGCCATTGAAATTAGAAGACCGGAAAAGGATGCTGAAACTATCCGACTTCCTGTTTAGTTAAAAATTAGGATTTGTAGGCCAAATTTTAATAAAACAAATTTAATTTTTCTATGCGTATTGTAAGCTGGCGGCAGCGGGCGTTACGGGACATTAACGGTGTCGGGCGGCAGCGGGCGTTACGGGACATTAATGGTTAAAAAGAATAAAAGCAACCTTTAAAGCAAAGTTACAGATATATTAAAATAATAATCAGAATAGTCAAAACTGCACACAACACCTCATCTAAGTATTCACCAGATATGCTTACTATTAAAGAGAACTTTATTTTTAAGCCAGCATGCTTTAAAATTAGTTTGTGTTAGATGCCTCATAGGATAGCTGCTAGTTGTTGAAATAAAACCCCAGTGTTATCAATATTTGATTAATGTGCAATCAGTGAATTGAAATATATTTCTGTCTTACATTTCCTTTGGGAAACAACTAAGTTTAAGAAAAAGAGTTCAATGAAAATCCCCAAAATTGTATTTAAATAGTTGATCACCAAGCATCATATGTATCATCTTGTTTGGCAGAAGGCTGACCTTGACATTTCTTTATCTTTCAGAGCATTTAATGTGTCATCTGGTCTGGCAGTTTGTTGACTTAAGACATTTCTTTCTGATTTTCAGAAACATCCAAAGAGGATTGCAACTTTTTTTTATATTTATGTCTTATTTTTTTTCTGTTAAACTTTTTAATCCAAATTTTTAACTCCCATTGATTTTCAGAGTTGTCTATATCTTTTAATTTAAAAAAGAACATTAAAAAAAAACAACCAAAGTATGTAAACTCTTTATCCCGGCCAATGAAAAAAATTGGGAGTAATGCCGTATCCCAATTGGGGTTGTTATGAAAATACTTTTGTTTGTTTTTTTGTACTGATTTTATTTTTAACAACTAGGTTCAAGTTCCAGAAAACAGTTTATTTTAATCTGATGTTTTCAGAACTTTTTTAGGTGTGCAAGTACCAGATATAAAAAGTAATTCATTTTAAACACACACAAAAAAAAACCAATAGTTGGTTTTCATCATTAATAAAAAAAAAGTTCCCACTTACAATTGTGTAATTCCTAGGTATGAATTTTCTGGAATAAACCGCAAGATACAGCTGAAGCACCAGCCTTCTGGTCGCCCTCACGCCTCCTCCAGCGAGGGTTTGTAATGTGTGCATGAGTGCTTGTGTGCACTCCTGGTGCACATCTAACATTTCTCTAATCAAACCTCTTTTTTAAAGTGAAAGATCAGCTTTTTTTAAATCCAAATAGAAACAGACTTTCAGTTATTGTTTTATTTCCATTTCTTTCCCCACCACCTTTCCCTACAATATTTCACTAATTTCCTTATCTAAATAATTTATAATACCTATATTTAGCTTTGAAGTCTCAGTTTCAGGACTTGTTAAAAATTTAAAACGGAAAAAGTAATAAAGGGATACGGCTTTATGTTTCCTAAGTATAGAAAATTTTATTAGCAGCTCTGCAGCTCAGCAATTAACGAAATAATAATTTACTATTTTTGACATCAAACTATTCTGTATATATTTGACATCAGACTTTCATTAACTAGTTTGACATCATTATCAAATGTGATATCAGACTTTCATTGTCAAGCGTGACATCAGACTTTAATTGTAAGCATGACATATAATGCTCGTTTTCAAGTGGGACATCATTCTTGTTTGACATCAGACTTTCATTATCAAATGTAATATCAGCCTTTCATTGTCAAGTGCAACATCAGACTTTCATTGTCTAGTTTGGCATCAGACTTTCACTACCAACCTGGTCATCAAATTGTCTGATATTTTTTCTAGTACTTTGCTTCTTGCTCTGGCTGTACTAGCTGGCATGTCTATCTTAATTTTTTATTTTGTTTTGGCCACTTTGTTGTTGCCGCTCGTACCCACAATGTTTGAATGCCCTTTACATTTGGTGTATCATGTCCTTTGACGCTAGCTTACAAAATATTGTTATATTTTTAATTTTTCAATTAAAAGTTTATTGAAAATTCAGTTGCTGACGTTCACAAATAATAACATCTAAAATCTTACCTAAATAAAAATAAGGATATATGAGAAATTTGTTTATGATTTTTCCTCCCACTTACCCCCACCCCTCCACTGACACATCCTATATACCACCTTAGTCTGCTCCTACCAACCATTTGTATGACTTACCATACTGGCTGCCAGATCAAATTTCTTTTTTACGTGTCTTACAGTAACTAAATATTGAAATTAACTAATGGACAGTTTTGATAAGTTTTACAGTATGAGATTGAGTTCTTTTAAATGTTGAATATTTATTGACCTATTAACTTTTCAAAAGTTTTACAGTATGAGATGAATTGTTTGAAATGTTGAATATTTATTGACCTATTAACTTTTTAACCTTCCAGCCCAACCAGATGATACAATATATGACCTTTGACCTCAGTGGTATCTTAAACACCAGTGCATTCCTTTTTTCCTATAATCAGTTTTCAAAATCTAAAATTACAAGTCATGTTTTTGTCGGTAGTTGACCCATATCAATATCCTAAAGTGCTGGTTGTTTAAGATACCACAACAAACTAATTTGATAAGCTTGGTTAAATTATATGCATATTATTTTATAAGAACTCATAAAAACCTTAGTTAAGTGTTTAAACTTCTAAAATAAAATCTATAGAAAGCTAGGCTGCTGGTTGATATTTTCAAATGTTACTTAACACCCGAAAAGATTTTCTATTTTTTGAAAAAGGAAGTTAAATAGCAGTAAAAATCCGTCTCTTCTCAATAAAAAGAAAAAATATCTGTATCTAAACCTTAGTATAACAGTATTGATGATTGCACCTTGTATACAGTGGTAGAAAAAAAATATCTGCATGCAAAAAAAAATATTGTATATCCCATAAGTTACCATTCATAACATTTAAAAAAAATAATTGTGTATCCCATTAGTTATCAATAATTTTTTTTTCAAATTTTCATGCATGCGTTGTTTAACTTTTTGTTTTTACGATATTTTGTCTTAAAAGGTAAAGAGAGGAGGTGGATGATGTAGACTTAAGGTTGATTTCTGTTAGTTTTACTGCTTAAATTTTGAAAAAATTTCTCTTAGTTTTACTGCTTTATATTTTGAAAAAAAAATTCTCTAAGTTTTACTGCTTTATATTTTGAAAAAAAAAATTCTCTTAGTTTTACTGCTTTATATTTTGAGAAAAAAAAAACCTAATGGTTTAGGAAGTGGAGGGAGGAGGTGTTAGCTTGTCCAGTGGTGCAGGTGTTGTTGTTTAAAACCCAGTTTCTGTTTCTGCAGGCTCATTTTGGGAAGACCAGGTGACCTTAGATTTAGCAGGTACACATCTGAGCGTGCTTGTGTCTGAGTGTGTTCATGTGTGAGCGTGTCATCACTACCTTGCAGTTAACAGCACGCTGCTGATAACTTTTAGCTCTTAAATGTCAATTTGGTTTCTTTTTTATAGCCAAGATTTTGTTTTTAGGTGAAATTAATAAAGCTTTTTTTCGTTTATTTTTTGTTTAATCAGTCCGTTATTTTTACTCACCACTTTGTTTAATTAAAAAAAATTAAATGGGTTTTATAGTTAAATAGATGTTGTCATTAACAAATTAAAATTTATTCTGACTTGCTAGGTTATGACATAGGGTTATCTGTGTTAATTTAGATGATAGGTGTCACTGTCTTTTGTTCTGTACTGGGGGTCTATACATTTTTATGTGACAATGTGATAGGCATCATTGTTTTATTGTTTAGTAATGGGTTGTGTATATATTTTTACGTGACAAAATGCTAGGTGTCTATGTTTTGTTTTGTGATAGATGCTGTGTATTTTATGTGACAAATGATAGGCATAATTTTGATTTGTGATGGGTTCTGTATATTTATATGTGACAAGTATAAAGCACCAGGTTATATAGTATGTTAAAGCAAGAGCCTTTTTTTATTCTAAGTTATAGATGATGATTTTCCAATGAGATTTTTTTCAAAGCATTGTATTTTAGATCATGCAAAGGGTGACATGTTACATTAATGAATATAGAAAACGCACAGCTAGCATTTTGAAAGCTACCAACCACACACTTATGTACACGTAATACTTAAATTAGCTAAATAAAAACTTTTTTTAATCTGAGCATCTGTACCCACACATCCCACCTGATTAACTGGATGTTCTGTCCCCTCCTGAAGTCCACCAGCTCAACCTTTAATGGATAAAAAAAACTTGTTTACATTGACATTTTTTTTGTCCAGTAGTTTTCTTGTCCATTTTGAATTGCTGAGTAGACATGAATAGATCCTCTCCTTTTTTCCGTATTGCTTTTACTCAACCAGTTTGTGTAATAATCACACTAAATATTATCTAGCTAAACAAAAAAAAAATGGATTAGTTGCTTTCTTCAAAAGTTGTGAACTTTTTATTTAAGCTATATTTTATTTTGTTTAATTTCTGGGTTTTTTGTTGTAAAGAGCCTGTATTTATATGTCTTAAATGCCTGATAAACACAATATGATGTTAGGAATTATAAAGGTTTTTTTGACAAGAAATTGTGGCTGCTAATAAGAAAAGAGCTAATCAGAATTATATTCTACAATAGATTATTTTCCATTTAATCCTCTGGGTCGGCAGTCAGATTAAAAAAGACAAGCAATAATTTGTTTACCTGAACATTTTAAAAGTAACTTGAAGCTTTTGATTAAGTTTATGTTTACAGTTAATGTCCGATTTTTCTCTAGTGATTTAAAAAATTAATTCCCTTATTCGATACTTGGATGGAGGTAATAAATTGTCACCTGTTTGAAGAAAAATTGTTGAAATAGCAGTCTGATCACCAGGAGATGATTGAAACATTAAGAATCCAAACAATTTTTAAAACAGCCGTCAGTGTTTATGTGCTTTTCTCTATAATTATTTTTTAGACTAGTCACATGTGCGAAATTTCTCTGTATTTGTTTTTGTGTTTTAAATGCTTAATTTCTTATAATAACTAGTTGATTTTTGCTAATTTCCTTAAACCTTTTCATTTCGTTTTGTTTGTTTAGCAAAAAATGTGATTAGGATGAAAGAAATTTGATTTTGTATTTGTTCTGCTAAGCTGTCTAGAAGAAACTGTAGTCCTGTTTTGTTCAGCTCAGCTGCTGTTTGTATGAACCAAATCTGCTTCCTGCCCATACCAGAAAACCTCCACAATTCCGCTATAGCTAATGGTCGATCCTTACGTCCTACACTATCTGTGCTCACCTTTACCTTTGTCATTATATTCCTCCCTCCCATACCCATCAATAATAAAACATTTTTTGTTTGCTAAAGTAGTTGATGTGTGCTCCTCTCTCTCTTCTTCCTTGTTTTGTTGTTAATAATGCTTGGCTATTAAAAAATTAGGATTTTTTTTTTAAAAACTAGAATTTTAAAAACACTAGAAAGTTGAGTGTAATGCTGAGAATGCTTTCAACTAATTTCATTGTGAGAAATCACTAACCTTTGTGTTTTAAAGTTCTTTAGAAGAGCAGTTAAAAAATTTATTAAATGTGAAAACATTTTATCATATTGTCATTGATGTTCTAAAAAAACACAACTTTTTTCCTGAAATTTTAAGGGGTTCATTTATTGTTTGTTGGTTATTTAGTTCTTTAAAGAAAGAATAAGATAAAGATCTAGGCTTCTAAAATATTTTATCAAATGTTCAGCTGGAAGCTTGATATACCTAGGAATAAAAAAGAATAAAGAAAAAAAAAATCTTAAATATATAAATTGTATAGTTTTCTTTAAAGGTAGGATTATATAGTTTTATTATTACGCACTGAAACAAGTTTCTATGTACTATATTTTTATTATTTACAGATGATTCACCACGCGATCCTTCACTTGTCCTCATTTTAAAATGGGGAGGGGAGCTGACTCCTGCAGGCAGGATTCAAGCCGAAAACCTGGGGAAAGCTTTTCGGACCTTATACCCAGGAGGTCAAGGTTTGATTCTCAATGTTTAGTGTAAAAAAAAAACTTTTCCTTTTAAAGTGATAAAAAAATTATGTCAAGCTTGACCTCACTCTTATAGGTCAGTTTGAGGCTCCTGGTCTGGGCTTCCTGAGGCTGCACAGCACTTTCAGACATGACTTGAAGATCTATGCATCAGATGAGGGCAGGGTGCAGATGACAGCTGCAGCTTTTACTAAGGTCTTACACCCATTGAATTTCTATCTGTCGTTTTTTTTAAGTTTTGCTATAATATTTGTTTTTAAAAAAAGGATAGCATTTTAAAATTTTTTTTTTTTTTTAGAGAATATTCTAAAACACAATCTTTTAACATTTTTTTTGCTACTTAATGATTTTTATAAAACAGTTTTTAATTTTGTTTCTTATCTTTTCAGTATAATTCTTCGCTTTTCTTATTTGTTGATGTTTAAACCTTAATTCAACCTTCTCTTTTTTTAAAAAAAATATATTCCTTTTAAATAATTTTTTAAAATATTAATACTAATAGTTTCGCTGTCTGTCTATGTATCTATCTGACAAGAACGCTCTAGAGAAAACACAAGGAAAATAAAAACATGCATAGTAATTCGAAAAACGAAGTATGACGTCGACACATTTAGCACAGAGTAGAAAATAATCTCAAGCCGGATAGTGCACACATTAATATGACGTCATTGATTATCGAGTAAACATTCAATACAAAGGCAATTTGGTCTAATCTAAGTGGTTTGCGTGAAGAGTTTCTTTCATACAATTCTTCGGGTAGGGGCGAAGCCCCACCCCCGCGTAAGAACGTCTGAGCCCCCCCCCCTCCCCAACTCAAAAGAAATTTCCTCATCGATACTGTATAATAAAATTACCGCCTAATTAATGTGTCTAATCTAAAAAGTGGTTTTCTTGCAATGGGACGCTAGACATGTTTTTTTTTTTGGGGGGTGGGGGGGGGGGGGTGTGGGGGGGATGGTGGGGGGTGGTGTGGGGGGGTGTTGGTTTCAGTGTTTCTTTCAGACTTTTTCCTCCCCGGAGAGGGGTGGGGGTACTTGCAATTTTCGGGGGCGGGGGGTAGAATTTTCTGGGAGGGAGCGGACACTGGAAAAAGTATATAATTATATTTCGTTGAATGGGACGGTAGACATGTTTTTTTTTTTGGGGGGGGGGGGGGGGGGGGGGGTGGAGAGGGGGTGGGGGTGGGGGGTGGTGTGTGGTGGGGGGGTGGGGGTGGTGTGTGGGGGGGTGGGTTGGTTTTAGTTTAGAGAAAAGAGCCAGCACTATCAGCCTAGCGCCCGTTGTACCCTTCCTCAACGGGCCATTTTTCTCGTAATTAATAATTATACAAATATTGTTTAGGTTTGTTTACTGTTGACTAATGCTGATGTATTTAAAAGAAATGTTTTGTTGTGGTAGGGTTTGTTGGCCCTAGAAGGAGAGCTGACACCTATTGTTGTACAGATGGTGAAAAGTGCCAACACCAATGGTCTACTTGATGGGGAGTCAAACACATCCAAGTACCAGATTGTGTAAGGAAAAGTCACAATTCTTTTTCAAATAGTCACAACTTTGTTTTTAAATAATGGCATATTAATCGAACACATCAAAGTAACACATTTTATGCGTAAAAATATATAAAAAAAAACATTTCTTTTATTAAATTTTCACAACTTTGTAATATGCCATCCTGTAATGGCATATTGATGGGTAATCTAACACATCAAAGAGCGTAAAAATAAAAATGTTTTAAATAGTTACAATTTTGTTTTTAAATATAGGCATTTTAAATCAAAAGTATTCAAAGTTCACTTTTAAAAGTGTAATCTGTTTTTTTAACAACAGAGTTAAAGAAAAATTAAAAGATATCTTCAACCAAGACAGGGAATTTACTGAGGATGACTTTTTAAAGGTGAGTTATGCCCCATTTATACTTAATAGATAACAGTTGCTTTTAAAACAATTTTTTTAAAATTGAATAATATTGCATAAGGTGATTTGACCATTATTAGATCAACCAATGTATCACCATTAAATTATTATATTTATCAACCCAAGCGTCTGTGATGTTTTTAATTATATTTCAAGTTACCAATTCTTAGCTATTAGTAGTCATTCTTCAGAGTGTGTTAACTGTTGTTAAATGTAAAAATGTTTTGTTTTTGATGAGTAGTTGGCAGCTACAAACAGCATATCCCTTGTGAATGCCATGCAGTTTGTGAAAAACCCCTTCCAGATGTGTATCAGAGTGCATGAGATGATCAATGAAATCACTGCCAGGATCAGATGTCTGAAAATGGAGCTCAAATCTCGAGGTCAGTCACTCCAGTCAGCCAGCAAGTCACTGAGTTGTAATGATAGCTCTACACTCCACACCACTAGATTACTCTAGAGCAGGGGTCGGCAACCTGCGGCTCGCGAGCCGCATGCGGCTCTTTTGATATCAAGATGCGGCTCTCCAGCTCCTTGAACAAATACTAATAATCTTAATAAAAAAATAAAATATTTGAAACAAAAAAAATGTTAGTGGCTCTTTAAAACCAGGGAAATTTTGAAACTTGTAACTTTTGGCTCTTCCGCTTCAAAAGGTTGCCAACCCCTGCTCTAGAGAAATATTAATATCAAAAACATTTATCCTGTAAGACCCAGAGCTACGGATAGTCTAGATAGAGGTGATTTAATCATCATCATTCCTGTGGAATGATAGCCTAGAAAGAGGTGATTTAATCATCATCATTCCTGTGGAACGCTTGTGAAGCCTAGGGTTGCAACCACATCTCCATTCTACACATTTTTGAGAAATTCTCCCAAGTCGAACCATGACATTCCAGCTGCTTGAGCTTCATTGAAAACTAATCTTTTCCATGTTAGTTTTGGCCTACCCACTTTACCCTTACCTAGGGTATTCCAAACTAATGCCTGTCTGGTGATATAGCTGGTTAGTTCTTGCTTGGTGTGTCCCATCCATCCCCATTAGCACTTCTGTATTTCTTTGCCTCTGGGTATAGCCTAGTTTTTTTCCTGTAGTTCTGTGTTGGTTATTTTCTCAGGTCAGACTGTGATTTAGTTCCCCTATCATTGTGACCTTTATTGTGTGCACAAGTCAGAATGTGATTTAGTTATCCACTGTCATTTTGACCTTTATTGTGTGCACAGGTCAGAATGTGATTTAGTTATCCATTGTCATTGTGACCTTAATTGTGTGCACATGTCAGAATGTGATTTAGTTATCCACTGTCATTGTGACCTTTATTGTGTGACCTTTATTATGTGCACAGGTCAGAATGTGATTTAGTTATCCATTGTCATTGTGACCTTTATTGTGTGCACAAGTCAGAATGTGATTTAGTTATCCACTGTCATTTTGACCTTTATTGTGTGACCTTTATTGTGTGCACAGGTCATAAAGTGATTTAGTTATCCACTGTCATTGTGACCTTTTTTGTGTGCACAGGTCAGAATGTGATTTAGTTATCAACTGTCATTGTGACCTTTATTGTGTGCCAAGGTCAGAAAGTGATTTAGTTCCCCCTGTCATTGTGACCTTTATTGTGTGACAAGGTCAGAAAGTGATTTAGTTCCCCCTGTCACTCCCTGGATTCTTGAAGATCTGCCCTTAATTTTGATGTTTCTGTTTATCCCATTATGATTCAGATCTTGCTTTGTTTAATGGAGAGTCTTGGGAGCTTCTTATCAGAAGATGGGCTAAACTAGAGAAAGACTTCAGGCTAAAGAATGGCCGCTTTGACATCAGCAAGATTCCTGACATTTATGATTGTATCAAATATGACCTGCAGCACAACCAGAAAACTCTTCAATTCAAGAGAGCGCAAGAACTATTTATGTGTTCAAAAGCTTTAGCAGACATAATCATTCCACAGGTAAATTTTAACAATTGTTATTTCACATACAGCAGTATTTATCAGGGTTCATGGGAATGTGTATATGGGAGTGTGTATGGGAATTAGTAACTGTGAATACAACAAAGGCTTTTTCTTACAAACTGTCTATTTGTCAAAGGAATATGGCATTACCAAAGAAGAAAGACTCCACATTGGGCAGAGCTACTGCACCCCGTTGTTGCGCAAGATTCGCTGTGATTTGCTCCAGTGTATTAATGAGCCAAGCACAGAGGACAGCACCACACGACTAGACTCAAAGTATGGCCTGTTGTGTAGTCACTGTGTTCTGTTATTCTTGTTTTGTTTTTGACAAACTTTACAAAATTTCATATTAACTTTTTTTACTTATTAAAGTAATTGGGCAAAAAACCAGGGATGAGGGACTTCAGATCCACGTATGTTTTGACAAAAGAAACTATTTTGTTGATTTGGAAGTAAATTTTGTAAAGTTTTGTCTTTTTTTTTGTGTGACATTTTTATTCAGAAAACAAACACTTTTTTTTTGTTTTGTGTGGTCACTTTGCTTCAAGCATTGTTACACAAATATTAATTTTCAAAATATTTACTGGTTATAATTTTTCTCAGGTGTTTTGTGAATAGAAAGTATTTTATCTGACTCGTTTGAAGTAGACTGAAACAACAGCTTATACATTTTTTGTTGAAATTTTTTTTGAAATTGATCTACCAGAGCTAAGGGGTTTAAAGTTTTTATAAAACTTTATACAAATTTTTTTTTCTTCTCTGTATTATAATATTATTAAACTGAATGAGATGTGTTTCTAAAAGATATGTGTAACATGTTTTATATAGCAGTTAGTTTGGGTTTTCTTCATCTTCCCTGTGTCTTGCTCATTCGTAAAAAACTGTCGAGGATGCAAACACCTTAGCCTGGTAGATCTCATCTCTTTTGGCCTCTTGAAAGCAAAAGTTTACAATGGGCTTGATTTCATCGTACTGGTAGTCTCATAATGGGCTTAAGAATTTTACAAATTTAAAAAAATTCTTTGTGATGCAACCACAAAAATCTGCATTATTTGGATCTCCTGTTTATAATATTGCTGTAGGCAATGTTTGTAATAATTTAGAAACTAAGCAGCTTTTTAAAGAAAAAAGAAACATGCATCAAATATAAATGCTTCTATGAAAATCTCAGAAGTAATGAACTTAAAATTAAAAATTCATAATGCCATGCAATGGATTATTTTGGTTCAAAAACATTTGCCCTCTATTTAAATAAAATTATTTTCAAACTCTGCATTTACAAATTATATAATTTTTTTAAACTTTTATCTCCCAATACTGTTTCTCTCCACCCCCCCCCCACCCCCCCCCCCCCCCCCCCCCCCCCCCCCCCCCCCAAGATATTATAATACTAAGTACATTTCTGACTTGTACTTCTCTACCAGCCTAATTGTCTGCATTATGAAGTCAGTCACTACTTGTCCTGTTGTTAGAGAATACAAAATTGTCCACACTCTAAAGTTTATCACTACTTGTCTGTGGTGTTAGAGGTTATTTCAATGACTCTCCTGTGTGGTTTGAGTAGTTTTGCACCTCAGATTTTTTTAGGTGAAGCCAAAAACATAAAGGGACATAGGATATCAATTTTAAAATATTAGCTTTTTTTAATGAGTTTAACACCTAAGGTGGGTATTTTTGTTATAACTTAATCCAATGTAATTATAATGTCTTTTATATAAGTAACATAGTTAATGTTTTTAAATTTTTAAATTAAAAATGAAGATTTTTCTAAGACTTATATTTCAGATGGTCTACAGTATAACCCCTTATAGCCCTGGAATGGTTTTTCGCCATTGAAATCAACATAATCAGTGCTTTAATACTAACAAAATAATTAACAGCCAGCAATAGGTGCAAAATGACTCAAACTATATTAGAGGGTCAAAAACTTGAACACTTTTGGAGTATTTTTAACTTCTCATTAATTTCAACCCAATCCTACGTAAAGGATCTGCAAGCTTGAGTTAACTTTTAGATAAATAAAGTTAATATCTCTAGGAAACAACATTTGCTCAAACTCAATATCTAGTTATATAGAGAAAAAAAAATTGTTTTTTTTCGGTGTAAAATTGATAATAAAAAAAAACATGGTGTTTACAAAGGTGTTAGCATAAGAAAGATAGAGAATGTATTATTAAGGGAATAGTAGCATTCATAACACACATAGATAGAGCGCTAACATGCCATTTTGTCAACATTGATGCAACTTTAATAATAATTTTTAAAAATCCAATATTGTTGTGTAAAGCTTTGTTTCCTTTAAAATGTTTCAGGCTTTGTTTGTATGAAAGAAAAATTATGAGCACATAATGTCTAAAGTAGATGGCACATTCAAGCAATTTTGTTTTTTCAATAAATTGCTGACTTATGAACGGAATCTTTAAAAATGTAATCGGAACCAAAACTAAAATATTTTTGCAGTTCCTTGATAAGCTTGATAAAATGTGCATGTTGCCTCTGCTTTGGTCATTAGCACTGCTTTGACAAAACGTTCCTTTTTGTTTCAGGCATATTCAGTTCATTCTGCACGAAACAAACGATATCGACATTTTAAATAGGTGATTAGAAATCCAGTCATCATCAACTTGCACATTGAATTCATCAGTTGCCACCATATATTTACAGTTCCTCAGTTGTTTTTTTAATACATAATAACAAATTCAAATCTAGATGTATAATTTTATATAATTTCTATGATATTGCATATGGCGTGTGATTTGTGCTACAATAACTGTCAACAAATATAAATAACAACTAAAGATATTAGTAGCGAAGGTTTGAAATGGAAGATTAGTATCAGTTTGTTTAACATGTTCAGGTAGTCTAGAGACCAGTTAGTATCAACACTGAGTTTCTTCTTTTTGTTTGTTGTAGCGCAGGACCAGGATTTTCTTGTTTAGATATGACCTCATTTTTGAAAGAGATAGCAAAGCCAATTTATTTTTACACTCTCGTGATTTGAGTTTGCTTTGTAAGAACCCACTTTGTATCTATGTGATGTCAAGATTTCACGCTAGTCTGATAAAAAGAACTCATATTTCTTCTGCACTCTTTTAAGTTTGCTGTTGAGATTCAACAAAAAAATTTCTATCTACACTGCCAAGTTATTAATTAATTATTTGTACGTATACATGTATAGTTTATTTACAAGAGTAATCCGTTGTTTGAAACAGGTTATTAAACAAGGTTTTAACTCATACTTATAAAATGTATGTCTGTGTGCATGTTTATTTGTTTGCAGAAGGATGAAATAGCTATATCTGGTGTGTGTGTGTGTGTATACATCTGATTTAAAAACATTAGTGTCAATTTTATTTCAAGCATCGTGTTGTATCTTCAGACAGTTACTTAATAAGTTTTCTCCTTATAATGAAAGTATTTTGTAGAGTTTCTCCTAATAATGAAACTATTTTGTAGAGTTTCTCCTTATAATGAAACTATTTTGTAGAGTTTCTCCTAACAATGAAAGTATTTTGTAGTTTCTCCTAATAATGAAAGTATTTTGTAGAGGATACTAAATAAATGTAGACAGTGACTGAAACAGATGGTGGCAACTACATTCTGTAACCCCTGGCTTACCTAACCTAGTCAATGATTCAGATTTTATATTAAAAACATCACAACAGTTAGTTCATTATACAGTCATTTATCAGCCTCTTGGTAAAATCTGGACATATGTTTAAAACAAAAAAAATTTCAATCATTTAAACTTTTTAAAAAATCAGGTGCTTTTAAAAAAGATATATGAATGTAATAAAAGGTAAAAACATTAAAATAAATGTAATAAAAACTAGCATTAGGGAAATAATATAAATTGTTTCATTGGTTTAGTTCCTGCTACTAATTCTTATTTTAAGTTTCTTGTCATGTTTTTAAAAAAACTTGAAACTTTTACAATAGGTTACATGTTTTTTTTTGTCCAGAATCCTCTGATGAAATGTGTATATTGAATTGATTGTTTTATTAATGGTATGTTGTTCACTCTTTAATCATTTTGGTTGGGTTTTTTCCAGCTAGGTAGACAGTTTCAGGAATTTGTTTTCGCTCATTTTTTTTTTAAATTGATGGTGAAACTTTTTTTTTTTTTGTGTCTGATAATATTTTTTTAAGCTAAGAGAGTTCTCAGTTTGCCAATGCCCATCAAACTTGGAACCTCTTATGTTCATTTCTTGAAGCTAACCAGATTTTTTCTATGTTTGTTAATTATTTGTGCTGCATTGAAGCAACATCAACTTACGTGTAGACAAGTCATGTGTTTTGCTACAGATTAACTGTTAGATGATTGGTTGAAATTAGTTTTACAGATCTGAAAAAATAAGGGTGTTTTAATGTTGCTGTGTTCAATGCCCCACAAATTTGATTTATAGTGCTCTCCCTTTGCCCATTTGCATCTCTCCATGTTCACCATTCAATATTGTTTAAAATGTATTAAGATGCATGTATATTCAGTATATTCAGTTACACATAATATTTTTCAATTAGTGGACATTGCATGTTTGTCTTCCCAGATACAATCAATATATATATTTATAAATCTTTTTTTCAGTATTTACACAATTTTTAAATTTAACTTCAGTAAACTTTCAAAATTCTAAATTAAACTTTGATTTCAAATTAATTTAAAATTCAGTTCTAAATTCTCTGACTCTTTACATATTTTTCAATTTTTTCTCTCTTGATTTATAGATATTCAAATGGTGTTGCCTCTCCAGAGAGATTTGTTCGCACACGTCTTTATTTTACAAGTGAAAGTCACATACACTCGTTCATGAACATGCTGCGCTATGGAGATTTCTTGGATGTAAGTCTCCTTTCTACAGAGTTTAAATTTTGATAATCAGTTATCTTTTGTTTAGTAAAGTCAATATTCCATCATTAAATTAAGTTTTATCTGCTCTCATTTATTTATTTAAAATTGTTGAGGTGTGTGTGTATTCTTTAGGAAAATATGTGTTTTCAGGAAGACAAAGATGAGCAATGGAAAAGATCAATGGATTTCATTGGTGCGTGCGCTGAGCTGAACTACATGTCCCAGATAGTGCTCATGATGTTTGAGGACCCTGCTAAGGTGAAGGCCATTTTTGGTTGTAAGCAAAAGCCAGTAGTCTAGTTGTAAGCAAAAGCCAATAGTTTTGTTGTAAGCAAAAGCCAATTGTTTTGTTGTAAGCAAAAGCCAATTGTTTTGTTATAAGCTAATCTAAAATGACAGAAGTTTCTTTAACAAGTAGGAAAGACAAGGTACTTGATTAATTATGTCAATTATATATTATGTGGAAAATAAGTTTTAAATTTTATAAAATAATGTGAAATCATTGTAAGCTGTGTTGCACTTCTTTAGAATTTAGGTTGTTGTAATGTAAATTTTGATTGGAGCCACAATAATCAACAAGTTGTAATAAATTCAATTAACAGCCACGTATTGTTCCTAAAATGTATACCACTCTGACGTTATATAGTTGTATATGTTTTTATTCTTAATGTCCTTTTGCTAATATTGTAAACTTGTGATTATTGTACTAAAAGCAATCATACACATTTTTAACAACAATGTTTAAATCACATGACTTCAGGATGAACGATCAGATGACAGGTTTCACATTGAGCTCCACTTCAGTCCCGGCGCCTACACGTCATGTGATGAAATGGCATCAGAGCCCAAAGGCATGGGTTTCAGGCCCAAGTCAAATCGTGACAACTTTAGTGTAAGTTGCTATGGCACATTGTACATCAACACAGCATCTTTATTACTTCTTGGTATTTTAAATCCTCGCCTATATTTAAGCTATAGTAAAGAGCGCGGCTAGTCATTTTGGTGAACATACTATCCTTCATACGCAGTGTTTCTTCCAGACTTTTTCTATGGGGGGGGGGGGGGGGGTGTGACTAAAATTTTCGGGGGTCGGACATTGTTAAAAATATGTAGTTTCTATATAAATTCCATTTTGTTCAGGGGGTGGTAGACTTTCTTCGGGGGGGGGGGGGGGGATGCCTGGAAGAAACTCTGCTCATATGCCGAAGTAATTGAAACATAAACTCTACTTCATCTGTCCTATGTGTCTTGGGCACAAGCGGGAAAAAGATGATGAGATGATTATTAAGATTATGATTATTATTGGGATTGGGGTAGTAAAAAAGTTGCTGTTGGAGTTACAGAACTGTGCTGTTGAACATGGCCAAGTTTGCAGATATGTTTCTCAATGAGGTCTCACATCTTCTCCCCAGGACTCCACCACGCCCACTAACATCCCAGAGACCCTGGAGGAGTCGACAATTATTGAAACCTCCCAGACCCTGGATGTGACCCCCTGCCTGAGACAGTGCTCGTCAGTGCCGGACAACGTCCAGCATGAGGACCTGGGTGACCTGGTGGAGGCTGACCTCTTTGCTCACGCCCAGCAAGCTGTTCACAATAAGGAGAGCCAGTCTGATGTAAGAGAAAATAGAAACATTTTGTTACTTGTTATTTATACTTATTTTTTTCCTACTTACAAATAATATGAAACAATAACTTATAAATTATAAAAATCTAATCTTATAGATAGTTTATCAGAAATATTGTTTTGTATTAGAAGAATTTATTTATTTGATTTTTGACAACCCACTCTTATATGTATTTTCTTAGAAAAAATGTTTCTAATATTGACAGAAGAGTTGGTTGATTTGATTTTAGACAACCCACTCTTATAGTTTCTCAGGAATATTTTTTTTGTAATATTGACTTAGAAGAGTTAGTTGATTTGATTTTAGATTGCCTACTCATATAAATAGTTACTCTGAAATATTTTAAAAAATCTTTACCTAGAAGAATCTGTTGATTTCATTTCAGACGACCGTCTGTAACAAACAAAAACCAAAGTTCAAGTTCCAGCCCCACTCACCAGATCCCAACACTCCAGAGTGGGACTGGGGGGATGACGATGATGACAACGACAGGGTGGCCGTCAAAATAAACACTAAGGATGAGAAGAGAAATGTGGAGGTGAGAGGAAAATAAATTTGACTAATTTTCATTAACATTAGTGGGGATGGAGAGATGAGGTAACACCTGATTGAGTTCATCCAGTTGAGGTTAAGATGATCTCACCAATTTTTTTTTTTATTGGCCAGTCAAGTCCCTTTAGGAGCGTTAATGTTCATTAGATATTAATTAAAAAAAAAATTTCCGCTATTAATTTAAAAATTAACTGAGATTTTAAAAGTGTTATAGTTTGTTCAGTGTAGTTATGCAGATATAGACAAGAATGTAACAATATTTTCATTTAACTTTTTGCGGGATTGTACAGTTGAATGGTAGAGCCTACAACTGTTAACCTGCAAGTCTCAAGTTTGGATCCCATCATTTAACTTTTTGCGGGACTGTGCAGTTGAATGGTAGAGCCTACAACTGTTAACCTGCAAGTCTCAAGTTTGGATCCCAGGCTTGAGCCCATAGGATGTCCCTGAGTCCACTCAGCTCTGATGGGTACCTGACTCACGTTAGGCAAAGTAAAGGCTGTTGTGCATAGCACTGATGCATTATCTTTTCATACGCAGAGGTCACAGAAACAAACTCTACTTCACCTGCCCCCATGGACTGTTGTGTTCAAAAGGGTTAATTCACTGTCAAGAGATTGTAAATTTAATTATAGCTTACAATTACACAGGTGGCGAAGGAAAATAAAAAAGATTTTGAGCTGACACAAGTCAAGTCCTATCCAATCAAAGACGATCTCTCACAACACAAGTCCTACCCAATCAAGGAGGAGCTTACAAGACACAAGTCGTACCCGATCAGCAAGCAAGCAGAAACCAGCCCAGACTCAGCTGATGACCAAAGCTTCAGTCTGCCCAAGTCTGTTGTCATGGTGCTGCGAAGGCAAGAAAGTAAATATGAAAAAGAAATGCTAGAGGAAGAGAAGGATTCCTTGACAAAACTCTCTTTTAAAAAAACGGATCCCATACAGATCAATGTTATTCCTTCAACAGGTTTGTTCACTTATTTTTTTTTAAATTCTCTTATGTAAAAAATTAAATATATATATATATATATATATATATGTGTTTTTACTTCGCTTCCCAGCAAAATGTGCAAACAAAAACTGTGCAAAAAGCGCAAACCAATTATATTAATACATTTTAATTTTGTCATATTTGGTGTAGAAGCGTTTATTATGCAATAATGTAAACATAGTCTTTCTTTATGGGACAAAGTGGTCTAGCGGTAGAGAGCTGGACTGCTAACCCGTAAGTCTCGAGTTCAAATCCGTTTTCAAGTCAGTAGACTGTCCCTGAGTCCACCCAACTCTGATGGGTACATAACTTAGTCATTCTTTGCTAGTGTCTATAAAGGTTACATTTTAGAAAACAAAAATCCCCTTGCACGCTTATGTGCGCAGTTTTCATTTGCGCATCTATCCGTTCACCTTTTACTTCATATACTTATCATAGTGACTATTATTAAACTCACTCTGTATCAGTTCAGATGTACAGGCCTAGGTAGTATAATACCATTAGCTTAGATCTAATAATTCACACTTTTTATGAACAGATCTAGGTTGTATAATACCATTAGCTTAGGTCTAATAATTCACACTTTTTATGTGCAGATTCTAAAAACGGCAATGAGGACAAGCGCAGTCGAAGCCTGGAGGACAGCTGTGATGCTGTGACCAAGCTTCGGGACCAGGATATGGATGGTAAGTCTGTCTGTGTGAAGGGGAGGCAACTGCACAGCTAAACCTGCTCTACTATTACACTTGCATATCTTTGTTAACCTTTTGATGATCAGGTCGATGCCAACAATTTTCTCACTTTAATCATTTCTTTAACGTTTTTTTTTTTTTGCCTTTTTGTTTGGTTGCCTAATTAACAGCTTGAGCATTTGAAATGATGCCAGTTTTGTTGGTAAGGTAATTGAGTTACAGTGACAGTTCTAGAACCAGGCAGTTCTAGAACCAGGATCATCCTGCTGTAGATAGAAATCTATTTCTCAGCATTGAAGAAGGCAGACATTGACTTAACAACAAATTACACAAGAAACAAGTTTTAAAATTAATCACTACTCACGCAGTGTCATTAGACAGACAGAAATAGATTTAAAATCAATCTCTACTTTCTCAATGTAAACAGACATGATCTAAATAATAGTTTTGATGATAATAGATTTCATAAATCAATTCCCTCGTCGGTGTATAATGATGAGAATGCCAGAACAAAGGATTTGTTATTAGATCATTAAGACTCAATGTAAATAGACACTGTCTAAACAATAAATTTCTTAGTAATAGATTTAAAATCAATCTCAAAGCACTCATTGTATGAAGACAGACACTGTCTAAACAATAGATTTCATGAGTAATAGATTTCAAACCAATCTGTCTAAACAATAGATTTCATGAGTAATAGATTTCAAACCAATCTCAAAACACACTCACTGTATGAAGACAGACATTGTCTACACACTAGATATCATCTGTAATAGATTTAAAACCAATCTCTAGACCCACGCGAAATGAAGGAAGACAGCCTCCCAGAGTTCCCTGTCTTCAGGACGTCAAGTAAGATTTTACCGCTCCGCTACACATATTGCCTTTGTTTTTTTTTTATCTATTCTAGATTACTTTGCTCTGCTTTTATTTCTTCTTATACTTTTTTATGTTTTATACATCTATAGCACTACTTTTGCTTACCCGTTCACCTATACAGGAGAAAAAATGTCTCTAGGTTTAGATGTAAGACAAAGATTAAAGTGTTTAAAATTTTAAACATTCAAAATTTTTAAAAATTATTTACAGCTTTCAAAATAAAAGCAGTTTGATGAGAGAATAATAAAGATTTACTCTACATTTGTAGACTATATCAATCGTCTGAATTTTGATGTTGTGCTGTAAATTATATTTGTACAAATGTATCATGTAGGGTTCCAAAATCATAATTATAGGAAACAAATGAGTTTTTATATACAGGAGAGTTACACTAGAGAAAATAAAAAACAAAAAATGAATTTGTTATGTAGAATGCAGTAACATTTGTTGAGTTTGATCCATGAAGGATGAAATAACATTTAAAAGTTGAAACAATGAAACAATTTTCATAATTTACCATTCTTTACCATTGACCATTATTCTACTAGCTGATACTTTGTGTGTCTACTAGTTTTCAAGTAGATGTCACCAGTTCTTATTGTTGTTGTGAAGCATTGTTCAGTATCAGCAACTTGTAATCTTGGTTGTCAAAATACTCAAAACATAGTCTGTAAAAATATTAGCAGAGTTTAGTTTGTAATCTTGGTTGTCAATATACACAGCACATAGCCGTAAAAATGTTAGCTGTGTGTCAACACAGCACATAGACGTAAAAATATTAGCTGTGCTAGCACAGTTTAGTATATAAATAATAATCTTGGTTGTCAAAAACAACACTCAGCACTATAAAGTATGTACGTCCAGTTTTGGACAGTACTTAGGAGTGAGCATCAATTTTTGTACTGGGAACAAAACAGGAAGTTGATGGTGTGAAATCTGTACTGCACTGGATAATCTAAATTCACAAATGGAAAAAATCATGAGGTTTAAAAAAAGATGTTTCAACCCTAAGGTTTTCATCAGAAAACAAAAACACGACTGAAATTTGTTTTTTAATTATTTAACATATGCAAATGTTTTTCTAATTTTGGTGAAAAGGTTTTGATTATTCTAACCCTAACTCTAAGTATTAAAATGAATGTCTATTCAATTACTTTCTTTTTTTGGAATTTGTTAAACAAGGTGCCAGAAATGACAGAAGACGATTCCATTTTCTTGAAAACATACGTGCACACCTTGGTGGTAAAGTTTCAACATATACTTTTTTTGTGTAGGAACATATGGAACTTCTACCTAACCCATTTAATCAGACGTCTAAATCCTCTAATTTACCGGAAATAAAATTAGCTGTTAATAACATGTTTTCACCCATTATATAATTAGTCGCGTAGCTAATGTATAATCAGGATAACTTATACTCTTCTTAGATCTTATGAAGGCATTGAGTAGTCCTGTCAAACTTTATATCAAACACAGGACTGCTTTCATTTATATTTTTAGTGACTTTCTTATTTCAGGCCTAGCTGGAGAAAATAAGGCTTAGTGTTAGAGCTTTGGGCATGAATCTCAACATAGCTACTTTCCTTCACCAGAAACTCTATGTTTTATCAGTGAAACAGGGTCATTGATATTTTTTTCAGAGATGCTGATCTATTTGCTGCACGAAGCTTGTTTATATATTTTTTTTGCTCTTAAGATGTATTATTGGATTTAGTGCAATCAATTTAAAGGGGCAGGGATGCTGATTTTATTTGGATCTGAGAGGTTTAAATTTCTTGCAGGCTGATTTTAAAAGTTTGTTTATACTCTCACTAATTGAAATTGTATCTCAGAAGATGAGGTAGTAGCTGGTGAGCCATAAAGTTCAATAGCCCCCCCCCCTCCCCCCACCCTTATTTTTATGATTAGAAGTTTGTGAAAAGGCTGAACTGACCTTCCCCCTCCCATCCCCACTTAAAATTAAGTCATTAAGTTCCACCCTCCCTCCTCTAAATAACAGTTCTCTGAATAATTAACATGCCTTTTTTTAAAATAATGTTTGCCCTTAAGAAATACAAAAAGTAAGCTACAAACATTTCTTTAACACTTCCTCCAACCTGTCCCTTTGTAGAACAGCATCAACTCCTTCACTATAAGTGTGTGACCCAATGGAGTAGCAGGACCATGTTGTTGTAAAAGTTGAAACTAACATTTGGTTTTCTGTTACAACTGTAATTAACCTACTATTTAAACAATATAGATCTAATACAAGAGAACTGACCCAGGGTGTACTTGTATCATGTAAGTGGTTTTGTACCAAATATTTAACCAGATTGTTTCATATCCCTAGTTAACATTTTTCTTTGTTTGATATTGTTTTATATAATGATTTGTTATGTCTCCAAAGGCTGCTGTCTTTCAAGGACTAATTATTTATATTAAAAGTTGCGATGTCTAATTTGCTTCTGATGTCCATTATTAATACGTCACACAAGTAATAATAATAATCTGCCTTGTAATTTTTAGTAATAAATATAGAGAGAACCTATAACTATGTAAATAAATATATTCAAATAAGACATCATTATTTTATTGAATTAAAGACAGCTTTTGTCCTTAAGACAAAATATGACTGCTAATCATTGTTATAATAAGTCCTTTTATGCCATCAACATACTTCTACAAAATTCAGATTGATCCTCTTTTAACTTGAAGTCAACTAAAGTACTCACTACAAGTGTTTCTTTCAGACTTTTGTTTTCTCCAGGAGAGGGGGGGAGGGCGAACTTGTGTAATTGTATATATTTTCAGGGGGGATGGGGACACCGCTATGGCATGTCAGTGTCTATTGTTCTCTTTCAATGTTATTTTCATGGCTGGGAGATGTTACATTGGTTAGTGTTAAAATGAAATAAAAAATCACATCCATTATTTCATACAGATAAGTTTAGTTGTAAAATTAAAACAGTTATAACAGTAGGCCTTGAAAATGACCTCAAAACTTGTTAGTAAACTAGAAAGGCTTGGTCTTTTTTCCAGGGACACATTTTCCTAGGTATAAGGCAAGAAACACCCTGTATATGAATGTATGTATGTTTATGTAATTAAACAATAGAAATAATTGTAAATAAGTAATATAGCTTAGACACAAGTTGTTTTTTTCTAAACAAACTACACCCTTCTCATTTCCAATGTCTGCCTACTTAATCATACAACAAGGATTGATGACATCAGATTATGTTTTCAAGTGGGATATGAAATTGATTTTGACATTTATGTGTAATGTAATCTCATAAATGCATGTTGAATTTTTTTTCTTTTGAATATCGTAGATATTATATAGATCTTAAAATTGCATTATATCTCTATTATTCACTAATTATCAGTTGTTTCTTTTAACAATTTTGATTGGCAGGCTGCCACACTTTTTGGGAAATGTATGCAAATTAAGGAGTAATCATGAAATAACTAAATTTAAAACTATTAGTTACCAAATTCATTGGCTATGTTCTAATTTTAATTGATTCAATTGCTAATATCTTAACCTCATTTTTCAGCTTTGTTTTACAAGGAATTAAAAAAAATAGTTACAGAACTCTTATCCTAACTACTTACACTTTTGTTTTAAATCTGAGGAACCCGGGCAGAAAATATTTTTCTGGTTTCATATGTGCCATAGAATTGGACATATGAAACCATATGTATTTATGTTAAACCAACTAATAATAAAAACATTTTGTCTCAAAAGCTGTATATATTTTCTAATTACTAAATATACATACGTCTTAATTTTGACATGATTGGAACTTGACTAATTTAAGAATAAAATGTAAAGCGCATACAAATTGTGTGCACAAAAAGCTCCTTGTATACATATATAAGCAACAAACATATAGGGGAAAATATTGTCTTTTAATCACAAAAACCTATTTTTAACACAGTAAATGAATATCACAATGTGAGCAAAATCATGTAAAAGTCAACGTTGCTACTTTATTTAAATTGTAACAATGTCCTGTTTTTATTTGAATATTCATATTTTTTTATAAACAGTAATCTGTTTATTGTTTTATCTGTGTATGTAAATATAAGCCAAATACTGTATGTTTACATAGATACGATTAAGTTTTTCCCAGTTTCCTGTACACAACTGGTGGCTTTCTGTGCACGACTTTTGGGCAGCTTTTTCATGTATGCTAATTTTTTTGTCACCCCACAAATAAAGTGTATACAGAGGTTCATTTATTTCAGCTTGGCTTTTTATTTTTATTTATTTTTTAACAAAATAATGGTCAACCCAAAATTTGTATTTTTAAATCATTTACAGCTTTTCAGAAAATTTTAAGTGTCGTTAGATAAATAACACACACACACACACTAAAAATATGATGTATATAAACATATAATCATATATATGTAAATTTACATATATTAATTTACATGTATACGCACTGGAATTTTATTGTTGCACATTGTATGATGCTAGAATAACTGTTTGATAATTTTTCATTCACCTTCAGCTTATCAAAGAAATTATCGCACAATCCATCTGCCACTTGGTAGTGACGTTGTTGTGAAGCCTCTCTCACATTTCTTCTTCTACAACCAGGCACCACGAGGTAAGTCTTTTTAATATTTTACAGTTGTTATGTCTAGAAGTAAAGATTTTAGTTTATTTGTAGTTCTAACTAAATTTTTAACTAAAAAGTTTAACAGGGGTAGGGTATGTACATAATTACATCAGTTTACATATGCATTAATATTTAATTAATGCTTTTTATATTTATGCTTGAAATTGATCACAGTAAGCACCAGGTTATTAGATAATTATTTGAAATAAATGTTTGGAAATTTGTCTTTGAAATGGGAGGGGTAATAACAGTAAGTTTTTTTTTTTAAGGTACACAATTTGTTTAATTATTCAAATTATTAATAGGGATATTTTACTATGTTAAATATTAAGATATTAAAATGTATTGAAATTTTCAGTGTATCAGTTTAATATTGTAGCATACTAAAGAGTTGTCCATCCTTAGTGTCAGTGGTTGCTTTTAGTAGCTTTATTTTTTTTTCCAAATGAGACTAAATATTAAATTTTTCCTAGTTATATGCATGCCTGACTTCATTATTTTTAATGTGTCTACATTGAATGACTAAAATTATCTATGTAGGCCTATACATAAACAAAAATATGAAGTAAACCAGCATGACATTAAGCAGGGACTGAACTCTTCTTTGTTGTAGATGTCCTCTTCAGTGTCAACTTTATGTTTCTTTTGATTGTAGCATTGACTATCTTCAAGTTTTATTTCTGTAATCTTTTTTAAAAAAATATTTTTTGCTTGTCTTAGTTTTAATTCGCTTTAGCTGTTATTAAAAAAAGTTGAGGCAGATTTTTAAAACATTATAGAAAGCATTTAGTGTTATTTATTTAATTCCAAGTCCATATTACATGTCATTCGAATATGACACCTAATATTCCTTTAGGTAAAGACTTTCAGACAATGATATGCTATTGTTTGTGGGTTTTGTGCACACAAAAAACAAGGAATTCAAATCACGAGCAGAACTTAATGTTAAAGGAACAATTTTTTGTGTTTAACCAAGGTTGGTGGGAGAGATGGCAGTGTGAAAAATGTGGTGAGATGTCTGACTGATTTCTGTGCTTCATTTTTCTGAATGCTTTTTTATTTATTTCAAGTTCAATTCTTATACATTTTTCAAAACCGTTAATTTTTTTTTTCCTAGAAATATTTTGTTTTCTAGAAACATTTTGTTTTTGTTAATTTATTTTAATTTGGTTCTATTTTTAAAAGTCTTGTTGGCATACAATTGTTTACTTAGGTTCAAGAACAATAATTTTAGCTTCAGGTTGGGTTTTTGAAATTTGAAACTGTTAGGAATACAGCTATTAATAAGCTTTGACATTTATTATTGCTGAAACTTTATATTTAAAAAAAAACAAGTAGCAGAAAAATCAGCTAAATTTGGTATTGATTAAATGCTAAAAGGCACTTATTGATTTTTTTCCGACACTTACTCAGAAAACATAATGATTTAGTAAATAAAGTATAAATTTATTTTAAAAACTGCATGCGTCATGCATACAGTTAGAGGACAACTGATTTAGTTGATGTCCCCGTCCCCCTTAAAATAAGTTGAGACTGACAATCTCTTGCGATCTAGAATAGATAGTTGGATCAGTGATCAGTGCATGTTGACATGTCTGTCTGTTATTTTTTGTTACATTTAGAGACAGACACACGTATACCCACTTAACTAGACTACCTGTTGAAACTTTATATAATTTAAAACCACAGTTTATTGGGTTAGCTGCTGAACATCTAGAAAAAAATTTAGTAAGCTGATATTAAATAATTACAGGATTAATTACACACCCTTAATAATTACACACCCTATTCACTTAGTTAATATCAATTTATTCATACTTACAATTTTATTCATAAAGATTTACTATCTGATTTTTGCTTTGTGATTTTTTTTAAGACCAATTAATGATTTTTTTTTAATGTGATGCGAATTTTATTGAAATGCCATAGTAACAACATTAATTGCTTAAAATCTCAACCCTATAATTTAAACAAATTTATTTTGACCTTTTTATTTTTGGTACTCCGGGTTATTCATTTTAACTTCCGAATCTAGTTTTTATAGTTATTGTCTAGTGTTGTAAAAAAAAATGTATTGTATACCAAAGTAGGGAGATTTTGATCAAAGGAGACTTGAGTAGCTGATTTGTGTTGTTTTTGTCGTAACTGTAACATTTTTTTATGATCGTATGCAGGTTTTACACAATCATAATAGGAAGTCATATCTTCAACAGTCTAATGATTACAATAGTTGTGTATGCCAAATAAATCTAAAAGGAACTGAACTGCTAACATTATCTCTGTAATAAAATCTAATATAATAAAAAACAAAAACTGCCAAAATTTTAAGTAGATAAATTCTTAGACTAGAACTAACCATGCTTTTAGAATCATTATACTTTAATTTTTAAAAACATGCAAAATATAATAAACATTTTTTTAACTCTTGTTATTCTGTGTAAGTAAATTTTTAAATAGCACAATATCGAGAAGGATATTTCAATATCTGTCTGCGAGGTTAAGAAATAACTAATAATATATTGTCCTGCCTAGTTCAAGTGAATGAGGACATTAAGTGTTGCATGTATTATTTTTTTATTCAGCATGCACCACAAACAAAAGTATTAAATAATTTACATCAAAACATGTTTGTATTTTTTCATAAATTTCTCTTTGTTCAGATCATTTTTAATGAACAACAATATTCATTGGATTTTTTTTTTAATGAAGTCATCTACTGTAGATAAACAGAAATAAACTTGGATAATTCATTGTTACTTTTTGTTTTAAAAAGATTGGACGCCTAACTTGAATAATTTTAAAAAATAAATAAAAAAATTTCATTTTGAAAAATTTGATATGGTAATAATTTTTCTTATGGTGTGCTGAATTTTAAATTCCCAAAAACAAGTAACAGGTAAAAAAAAAATGTAAAACAAATACAGAACAGGGGAGTTAAATCTTTTGCCCCTGTTGCAAGTCCGCAAGTTTGTTTGCTTCTGTCCTCTCTCAGGTGGTCCACTCCCATTGGGGGGGCTCAGCCTGATTGGCTCCGCCAGCTCTCCAGACTTTTCTCGTCTTGGCGTGCACGGAGAGATGGGTAGGTAGTGATCATGCTCTATCACCCAGGCCTCTACTGGTGTCTGGTTGTTGTCCAACCCTTCATATTTTCATGGTTTCAAGGACCCAACTATAACAGGCTGCTCAGCACATTTTTTTTGCAGGAATAATCCAATCAGCATTCTCTTGCTTCGGGATTTTTAAACAGGGATAATTCAATAAATTTATACATTTTTTTTAACACGGGAAATATACAGCCAAGTGATATTTTTTTAATTTACTTTGTGTTATTACTAATTTAAGAAATTTTATTTTTCTCTGAGAATTTTTTTAAAGTTGATTTTATGTGCAGTTGGTGAAAAGATACCTTTTTTAGTATATTAAAACAAGTATCTTTTTGTTTTATGAGTTTAGTAAAACTTAATGTAATGCTTTGATAAATATGATTCTTCGTAAGTAAAAAATTGTCATCAGACAAATCAGATTTTTTTTAAAAAAGGGCTGGAAAAAAAGTATAGTTATTTTAGCTTACTTTTATAATGGCCCTACACTTGTTCGGTTGTTCAAATACTGAAAAAATATTTTGAGTTTTCTTACTTAGTTTCAAATGCTGAAACAGAATGTCACACACCCCACAACAACAGCTATCTCAAAATATCAGGAATATTTGTATCTGCGCAATACATCATATGTTACAAGGGAACACAAGACTGTAGCACTTTGTGTTTCTAATTAAGCTGTAACATTTTACATAGATTTTTTTTTTAAATAGATTTTGTTTACAAAAAAGTTGTTTTACAATCTTTGATAATTTTTTTTTAAATTCATGTGACTACTTTAGTGCACTGTTAGTTTTATTTAAGTGTTTCACCTTCTGCACTGGACAGCTGTTTCCTTATATACTCAGATTTTCAACCACAAATTGTGGACAGTTAAAAGTTATGAAATAGTATAATTGTTTGTTTTTAACTATCGCCTAATGTTACCAATTGTAATAAAAAAATTATTTAAAAAAAAACACACGAAAACTTGAAGTAAAAGTAGCTGGGTCCTGTGATCATGGCTCATCATTTTTTTATTCCCACAACTTGTACCTGCTTGATGCAATTTTATGAAAGCATGAGTATTTTAAAATTTATTCTTTTGAAAAATCTGTTTAAAAGTTGTTTTTATTTCTGGCTAGAAAATAATTTATTTTCTCAAATATTGAGAAATGTACTTGCAATAAGATGTGGCAACACATCCATACTGCAGTACTTAAATATTTTGAGTTAGGGCACATACACCAAATATTTTTATCCATCTTTGTTCATTTCAGTGTAATTACCTTCCCCTCAAAAAAATATATAAACAAGTTTTTCTTTTCATTTGTCTATTTACTGAACAACCTTTCATAAATGTTATTCAATCGAGTTTTTTTTAAAAAAATAGGTCCAAATAATATTACAACAAAATGTTTTATTTTTATTAAAACATTATGAATATTAAAGCATCCAGCGAAAAAAAAAAAAATTTTTTGTTTACATTTCTGTTACTATTATGGCCATTTGATTAATTCTCTTTTGGATGATCTAATTGGAATGGTTTAGAAGCACCAAGTATTAACACTATCTCGACAGCTCTGTTCTTTGTCTATCTTGATCACCATCATTGATATTTGAAGTGTCTCTATCCCCGTTAAATACACCCTATATTTCTGGACATGTGTCTTTTCTCTTAAACATCCCAGGGTTATAACATTTTTTTGAAAATGTTTTCTTATGCTCCCAAACTTTGAAGGTCAGCCAGACTTTTTGTGTGTGCATGGTTAAATAATTTAATTTGCCTTTTTCTTTTTTTTTTACAAATAAGAAATATAGTTTGATCCCTATAGAATGTAGATTTAGATTATTGGCACCTTTTTTTTTAGAAAAAAAAATAATTGTTTTGTAAACTTGCTGCTTGAAATTTTTTGGTTGCATTTTATTTCATTGCCAGATAACATTTTTGTCCCAATTCTTAAATAACAATGAAATTTATTAAAAAATATTTTTAAAAAAAATTCAAGTCCTCCAATTGTATGCCTTTGTTTTGTACATTCTGATTAATTTTTTAGATTTAAAAAATAGTATCTTTATTTAAAAAATTTAATCAACAAAGTGTTATCAAAAACAAATTTTTCATTATTAGAAAAAACTTAGTTGCCATGGGAACAGAATTTTCCCACAGCATATTATTTTAAAAGGAAAATGCAAAAGTAATGATAAATTAATCTTCATTGGAAAAAAAATGGGATGCTTGACTGTCGCATATTCTTAGATTGATATTGGGTTTGGTAACATTTTTAACTAAAATATTTTGTACCATCAGCATTGAATCATGTAGGTTTATGTAGCTATAAATTTTGAAAATTTATATTTAAAAACAAAATAAAATTTAAAGAAGTTAATAACCAAAATAAGAAAACACCTCTTTTAGTTTACACCCACATATTTTTTTAAGCAATTTCTTTTCCTTTGGCTTCTTTGCTTTTATATTGTTTTGCTGTTCTTAATTTTATCCTTTTCATTTTGACTGCTTTGGCTTTTTATTAATCTGCACAAAATACTGGCTATCACTGTCATTCAAATAAAAATCTATGTATTTATTGAAGGCAGCATTGACAAATATCTGGTATCACAGAATTAATTCTTCAGTAGATAGACATCTTTGATTACTGCTCACTCCTTTTTAAGTTGAATTAATGAATATATTTTTTTTTAAATAATTCCCCTATTTTAATACTACGTGATAATTTTTCCCACCGTGTAATTTAAATAATCATCCAATTAAAACACCTTTAAAGGTTTCAATTATTAAAGGCTACAATGAAACTACTAGAAATTCTCTTCCCGAAATAGTTTTATGTATGTATGTATGTTCTGTTTATCATTGAGGTCCTATTGAAGAAGTAAAAAAATATATTTTATTTAGTCCACTAAATAATTTGATCCAATAGCATTTTGTAAGTGTTATCTGTGTTTATGGTATTTTTATTTTTTTCTGTTTACAGGCTAACCATTTTATTATTTAATGATGGGAACTTTGTTTTTACTTTATTGGGGAATTTTGTTTTGGAATATTGTTTTAGATGTGTTACTTTTAAAAAATTTCAATTTCAATGTTGTGCTTTAGCTTGTCATTAAAGCTGGCTTGTTTTTTTTATACACTTTTATAGCCTTGGAAGGATTTAACAATGTCCCTCTGCTGCATCCTCTGGAGACCCTGCACAACAACTTGACCTTCCATCAAGTGGATGACTTCCTGGGTCGTGTCACAACCAATAAATTCACAGTACCTGATGTGACAATAGCACTAGCATCACTGAGTTCCAAGACTGTTCTCAGTTTGTGTTCCCCTGGTAGAGGTAGGTCCAAATAAATTCACAGTACCTGATGTGACAATAGCACTAGCATCACTTAGTTCCAAGACTGTTCTCAGTTTGTGTTCCCCTGGTAGAGGTAAGTCCAAGTAAATTCACAGTACCTGATGTGACAATAGCACTAGCATCACTGAGTTCCAAGACTGTTCTCAGTTTGTGTTCCCCTGGTAGAGGTAAGTCCAAGTAAATTCACAGTACCTGATGTGACAATAGCACTAGCATCACTTAGTTCCAAGACTGTTCTCAGTTTGTGTTCCCCTGGTAGAGGTAAGTCCAAGTAAATTCACAGTACCTGATGTGACAATAGCACTAGCATCACTGAGTTCCAAGACTGTTCTCAGTTTGTGTTCCCCTGGTAGAGGTAGGTCCAAATAAATTCACAATACCAGATGTGAGAATACAATTGACTGAATTTTAAGACCTCATTCCTCTCATACAGTTGCATTCTGTCTTGACTTTGTTATCAAACTTTTATTAAATAAACATATTATCCCAGTGTTTTGAGCTCTTCCACTTCAAAGTCAAATTCAACACCCCAGACATGAAAGAAACATTTTCTGAGTAATTGAATTAGTAAAGTTTCCTTTCTAAATTGACGGTCCATGAGTAGTCAACACTATGCCCATAGTATGCTCTCCTATTCAACCATGCAGTCCCATAATCAGATATATATATATATGAACTTTCTTTCATTCCCTGCTAGATTACTAATAAGCTATTTTTGTGTCAACAGTAGCAGAGCTTCCATCATCGAGTAATTCCAGCGGAGGCCCCAGCTCACCTGTTGTGTTGACCACTCCAGATCTGTATAAAACGCTGGGCATGTTTATGGCCACAAGGTGTGCCTCACAGAGTGAGAGCGAGTCGGGATCAGAGACAAAGATAGAAGATATTAAAGGTAAGATTTAACTTTTCTTTTTTTTTGTGAGTCTAAAGATATTTAGCCATTTTACTTCACTTGTATTAAAAAGTTAAAATATATAGATTGTTATTCTTTATTTGCCCTAGTCAACAGTTTTTAAAGTAGTCTTTTGGTAAGTTTTATTTTGTAAACATTAAGAATCCAGATTTGAGGTAAGTGAACTGCCTCAACTCATTATCACCTGTACCAAATGTTTACAGAATATCTGATGGTGTCAGTAGATAAACATGAACAATTGTATTTGATAATTTAGTAAAAAAGGGAAATCATAATTTTCTCCAGATGCTAACATGTCGCAGAACACAAAAGATGGAGAAGAATGTCTGGATATATCTGCAGCAATGGCTGGCAGCTATATTGTTACAATGGACCACAAGGATAACATTTTCTTACCACAAGACAGTTTAGAAGAACTTGTTTTAGATGAATCTGGAGTGAAGTGATTGTTTTCTTTTATTAGTACTTGGTGAATTCTGAATAACTTTTCTTGCACTGTTGAAACAAGTGCTGGACACATTTTCATACATTAGTACTTGGTGAATCCGGAATAACTTTTTTTTTTACGATTTGTTGGAGTGAATTATCTCAGTTTGCTAATGAGAGGGCTACAAGATTTTTCTTAGAAATTTGATGCTCAGTTTTAGTCATCTAGAAAACAACCACAAGTATTTTTTTAAATTAACTGTTTACATGTGTGCTTTCAATAATTTTTTTTATTGAATTGTTTGAATACTCTTAAAAAAGAAATACTTTTCACAGAACCATTAAGTAGTGCTGTGTAGGGTTATGATTTTTTCCCTTCTTTACCCACAATAAAGATTTTCTCTTTTTATTTGAATTTTTGGTAATAATCAATATTCTTAGAATTTAACATTGCTAATTCAGTCCCAACACCAGCTCCCACACCTTTCCCCCTTGTTTCCAAAACTATGGGACAAGTTGTCATAAATATATTTTCATTACAATTGATGCAGTAATATAGAACTAGCTATCTTTGTCTAGTCACAAATTATACTAGTAGAAAAAGATTTTAGGGCTTATTTTATTATTAATCAAGATGCGACTGTCTTTTTTTTGTATATTGTGTTGTATAAATTGTAAGTGCCATTATATTTATAACTGACCAGGCAGCGAATTGACTGAGTGAAATACCACATTGTTTCAATGCATTTACTAGGACTTTCAGTATTTTTTTATCATTGAATAAATGTCTTTCATGATTATTGGAAGAAAAGATTTCATTGGTTGTGTTCTACCATTTTTAGTCTGTGTTCTAAAAATTTTTAGTTTGCAGTAAGAAATGCACTGTATACATAATTATTAAATTGAATTTTTAGCCTGATCCATACATATGGGGTGTTAGACCGCTAACCCAAAAGTCTAGAATTCAGATCCTGGGATCAAGTTTGTAAGACATTCTTGAGTCCACCTAGCTCTAAAAGGGTAGCTGATAAACAATAAGGCAGGTGGCTGGGCATAGTGCTACGCTATCCCTCCATATGCTGAGGTCACTAAAGTTTTGAAAGGGTACTTTATTTTTATATTTATGGGGGGGGGGGGAGTAGGTTGCATTTTTATAGTTTTATTTATTTGTAAGTAGTAGTGTTGTCAGGAGTTTTTTTTACTATAGAACTAACTTGTCCTTTTAAAAATTGCATTTAATTGCTTTGCATTGAAAAACATCACAAATAATATAATATTGGCCCTTTCATATTTATACTAGGCTAGCTTCCAAAAAACAAAATGATACATACAAGTATAAAATATATGTTTAATAATTCCTTCTTATAATTGAAATGACAGCTTTCAGAGTAGACTGAAGAACAAAACACTACAATGTAAAATTGTATACAAAATAAGGTTATGTAACTTTATACATTGAGATAACAGATACACTTGTTAGTAAATGTAGGTGAAAAAAGAGCATTAACTAAAATGCTATAACCTTAAGCATTGATTTTTTTTTTAAGTCCACAAGTATACTGATAAATAAAACATGAATGAAAACCAATATTGAGATTATGTAGCAGTAAAAGTTGTGACAACCATGATATAAATATACATCAACAGGTAAATTAAAACTAAAAATTATCGTTTTAAACCTAACAAAGATTATTAATACAATTATCCATTTTCTGACAACTATTTGGATTCCAAAATACAAGATCAACCAAAACTATGGATCTAGTTGCAAAGTGACATTCATGTCAGCAAAAAATTACCAAACACCATCGTATGTTTACATAACAGAGGGCTAAAGATCTACATATCACAAAATAAAACCGAATTTGTATCACCAGTTTAGTTAGGTAAAAGTGTGTCAGAATTTTCCATCATTTTTATGGTGTAGTTTACTTAAGTCTAATCCAATTTTATGGTCAAATGAGATCACTACATGCACTATACTTGCTACAGAGTGGGCAAGAACCTATTTTTACATAGTGTGAGCACAAAATGAGCTGGGTGTGTGCATGTATACAAGATAAAATCCTGAAAATGAGATTTATCTTTTTTTAACTGCCTGCATACAATCAGATGTATCACTCCCATGCTTTACATACAAACATGCTATTCATGATTTACAACACAAACATATTGATTTCACCCATTACTTTTTGTCCAAATAACAAATCAGAAATTTTTCCACCTGAACCCCACTATATGATTTAGTTTTGGTAAAATGACAAGAAGAGTGGGTACACCTGGGGAAAGTAGGAGAGACTAGCCATGGACATATGCCTGAAAGCTCTTGTCAGCATATCCCAGGAGAGCGACAAGCTTACTTACTTAACATGACCAAAGATAATTTAATTTTTTAAAATGTAGGTAGGGTTTATATATACTTTTTAAAATATTTTAATGCACACGAAGATATAGTCAATTTTACTTGAATAATTTCATAAACACAGCTTGAATTGGATAAATAAAAACAGATGAAGTAACACAGATTTCTCATCAGCAAAAGTTCAATCATGGAGGTGTGTGACCAATACAAATCTCATCACACAATTACAGGAACATTCTACACAAGTTCACTCATATTGCTAGAATTCTATTAATAATTTATTCAAGAAAAATTTCATCAATCCAAATCATAAAAAAACTAATGTAACAAACTTAAGAACAATCAGTTGTTTGAGATCTAGGTAAAAAAATTCTAACATATTTACTAAATAAGGACGTTATTTTCCCTACACTAATATTAACTGCTTTTATAAGATACTTTTATTTTTAAAATATTTTTAGTTTATTAACTAAAAGAATATTTTTGAAATCTTAAAGTGAGGGTGACATTAGACTCTATAACACCTGTAATGTTACAAACAGTGCTGATGATTTAATATAAAAGTATGTACATATCAAAATATGTATATGAGAAAGATACATTCAAAACAAAAAAACTTGCAAATAAAAGGGAATACAATTTTGCTCAATATATGAAGCTTATGTTTTAAAAAGTTAGCATCGGGAATCTACATTTATCATTGAACATCAGCAAATATGTCAAACAAAACAATCATTAATTTATGTAAATAGGACATTAACTTTCACTATGTACTAATAAAATGTATAATCTTATTTACTTAAAGAGTGTGAAATTTTTGTTTTATAGCATATTTTAAAATAGTGTTTTAAAATAAATAGAAATAAATATAATTAATGTAATCAAAATTTGAGCCTTAAACCACTTCTTAAAATAATTGAAGTAATTTTCAACATGGCAATTTATTAGAATTGATCTTGCATCAGAATTTCTTCAATCCAGTTTAAAACAATCATTACATTCTATTCACTAGAAGAATATTTCTAAATTTGTATGGCTATTCATAACTATCACCATAACCCACACCTCTCTGGTTGGGATTTTAAAACGATACAAAAAATATAATTTAAACACTTTACCTGGAACAATTTCATGTATATTCAATGAGCTAGAAATATTCCAACAATTAATTCAATGGGAAAAAAATTGTATCTTTAAACTCAGAGCTCCATTAATAAGGCAAGTTTGAAATCTTTTATAAAGCTCCAAGATTGGTGTGAGATCTTGACCCTGAGAAAATACAATGAAGAAAACAATAGATAAATGTGCCATGTAAAGTATTTACAACTTTTAATTTTTTCATATATTTTAAAATTAAATTTTATGTAGTTGTAAAATGTCTACCTTATGCTACATTGTCATTTTAAAATTGAAGAAAACTGCTCATCAGCCCTTAGAACTTACTTGGTAGTGTCCCTTTGTTTGATCTTGGTCTGCCAGAAGAACCAAAGGCTATTTCAGATTGTGGACGCTTCTGTGGATGGCGTCCTTTAAGGTCATCTGTCATACGCAGCACTCGCGTACTTCCTCCGTAAGCAGATTCAGCTTTCTTCAGGTATGTAGGGGGTGCACTGTACAGGCTACTTCCAGGGTGTTTTAAGTGGGTAGCCACTACAAAGGGGAAAAAATGCATTCTTTATACCTTAGCACACAATTTATCCCACTGTAAGAGACAAGAAAAGATCTACAAACCTTACTTGTACAGAATGTAGCTTGTCATTTTTTTTAACAAATTATATTTAAAATTTATACATATGCATATATATATATATATATATATATATATATATATATATAATATATATGCATATATATATATATATATATATATATATATATATATATATATATGCATATATATATATGCATATATATATATGCATATATATATATGCATATATATATATGCATATATATATATGCATATATATATATATATATATATATATATATATATATATATATATATATATATATAGGGCCTATATATATATATATATATATATATATATATATATATATATAATTGTGTAATTGTGTAAACTGAAAATGTAAATAGAAAAAGCAGAGGATATATTTAAGCAATTAAAAAAATGTATAGCCAATACATTTTCGCTACATAAAATTATCCTTACTGCTAAAATAAAAAATAATCGAATTTTATTAATGAGATGTAAAAATGTTGTAAATTAAGTCTTTTTTTTATCAATAATAATTATATGATAACCTTTATTAACAGGTTTAGATTTCAATGTCAGAAAAAGCAAAACAGATAAGCAAATTATTATACTGTATGCACGTTTATCTTTTTTTAGAGCAATTAATGGAATATATCAATGTAAGCATTGTAGCTATTAACAGCTTATCAAAATGTAATATTTAAGATAAAAACAAAGTCTAGATTCTTGTATACATAAGTTTTTTAAAAAAAAAGCAAACGCCTAAAAATACTTGCGTTATTCAACCCTCTATATGTTGTCTGAAGCACAGCAAAAGAAATGAGAAAGTAGAAAGTTTGAACACAGACCCCCAGCCTTACTAGGATCACCATTTCCAATGATCACTGGCTCGGAGTAAATTCCCTGGTTATTGACAAATATAACAGAAGAAGGTCCTTTGCTTTTGTAGGACGGTGGAATGATAACTGAGCCACCGTAGATAGTTTCACGGTCATCTTCCAGGTAAATACCCTCCACACCCATGTTCACCAATTGACGAACCTTTGAAATAATTCAAGGCATTTCATTAGCAATATTTACAATGTATTGTATAACTTAAAATATGTGTAAATATTCAAGTTGTATTCTACACTTTGCTTGATACTGATTTTCATTACCTTTGGCAAAAACATGACAAAGAGAATAAGGCTGGCTGTGATAAGAAGGCCAAAAGCAACACATCCGTCACCAAATTCTTCAGAGTATGCATGATTCTTATTTAGGCCTCCAATCAGACCCCAAGCCAACCAAATGGGAATGCTAAATTTAAAGAAATATGAAACCATAAATTTTGTTGAAATTAGATGTCAGCAGGCGAAATAAAGTATTGGGTTAAATTCCTCATCTGCCTGTAAAAATCCAGACAAACTTGGCTTCCTACAATGCAACCGGGAGTACATTGAATGATGAAACATGGGAAAGAGTTTTCTCAACTCTGAACTTTTAGGTTTGCCATGGCAGCCAACACTATATACAATCTATTATTTTATATCAGCTGTATACCAAATTACATTGGATAGAAACAGACAAAAGTATGATCAGAGAGAAAAATCTAACAAGGCTAAGCAAAACAGAAATCTAGACTAAAATATTGTGAGATAAAACCTACCTAAATCCAGCCGCTAATCCAATGAAGATGCTCTCCCTGTGGTTGGTGATGATGCCGTGAGCTCTGAGGGACAGTATGGTGGTGATGAGGATCATGACCATGATGTAGATCAGAGACATCAGGTGGTTCTCAAAGTTGGTGCGTGTAAACTTGCTCACGTCCTCCTGTGAATTTCCCACCTCCCAGGTGTAATGGTTGCATACCCACACCTTGTCTCCATTGTTTGTCGTTACCTTGACAGCCTCAGGTGGGACTATGATGAGCCACTGAATATCTATGACAATCTGAAACAATTATAAATCACTGTATATCTATGACAATCTGAAACAATTATAAATCACTGTATATCTATGATAATCTGAAAAATTATAAATCACTGTATATCTTTGACAATCTGAAACAATTATAAATCACTGAATATCTATGACATTCTGAAACAATTGTAAGCCACTGTATGTCTATGACAATCTGAAACAATTATATTTCACATTATAAATCACATTTTAAACCAACTTTGCACTAAATAGCTCCCATGATAATTTAAAACAAATAGCTCTCATGAATTCTTTCATAAGTTTAATCTTATTTGCCTGTTGAACATTAAATTAAAACTACAACTTAGAATCACTGCATTTATTTTATCATCATTCCTTTTTAATCAAATCATTAAATTCAACAGTAGTAACAGAATTAAAATATACAAAAACATTAAGATTTAGTGTTAAACAGCATTTTGATAAAAGAGAATACATTGAGTATCATAAATGTAAATAATTTGTATGAATACATAATATATGAATAAATAAAGCAACATGACTAGTTTGATGGACTAAATGATATTAGTTAGCAATTCTCAATTTTTAAACAAAAATACTGAAGACTAAGTGATTCTTTTTTTTTAAATAACAAAAAACTATACCTGGACACCAACAGCAAAAATGAAAAGAAGAAATTGGTAAATCCCCTTCAGGTAGTTAGGAGATTCCAGTTCTCCAGTAAACAAAACCTCTGAAGTTTTTGATGTCAAGATGACCATCAACTTGACAAGCAGAACAGCAAAGCAAAAAGCATAGGAGACACCAACTCCAAATCTAGTGATGCCACAAGTTGCCTGAATGAAAAAAAAATTTGAAATTATTTTAAAATGTTTTACAAAATAATTTAAGGGACAGTGGTGTGAAATGGGGTTCCCCAGCAGGGCCTAGCTAGTGGGGAAAAAAATATAAAAGAAACTTTTATAATAACAAGCTACAACTGGCCACAACATCACAAATCAATTTGACAAGATTCAGTATTATTTGATACTCTTTGGGGACTTGTCTAGTCCTCAGAGTTCAAGGACTACATGACACTGCCAAGGGAATTATTTTATAAGAAGAAAATGATGTTTCTGACAAACCTTGGTTGGAATAGGGAGATAAGCAAACAGGACTAGGTAGCAGAGGAAGATTCCAAACAGCAGCAGTTGTCCCAGCCACATGGTGCGCCACTGCTTTCCCATGCGAGTTCCAAGTAGCTTGTACAGGATGTAGATCTCAAAGATAATGACACATAGAATACCCAGCCCTGCAAGGATACACAACAAGCAAACAGGAAGTGAGATAAAAAGGAATTTACATTTAAATATTACAAGAAAATTAGATCAATTAACTTTTAGTCTAGAATGTTCTAGGTAAAATTTATTTTAAAGATGTCGAGTAAGATGTGATTTTTAATATATATAGATGAAAGGCTTACATTTATTTTAACTTAGAAAACATATTGTTTGTAACATGATTTTCTAATATGGAAACAATGATACTGGAGAAAGGCTTTTAAAAGTGATTTATCTTCATACAAATAAAAGAACACGGAGACATAAAATTACCTGCAAGAACACCAAGTGCAATGATCCATTTGTGACCAAGGTCAAAGCGAGTGCCATATTCTTCATTGGCACGATATACATTTTGATAGGCACCAGTAATGACTTGGCCTAGTGGATATTGTACGGGACTGAAATTGAAGAGGTTTAACAATCAAAATAGTAAAATACTGATTTTAAAAAATTTAAAATTGTTATATTTTGATACCAAGGCTTACGAAAATGTGTGATGTTACATATAAACAAAATGGGCCAAAATTTTTAAATTATATCTGGAGTAGACAAAAATAAAGAAAAACACTACACAATGCTGATTAAGGGAATGATTTTATGACTGAGATTAACTCAAGATACACGAAAACTAAGATATTTTTTATATTAAATGTATTCCCCGCACTGGCCATGTTCAGATAACAGAATTGAGCATGATAGTTACATATCGTGTTTAACCATTAATGTCCCGTAACGCCCGCTGCCGCCCGACACCGTTAATGTCCCGTAACGCCCGCTGCCGCCCGCTTACAATAAGCATAAAAAAATTAAATTTGTTTCATTAAAATTTGGCCTACAAATCCAAATTTTTAACTAAACAGGAAGTCGGATGGTTTCAGCATCCTTTTCCGGTCTTGTAATTTCAATGGCGCTTTTGAAAGATAAAAAATAATAGTTTCTTTCTATCTCGAAATTTTCGACTCATCTGTCGTATTTTTAGTAGATTTAATATTAAAAATAAAAAAAATTAATGCCTCTAAACGTATCTAGGCATGTATTTTATGAATTATATATGTTAAACATAACCAAATTGATATTTAACTGTTAAATTCGATGCATAGTTGTTACGACAAAAATAAATAAAGTTGACTACCGAAAATGACCTGTTTTGAATTTTCTCAGACATTTTTTATTTTTATACTGTACTTTTACCGAATATAATATATTCTATTTAATACTGTTGGAAAGCCAGGTTTATTCCCAACATTAAGCAGTACTTTTTATCTTAATTTTCAATTTCATTTAGACAAAAACAAATATTTTGTGAAACTATTCACTTGATCATACAGAGTTATGCTCCTTACATTGGGCCGTCATGGGTGGAGTTTTGGTAGAATGAATGGGACATTAATGGTTAAAGATGCAATTCTATTAAGATTATGTTAATTTTTTAAAGTACATAAATTAGTCCTTTAACTATTTATATATAGATTTTAACATAGTTTTAAATTTTCATTTTGTTTTTAAGGCTTGTATAATTTCTCTTAAAATCATAAAACAAGTATATTTTGTTAGGTCTCTTTATACAAAAGTTAGTACCGAAAGTGAAAGTACAAATCAACCTACACAGTTGACAGTGAACCAGTACTAGAGATAACTGGTTGTTGTGTGGTCATGCTGATTGTGGTAGGGGCAACAGTTGTAGGAGGTTCACAGCACTGGCCAGATATAGGACAAACTGGCTCGCTAAACTGATAACCATACTGGTTTACATCCATCACATTGACATCAAATTTGACTGTTAAACTAGAGCTGCTGACAGTGACTGTTCCAATCTAAACATTTAGAAAAGAAAGTTTTTATTTACAGAAAGTCTAGACTAGGAATCTAAAACAAGATTAAATCCAGCATCAAGATAGGGCATACTGATAACAGAAGGCCCTTTTGTTTTTGAAACTAGTATCCTCTTAAAAATTTACATGCAGTATGTATAATTAAAACCAAACAGTCAACTTAAAAACAGTGATGGATGGGATTTTTTCATAAGTGTAATTTATAAAGACTAAACATGTAATGTTTCAATTTTTTAAAAGTAAATATCAAACTTGCTAAAACTATACCAAGCGCTCACATCTTTAAAACTTCCAATTGAATTGCCAACATAGAACAATGAATATTTGTACTGGTTTCCTATAAAAGATTGAGAAGAGTCTAAGATGCCACTGTATAGGTAGTCTTGTTTGCTGTTTGGTTGATTGCGGAATCGATCACAAAATTGGTAATTCGCCCCTGAGGCACAGCCATCTCTCATTATTTTGTCAATGCCCTGTACAAAATGTGAAATATAGCATATAAATTTAAACAATTTCAGCTTGTTAAAACATGAATTCTGATGGCTAATACTTCTTCCAATTTCAACTTAAACATGACCAAAAAAATTTCAATATTTAATATAATGAAAAATTTCAAGTCTTCTATGGTATTCCTGGTTTTTAAAAATCTAATTTAGGCAGAAAATAATTGCTATTCACTAGTTTTAATGCTAATTAGCCCACTAGTTATAGATGACACTAGATGACCCAGTTACCCGTTGGGAAAAAAGGTCTGACACAAACCAATTTCACACTACACCCATCCTATAATGGTTTCTCACCCCAAAAACAATCCCTCTTCTTAGACCTGACCTCTCGCTCAGGCCATACGGAACAATTATTTGTCTCTCTTCGATGGCTTTTTTACTTAGAAGCTCAGCACCCTCTGACAAAAAGCTAGGTACTTTTTTCTTGTTGAAATTAGTCACTATATTTCGTTTGCATAATTAAATGTGTTTTTTTAAAGTGAATGCATCAATCATTTTATAAAAGTCCTAAAAGAAATTTTTGTTTACATACATTTTAAAAATAATTATTTTTATTCTTCTACATATTTACGTATTTCAAAATTTTACACATATTGTACATCTTCTGATCTAGCAATATAGACATATACACGTTCATTCTATAAACAAAGTTGAGTTTTAGTAGTATATAGATAAGTAGCATCACATTTACATTAGGAAATGTGTAACACCAAAGTTGTAGGTAAGAATAATGCAGCTGAGTTATATAAGCATATAAGCAATGTTTGTATACCTTAATTACACTATATACACTTGTCAATGTTTTAACAATGCTGTGTATTAAAGGTGTTGGTGCTCTTTGCCAGTCAGATGGTAACCTTTAAAGAAATCAATTAACAAATGAAACAAAAAATTGATCTAGGAGTGGATTAGCATAGGCGGAAAATTGAATTAAAGCAGTAGAAAATAATAATAGACTAGCATTTAACCAAGCAGTGGGTAAGTGAAGAAAAATTTCAATGATGGAGGATAATTTTCTGCCGTTGTCGTATAGTACAACAAATCAGATAGTTAAAATTAAAATTACTCTTACTTGCTGCTAAATGATGTTAACCAATCAGCTGGAATGTACTTAGCAAGTGTAATATTGTTTTGCACTGAGGTCAAATATGTTGTGAAAGCACTCCAGTCTTGTGATGATATTGGCATTTTGTCGACTTGATCTATAACAACTGTGTTATTGGTTGTTTTACCATATAATGTAAGAAAGTTGCTGATGAAAAGAAACATGGATTATTTATTAGAAGCACAGTAAGAAAAATGCTCAACATGTTAAATGAACATTGTATCCTGAATAAAAGTGAGGGTCACTCATAATAACGTAACTAGAAAAAATAATTAATAGTGCTTATACGTGCAAGTTTTTGTATATATTTAGATAAAGTAAGCTGAACCAAAAAATCAACTCACCTGTCTTGTCCAATTGCAGATGTTAGTATATAGTTAAACTTATCAGCAATTTCTGTTCTAAGATTTATATTGTTAAACAGTGTATCCAGGTCTGCTTTGGACATGAGTGGGACAATATACTTTGCTTTTATTCTCGATTTCAGGGCATCCAATAAATCATTTATCTGTTGAACAGTTTTGATTATTTATATCTGAACACACTAATTCTTAAATTAGCTGAGAAAGTAAATGAGTTAGCATTTTCATAATCAATATTACAACTTTATAAATTTTGGGAATTTATATTGCCTACCCTTAATAAATTATGTTTAAAGTTACAAATCAACAGAACCCACTAGAAATTTAGAGTTTCAAGAATATACAACATCAGTTTCAAAATTTTAAACTGTTGATATACTCTCTCAGAATCAGGGTCTGTAGGACTTCTCTGAGTCCACCCAGCTCTGATTGGTACCTGACTCACGAAACGGAAAGTAAATGCAGCTGGGCAGTATGCTGTCAACACAATTTCTTGATGTACCAAGATAAAAGGAACGCGAACTCAACTTCAGCTGCCTTCGGATTCTTTTTTTCTTTTGCAAGACCATGCTATAAATGGATATTTTCTTTAAATCTTGAATTCTAAATTGATAAACTTTCAAGGTTTGCTCATAAAAACATTGTTTTTGTGGCCTGTTTTTTTCTGTTTTACACATCTTTTCTGGGACAAATTCTCCACATTTTTGTTTTTTAATTTACATCATCTTTCTTTATTTCAAGAGACTACAAAGACAAGTATTTTAGTAGGCCTACTTACTGGCATAGATTTAAAATCTGCAGTGTATTGGATGCAAATGCTTTGATCCATTTGATTCTTTAGTTCATCAAAAGCTGCCTTCCAAAAGCTGTCACTACCAGCATAGATGATGATGACATATCCAGACTTCACTAGTTTCAGAAATTCAACTATTGCCTTCAGATCATTTAGAAATGATGGGCTCAACCTCAGTAAAGTTTTCTGCTTGCTGATATTTTGATCTGTGAAAATATTTAAGTAGATATGAACACTTGTACTTATCAGTGGGAATGACCATATATTATTTCACACACATGTTGTACCAGAAATTCTCACCCAGAGCATTAGCTGTAGGACTAACAAGAGTAATCTTCAGATCACCAGCAATGCTGCCTGCCCTTGTTGCATCCTCATTAGTGTAAGGACCCACAAACGCCACCAAATTGCTTGCAGGTAAGTTTTGTATGTGTATGTCACATTGTGAGTAACTCAGAATGTGCTCTATAGTCTGAAATTAAGTTATCAATATTCCTTATTTAGACATACATTTTTATTGAAGTTTAAAAAATAAAACCATTCTAATAAGCAAACTAAAGGAACACATTAACTTCAATCACAATAAATTAAAAAAAAAAACATATTTTAAATATTTATTTGCTTTACACAGAATCTTTTTTTCAGGAACAGATAGCTAGATGTAACAAAAATTCTCTAACAGTCAATGAATCTACCTACCAACTCTGGTCTCATACAGTTGTCAAACGCCACAGCACCTACACTGCTACGGTTGGTATCAATAATCTGGGCACTATATCTATCAATAGCCCAGAAAAAAGCCTGTAAAAAATATAAAACATGTTAGTCCTTAAGAAAACATTTCCTAGAAAAGATTAAAATTAGATATTGAATGAGTCAAACTGACAACAGTGTGACCATTTAGTGTATGCTAATCAAAAATGGTAATCAAAGAAGATATGTCTTGCTCTGAATATGTTGGGTCCTAAAAATGTTTGAAAGCCATAAAGTAAACTGCCAAATAAAAATCTCACCAGAGCATTAAAGATCCCTGTATCAGACAGTGCAGTAGAACATAGATCAGTGCTATCCCCATCCCCTTTGTTGTGTACATCAAAAAGACCACCAACAATAAAGAACTGGTTAGGGTTAGAATATGCTGGTTGTTTGGTTGCTGCCCCATTAAAATAACATTCTGATGTTGTAAATGTAGTTGGACATGTTTGACTTTGACTTGCCACACCTGTCAGGCAAATGAAAGCCAGGCACAACGTCTGAAGCAGCCACATCTGAAACAAAAACACACATTTTAAACCCAGGACAGCTGTTGTTACAGTATCATAATTATCAATTAAGACTCACAGACTTGCTTTTTAAAGGGTTTTGGTCTTGGTTCACTATTACAATATATCTGGTAGCAACGTAACAAGCCTAGTAATAATTATAAACTCAAACTTAACTATTGAATCCCATATCGATGCTGTTTAGTTTAGTTTACTGTTAAGCTGCAAGTAAATTCTTAAAATTGTTTTTTCTTTCTTGTAATAGTTTTTTAAAATCTTGGTTGCCCTATTAATTTCTTTAATTCTTTGTCAAATTTATTAATTAAAATTAATATATTATATTAGTAAATGTGTTAATATTAATACTAGGTTTTAATATATGGGTAGATCTTTTCTATTTTAATAGTTATAGTAGGTAGGTCTAGAATGGCCTGGATCTAGAGAATCAATATAGCTAACAAAATGTAGCTCTACAAACATTAAAAGATAATAATTATTAATTATTATTATTATAATAAGTAGATCTAGGAGGCCAAGCTCTACCATGTTATGAACCTGAATAATTTCATAATTACCGTGCTAAATCTCTAACAAACCATTCTATTTGTAGTATGTATAATAGCTAGATATCTAGATTTAGATTCTACTATTGTAAACCTTAATCAAATACACTTTTTTGGACCAAGTGAAATGTTATGTCTACTCACTTTTTTGGGTGCTTCCAATACCCCCCCTTTTTAATCCACACCGGTCAGAGTGAAGAAAGACAAGACCCAGGCTATATCACAAAATAACAAGATACGATAGCACAGCCCAACCCATTCGAAAACTATTGCATTCTAAAAATACCAGATCTGTGGGTTTTGCTATGCCATTGAATATCGCAAGCAGGTAAATAATAATAGCAGAATACCTGCGCACCACCAAAGCGACACTCATCTTGTCAAACAGGTTTGGGTAGCTGACTATTTTAAGCATTAGCGCGCTGCCGACTCCAGCGTTCGGTAAGCATCGGTTATTTCCGTCAATTTACTATTTTCTGATAGCCTTGGATGTTAGTGTCAAGTGTATGCCTAGTGAATTAGTTAAGAATGAGTCGATTGTGCTTTGTAGGGCAAGGAGAAAAATGCGTATCTTAATTAATACTTTTGAGTTAAGAATGATAATTGGATGAACTATTAGGCCAAGCTAGATCTTTTATTAGAAAATCTTACTTACGACCAAGCCAATATTATGGAAATCCACTTTAATTAGTAATTAGGTGTACGTAATATTTTTTCATTACTTGCATGTTTTAGGTATTATTCAATAACTATTTTTGTTTAAGAACCACAAATTGATGTTTTATATAAAATATATCATTGTAAAAGGAATGGTCTGTAGTTTCTATGATAAAAAGTAAAGTTCCCCTTCCAAATCTGACGGTCTATAGCGAAAGTGAAGTAGAGCTCACGTTTCTGTGACCTCGGCATTTGAATGGATAGTAAGGTCAGCACTATGCCCAGCCGACGTTGCCTTATTCTTATCAATAATCAGTGGCGGAACTAGAAAAAAAGGGCCACCCCGCAAAAAAAAAAAAAAAAAAAAAAAAGAAAAAAAAAAGAGGACTCGGCTTTCACAGTGGTTTCAAAACAAAGGGAAAAAGAATATACAAGAGCGTCTGGTGGTGTCTATAGAATAAAGATAATCCAACCGCAGCTGTTTTACAAAACAACCATCAAGTCAAAAATGCAAGAAAATTAATTATTTTTTAACTATAAAATTTTTCATTATGGTCAACTGCGGGCCCCTAAATGGCGTGCCCCCCCCCCCCGCATTGCGGGGTCTGGCGGCACTGTAGTTCCGCCCCTGTCAATAATTACCATAATCCCTCAGTTATACATCGTCACAATATGCCACCCGCGGTATACATGGTCACAATATACCACTCCCAGTTATGCATCGTCCCAATATCATCAATATACCGACCCAGTTACGCATCTTCACAATACATGTATACCCCCCCCCCATGATCTCACACAACAGCTTTACACCTCTATTCTAATTCGTATTTTAAAAATGAAATTGTCTTTCTATTAAATTGTCATTGATCAGGATCAACATTTACTACAACTTAAAATAAAATACGCTAAAACATTTTTAAAAAAAATTCAGTTCCACATTTGTATAAAATGCAAGACAGGGAATTCACATTTCTTGAACCATTAGATTACCACTACTCATAACTGAGTCCAACATTCCAGGGTAACAAAACAATTCGCAAAGGTTTCTCTCCCTTAGTCTGGGTGATACTGCCCCCTTAACGTCCGCGTCTCTGAATATATCTCATTATCTCATCTGGCTCAACTTCAGTGTCCTTCGGGACCCCTTCCTGGGCGATGAACTACGTCAACTGTGGTTTCGCCGAGGGTGTTTAACTTAATGTCTTCCCGCTCATAACGATTGCCATTGTCATGAAGTATGTCGGCTGTCAATCGACTTAAATTGCATTGTGTAGAATGATGTAGCTGATTCCTACACCGTGCAGTCGCGGTCCTTTGGCATTGAGCTCACGAAGTAGCAATGTAAATCGTGTGAGCGTGCGGGCAGAACACTCTTAGGCCATAGGCGGGCCACCTATGGCGTCGTTGCAGCACCCGGACCATCCTAACGACACAGCGCCTTGGAGAGGTGGGATGGCTTGTGTGCCCCAAATGACCCCAATTTCTATGCCGGTGGGATCCCCGTGCTCCTGGCAGGTTTAACCTTTGCCGGACAGATCTTCGTGGGTAGGGGCCAGACTAAATGCTGTCATAAATGCCGTCACGCTTTTTTAACGATCCTTACCTCCCCCCTCCCCTCCGTCACACATCGTCACGAAAAGCCAGACGAAGTGATGCCTGGAAGAAACTCTGCCATTAGTGTTTCATCCAGGATTTTTTCTCATGGGGGGAGGGGGGGGGGCACTGATAAAGGTATATGTATACTGCTTATAATACATTATAAAAATGGGCGCCGATTGCTAACTAACCATCTATAATAGTAAACTATAATTGGAATTAGACGTTCTTATCTAAGTAAAGATCTCTTCAAAATTATAGTTCAATTAATTTTTGTCACACTATAAAGCATTTCCTTAGATATCGATTTTTCTTTTTTTCTGTGGAATTGCATAAAACCAACTAAAATCACGCTATTTTTAGCGACTGTATGTCACTTCACCACTAGTCATACAATGTTTTAGGACTTCACCACTAGTCATACAATGTTTTAGGCCATTACAGTACAGCTAATACTTTCTTGCTAATAAGGTTTTAAGCAGATTTACTTCCCTTGATATCTAGAACAAGTTTTTCGCTTTATGACAATTCGACAATTCCCATCTTTATCAGCTGCGACGTAAGTGGGCTAGATATGCCATTGTTTACGCCCCCACGTTACGCTAAACAACTGACTGGTGTGGACTTTTAAAACAGAAAGTTGGAATTGACGCTTCACTTGTTTTGTAAAATATAAAGTCAAGTTGGAGGCATCTAGGGTTAAGAGGGTGATAAAAACTGACTACTGCAGTATCTGGATAAATTAGTGAATACATCATCGTTTTGTTCCGAAGTTTACAGTTGAAAAATTTAAGAAATATAATATTTGTAGGTCTATATAAGTGAGTACAAGTGTTACGTGTTAAATAGTGTTAGCGATTTTTTTTATCGAGGACTAACCTAAAACAACTTTTACTGTGTAGCCTAAAGTAATATTATTGATGTTGTATTTTCATACCCCAAAAAAAATAGGCAGAAAATGTCTATCCTAAAAGGCCGATTTTCTAAAATGTTTAATTTATTTAATTTTAATTCCATACATAACCTATAGTACCACGTCTAAAAAAATTAAATAACCCGACTCAAGTACAACAGTTACAGATCTAACTCTACAATTCCAACTATTTTTATTTTAAGCGTTCCTAACCATAATGTATTTTTTTTTTTGTTTTACCGCTTTTCTCTTTTCCCTTCCCACCCCACTTCCAAACTGTTCATTTAGGCGTACACTGAGCATACAGCCTTGAACTTTTTAAACTCTTAGATAAATGTCCTATCAAGCAGTTTCCACTTGACACACTTAAAATGACCTTAAAACTTAAATATATTTCATGTCTCGGTATCAATTTATTTTAATAGTAATCTAGTTTAACATGTCTGAAATATCTGTTGTTTGAATTCTGAATGTCATTTATTTGCTGAATTATCATGCTTTGAATTTTAACCGAGATTCGAGCAAATCAACACGATTTTGGAAAGAGACACAACCAGTTAATAATTAAATGTCAATAAAATACAGTGTTCCTTCCCCTACTTTGCTCATGTAGAATGAAAATTTTAAATAATAATTAAAATGCATGCTTATTTTTATTAACAAAATCATTAAGATGTAATAATCATATTTGTCTACAAATGTGTTCGTAATTTTATATCGATTTTCAATAACTTTGTCCAAAGTCCACAATAGATTCTCTACACACACACACACACACACACACACACACAGATTGTATTTGACAAAATGCCTTTACACAAACACACCCACACTAAACATTTGTGACAAGAGAGTTCTCTCCCATATTAGAGTTTTCGGAAATAGATGGCGAGTAATGTATGACGTGAAGTTGTAGAAATGATACAGTGATACAAACATAAACAATTACTGTGATCTGTACGAATGGAGTCTGAGATTGAAGCAGGAAAGGTGGCTTTCTCTAAAGGTGCACCTATTGGTTTAAAAATACAGCTACATTTATCAGTTACGTTGTACAGATTGCAATATGAAAAATAGACTAACTCTCTTACTCTGTCTGTTGTGACAGTCTGAGTCTGACACTACTCCGTACCGTCTAGTGGCGTCTAGCGTAGACAAAGTCTCAGTAGACTGAGTAGAGTCAGTCTCAGTAGACTGTCTAGAGTCTAGCTAGAACTACAGATCTGGAATCTAGATCTAGAACTGTAGAAGTCCAGATCTAGATCTAGAATCTAGATCTTGATATAGACTAGAGGGTAGAGTAATCTAGATTCTAAACTAGACTATTCTAAACTATCTAAACTTAAATATATAAAATATTATAAAAATAGTAAAAATAGGCCACTCTAAGAATTCCTTAGAATTGAATCTCTTTCGATTTTAGCTAGATTCTAGATAACTCTAGTCTAGACTCTAGAAGATAGATCTAGATCTAGCTAGATCTATACTCAAATCTATAGTATTCTATAGGCCTACTAATACTACTATTATGTTGGGGTTGTCGGTATCGGCCGAGATCGCAGTAAAAACATGACCCGAAATCTCCCATTACTTTCTGATACCGGGCGCACGAGATTTGGTTTTGCATACTAATAAGTTTTTAATTTATGGTAATTAAGTTTAAAAGGTCATTTCCTAATGTTAAATGAAAAGTAGAATGGTTTTCCAGTTGTTTTGATGGCTTAGCGATCTGATTGCATGCTGTCTCTGCTTTGGTCTTACCGCTGTATAAAGGTTAACTTCAAAAGTTTCCATTTAGATAATGAAAGTTTCCAAAGCAGATACATCCCATTTTTATAGAAATGATATTTATTTTTGGATATTTCGACTTTGACATTAGTAAATACTCATTTGAAAGTAGTCACCGTAAGTAGGTCACGTTGCCCCCATTGACGCCAATGTTATATTTCTTCATCCCGATCTGTCGGCTTTTAGTTTTGATACACTAACAACAGTATTCTTATGTAATGAATGTACAAACAAATCTCCTACTTGTTGTTTTAAAAATATTTTAATATACCTGTCTTTCATTTTTTCAACTCTGGTTCTAGTTTTGCTTGAAGTAAAATTTTGCAGAGTCAGACATAGGTTACCTGTCTGTTGCTAGAATACACTACACTAGCTATGTGCTAACTGTAATTTTAAGTATTCAAGTTCTACTTACCCTTACTTATAGTTATATTTATATGCTGAATATCAGAATTCATACACAATACACACATAAAAACATTGATCAGATAACTTCAGTTCACTTTTAACAAAATGGCTTAAAGATGGACTCTACTTCACCTGCCCAAAATAATAAGGCAATTATATGCACATTACAGTGTTCAAGTCATTTACTTTAGATTGCTAACTATGTTGTTCTTTCATTCACTGTAAAACATTGCTTTAGAAACATTTTCATATTTGCGCAGCACAGTTTTTTTGGGGTTATGGAAGAAAGCCAATACAAAAATATACTTCTGTATTATTTTTATTCATTTCAACAGCATACACAAGTTCTATATATCATTCTAGCTAAACTCTGCAAATATGAACAAAATACAAATGCAAGTAAAATAGCTATGCTCAATTTATTCAGGCATACCATGACTTGTCACAATTGGCCAATGCAAAAACAAGGGGATTCCACCCCTCACAAAAAAATCGCTAAAAAAAACTATTTGAGCTAGACAGAAAATCTTTTGTTTTGTTTTCATATAGTTGAGCTCTACAAGAATATGTAATTGTTATTTTTATCTGATGATTAGTGTTTTTTTACCAAAATCCCTAATTATGTACTATAGTATAAAAAAGTTAGGGCAGGCCAACTATCTAGATCTAGATCCTGGTCTAGATTCTAGATCTAAATAAAAGATATAAACTAAAAACTTAACATCACTAGGCTAACTATTAGATTCTACTAACTAGAATCTAGGGATGATATTTTGAGTCGTCCCTTTGAATCCCGGTCAGAACGTCACCCCATCGGCATAGTGGCCTTAAAATATAAACTTAAAATAATAATATAAACAATTTCATAAAAACCCAGGTACTTTTCATAGTGTCAGCTGCCAACCAACGTGCTTTCTAAGCAACCAATCAAATGCATGCTTTCTCAGTGGCTGATGGCATGTGACCTGTAAACTGGCTATTTAAGGCTTTTTTCTATTGTAACATTCAGTAATATTCTCATTAGGTGGCCCATATTATTATATTAATTAGCTAGTTAAAATTAATAATGAAGGCACAACACTATATGGCCTGACCCATTCAAATGAGATTATTTAATTTATTGTTTTGAGTTTAAATTCAACTCAATGCAACAAGCCTAATGGTTGGTTGAGGCTACTCTGTAGGCTTGTTCATAAGTTAAGTACCCATTACTGCTGGGTGATTTGAGGGAGATTCTACAGACTTGAGACCTAGATTAACTCTGGAGTTTCTTGCTTGCAGTTAAACTGATTAAACTTTTAAAATCTTAGTAGATTTTTTCTATTTTTCTAGTAAAAGGTTTTGTGAGTTTAAAACAAAAATAAAACAATGTTTAGTCTTATGTTTATGTAGGCTTTTTATTTGTCTGATGGTATTAATTTGTTGTATCTGCATCATTGCCACTTCTTTGGTCAGTTAAGCTAAATTTTCATAAATTATTTTGTGTTGTAGAAGAGCTCGAAGCAAAACTTCTCCAGCTTCAGAAGGAGAAAACAGACCTAGAGAATGACTTTGGATTAAAACGAGCAAAGTTTAGAGAACTTTTTTTGCAGAAAGAAGGTTTGTTGTTTTTAGCAGCATTTTCGTTTAAAATAATAATAAAAGTTGTAAAATAATGACCAACCTGCTAATTAGAAGAGTGTAGTGTATTAAAGTTTTTATGTCTACCCTTGTTTTTATAGCTACTAGCTAATAGTTAAAAAAACAGAAAGTTGCTTTGGCATAACATGCTTTAGGGTATCTTGTGAACATTTTTTTAAAGCTGAAAAACCTAAGTCATTCAAAAATATTCCCAGAAGAATTTAAGAACCTGATACTGATAGCATCGACAATATTCTCTTAAATAATGAAATAAGTCTTTAAAATGCTTTTGACACATAACATTTAGCAAATATCCTTTTAAAATATTAACAATTAATAGATCTTGTTTTTAGTATTAATTACATTAAAAGAAATAGTTTTGTTTTAATATTACAAAAAAAAAAGATTTCTAATCTAATTTAAGCATTGCACTAAGATATTTACATACTGTTAAAAAACAGATGAGCTGAAAAAAGAAAGGGAGAGATGTTTAGCTAGTGAGTTGAAGGTCAAGGCTATGGAAGAAGAGTTGTCCAGCATGAAAGATGATATGAACAAAGTGAGATGGGAGCTTGAGGGTGTAAGAACAGCTGCAGCCATGTCAGAGAGCAGTAAACAAGAGGAGATTTCTGGCATTATTGCAAACTACCAACAAGAACTTGCTAGTCTACAACAGTTATTAAAAGGTGAGATAGCCAAAAATAGTGAAGTAGAAAAGTTGAAAAAATGCAATTTCCAACTTATTTAAAAAAGCACCACATTTTAAGTTATATTTTAAAGTACTTCGTATTTAAATGCTAAAATATTAGCTCATTGCTTATGTTCAAATTTAAGAGAAATAGGTGTGAATACATTAAATTGGGATGGTTGCTCAGTGTTGATCAGCTACTGTTGGGCAGGGTTTCTTCTTCCAGACATTTTCTCCAGGAAGATTCTTGAAAGAAAAACTGATGTCAAGCATTGAAGTACTCATAACCTTGATGTCAGATCTGTATTAAATAGTGCGTTAATCTTGTCCACAGAGGCAGCTGAAACTGCATCAGATAATACAGCAGCTCGTTATGAGTCAGAGAGGAACAAACTTGTGTCATTGAATGAAAATTATGAAGAGGAAATACAAGAATTAAGAAACAAACTCAGTCAAGAAAGGTGTGTACAATCAGAGCTGATTTTATTTATAGTTATAATGTAAAGAAACTATTGGTAAAACAGCTTGGATTGTAAACATTATTTTTGTTCTATTTCAGAGAAGGGTTTCTGTCTACAGTAGCCAAATCAATCAAGCGTGTAGGGGCTGTAGGGTCGTTAAGTACAAGCATGGAGCATGAGAATTTGGAAGAAAGCATGAGAAAAGTAAATTACTTTTAATTTGGTTTGTAGGGGGATTATTATATTAAGTTTTTTAACACAGTCATAAGCATTTTTATAGTACTAACAAATATAACAATTTCTTACTTCTGGAGTAAACAAAATATCTTTAATTAAAATTGCGTTATTTGTTGCAGTTATTTATCATTGCCTAAGACTTTTTCATTTTATTTTTTTTTGTTTTTTTAATGCACAGGCCCAGGAAGATGCCCAAATTTTAAAGTCCGTAGTGGTTCCTCTTGAAACAGAAATCAAATCTCTGAAAGCCAAGCTAGAAGCTACAGAAACAAAATTAGCTGAAGCTCAGAAAAAATGTGCCCAGCATCAGGTGATGAAAATTTGACAAACAAAATGATAAATATTTTCCCTAGCAGCTTCAGCTAAAACAAAATTAATTTAGAAAATAAACTGAATATATCAGACACTTCACACAAAAAATATCTGTGCAACCTTACTTTTAGAATTAACACTCTGCAAGGAAATGGGACTACTCTTTTTAAATTTTTCACATTGTTATGACTTTTAATAACATTTTTGTACTTAAGAAACAATATCCACTGCATTATTTAAAAATTAATTTATGAGACCTTTTGTTACAGAATAGTCCAGACCGTGATAGGAAGTCCCCATCATTACCAGACCTTGATTCTGTTACTGATCTGACAGAAAAAGTAAATAATTTGTTTATCTTTAGTAGGATTTACATTTAAAGCTTTGAAATTTTATTCATTTTAGTTTACCTAGGATTTATTTGGCAATGAGGAAAATACTAATAAAACAAAACAAGCCTTGTTTATTATCCCACCATCCATTATAAATTAATGAGAAAATTTTTAGTTATGTATTATAACTTATTCAAGTATATATATTATAAATGTGTTTTTCCATTGTATTGAGAATGGAATCAAAATTTTACATGACTAGTTTCACTTGTTAAACCCAAATACCGATTAACCCATGTATATAACAATATAGGCTACTTATAACACTTGAAGCGAAAATCGATGCCAATAAATTGCTGTATACCTTAACAGGTTGAAAAATTATATAGTTATCTTAAAGCAGAGAAAGCTGCAAGAACTGATCTAGAAATGTATGTTGCTGTGCTGAGCACACAGAAAAATGTACTGCAGGATGAAGCAGATAAAGTCAACGCTGAGCTGAAAAATGGTAACACATTGTTGAACTGCCTGGTTATGTGCATGCATGAGGTTATTTTACTGTTAAATATATTTTGTAAAAAAAAAAACACAAGTATTATAAGAATATCACTTAAAGTTTTTTTTTGGAGAAAGACTTTAATTTTTTATGTATTTTTAAATTATCTAAACTTCATTCTAGTAAGGAGCTATTTTTTTTTTAGGTTTAATGGTCATATAGGGATATCATATTGAAATGAAATTATATAAAGGAAGCCATAGTTAAATGATTATTATATATTGTACAGTTTGCCTCCTTTTGGATGAAGAAAAACAAGCTCATGATTCACTGAAGCAAACTTGGCAGATGGCCAATGATCAGTTTCTTGAGTCACAGAGGCTTATGATGATGGATCTCAGGCGCATGGAAGGAGTTTTGACAACAGAGCAGCAACGCCAGATAGCAGGTGAGCACTGGTTACATGTTCATTTTTGTCTAGCTAGTGAATGAAGGCTCATTACATGCAAATTTTGGTCTAGACACATTTCAACTTTGTGTTGTAAGCTAAGTCATACACCTTAAAAATCAACTCAACCTTGCATGCCAGATGTTATTAGGTACATTGAAACATTATAGCATTCTTGTTTTTAACTTCAAAGTTCCAGAGAACACAGCATGCCCAAGCAAAATAGCATTTGGGGTTGTTGTTTGTTTCTGATTTAGTGTAGTAAATTTTGCAACTTTCTGGTACATGTTTTACAATTGATTTCTGAGAAATGTTATCTCCTTTTTCAATTATATCATTTTTTAAATGCTAGAAATGTTCTGTTAAGTATTTGATGGTAAAACCTATGTATTAAATAAACCATAATGATTAGGCTCATACTGAGTTAGACATTTAGAAATAATGTATTGTTGGTTAAATAAACTAGACATTAAAGTAAAAATATTTTGAGTGGCTTTTTTTTTTCAAATTAATAATATATCTTAGCTATTTCAAATAATTTTTTGTTTAAATAATTTTTTGTTAAAATCCAAGGGACTTCTGATTTAAAATATTTTCTGTCGAAAATATTTCTACATTTTCCTACAGCTCTTAGAATCCTGTTGCATGATGTGTCCTGTTGATTTGATTTGATCTCCAGATGAAGTAAAGGGCATTATTAATGAAAACTCTAATAGCCCTGCCAAAAATACCAATCAAAATAGTTCTAAAAAGGAAAAGAAATCAAAACTTAAGAACAAGTCGAATTTGGAAACTTTACCTCACCAAGGAGACAGTAAACCAGGCCACTTAGCTCATGAAACTAAACTCTCTGATAGACACAGTAAGAGAGACATTATCTCCACAGACCTGCTACCTATCACCACTTCCCTGCAATTGTCATGATGTATACAATGCTGTGTTGTTAACCCCCTACCACCCCAAATATTTTATCTAATACATCCTGACATTTACCCTTATAAATATGATCTCTCCCTTTTAATATTTGTAATGACTTAAGAGTTTCCTGCTCTTGCTTTTTAAATTTACAATTGTTTCAACTTTATTGTGAAAATTTTGTTTTGTTTTGATAACCCGTCAAATAAAAAATCATATGATTCAAGTTATTAAAATATACCCAAACTTTAAAATTTCATTTAGTTACATTATTTTCATTAATGTAAAAAAATAAACTACTGCAGCTATTTTTTTTCTGCTTATTTTACTCTAAAAATGTATCACATTTTTATAAAAATTACAATTTCACAGCCTACTTATAACTTAATATGTTTTTTTAAATTGATATCCATTTTGTCTGAGCTAATGATTTAGACTGCAAAAATTTAGACATAGTACCCAGATAACACCTTCAGCAGCACATTGAATTTTGGAAGACGTCACACAGATAAAAAAGAAAGGGTTCAAATGTTCTATTAACGTTGTTTTTCTATTGTTTGATGGTTATTTTATTATTTTTATACAGAGTTGCAGCAGAAGGATGAAGCCAGGGAAGCTCAAGAGAAGAAAGTAAGAGCATTGGAAGAGAAAAGAGAAAGGCAGGAGAAAGAGCAGGAGGAGAGAAGGAAATTGAGCCAGACAAGATTAGGTAAGATTCTAAATGAGTTACTTAAATAGTGGCTGTCTTCTTTTTGTTTCTTGTCGCTTTCAAGGATGCATCTAGACAGTGTTAGTTTATTTCATCAAACGGTTCTCAGAAATATTTTTCATCTTAGGCTATGGCATTCCAGCAACTTGAGATTTATTCTACTATCTAGTGCTGTTGGTGGGATGATGCTCTTTGGTTTTTAAAATGTATGCAGAATAAAGAAGAATGTATTATTCATGAAATAGTATATCAATTACAATGTACTTTTGTGCCTTAGACAGTTTTTAATAAAACTTAGGGAATTATTTTTAATTGTCAATAATGTAAAGAAAGGAAAAAATGTAATATTCAACCAATCCACTGAGAATTTTTAAGTAGAAGAAAAGTAAGCATTCTCAAGAAATAGAAGAGATTAAAAATAACTTAATTTCTTTTATTTTCTTATCTTTTTGTTTACAGAAGATGAGAAGAAAAAATCAGTAAGTAAAATTTATATAGTATTTTTAACAATTGGTTTGCTTAAAAAAAACAGTTATATTTACTCCTTATCTTTTGATTTGTTTCATGTTAAAACGTTGTAAGGCTAAATCTTAAACTGCTAAAAGTGTCATTGAATTAAAATAAATTGTTTTTCTAATGTTTACTATCCATATAAATATAAATATTTGGTAGATTACTTAATTTAAAAAGAAACATTTCCTTCCCATTTTTCTTCTATTACTATACAAAAACTAACATACTAAACCTAACAGGTTTTATGTGCCTGCTCTAAACTGTTATGAATTGCTGTGTAGGAGAGAGGCAGGGGAGATAACTCACCATTTGAAGTGGTGTATGGAGAAGCTTCTGAAGGTGCAAGTGGTTCACGAACATCCTCCAGTTCAGCAGTGGTTCATAGGTCAGCATCCAGCTCTGATATCTGTGATGGCTTTGGGCGGGATGATAATGATGATGATGCCATATTTCTAGACAGCGGTGTTCATGAAACCAGATCATTGAATGAAGCTGATGGTATTTTAAGTGAGTTTCTGTTTAATTGTTTTTGTTTCGTAGATGCTATTTCTTATTATTCAGCTTAAAACAAATACTTACATGGTTAAACAACATTTAGTTAATTTAAAAAAAAAAAAAATTATCAAAGTATTATTCTTTTCCTCCTGACTAAATGTTTTTACTGATTAGGGGGCAGTCAGGACAGTATAGAGGGCATGACAACCATTAGAATCAGCCCAGAGAAAATATTGAATCTCCCATCATTGACAGCCGCACAGCTGAAGGCAATCACTGGTAAGATGTGTTTTACTTAGATGTTTCACACCAGAAAGGTTTATAAAGTTTCTCTTTTCTCATGCAAAATATTTGTATTTTTAAAATGTATTTTTAATGTTTTTTAGACCCTACGCCAGAAACGGAAGCATACAAATCATTAGTGGCAGGGGTCAAATCGAAAGCAGGTGCCAGTAAACAGAATTTAGAAGGCAAAAGATTAGTTAGTGAAAAAGAATGGTCTCTTTTGCAAGAAGAGGTAAGAATCTGTATAGTATAACTTTAAATAGGTTTTCAACACAGTATCAAAGCAGAAAAATATTTTAAAAATAATTTTACCAACCAAGCTTAGTAAAAAAAATAAACCTAATGTACTTTGATGTTTCTTGTCATAGATGAAATCAGCCAGAGAGAAACTGGGTCGCCCCTGTAGCATGTGCTCAAACTACGAGGCCCAGCTTCAGACCGTCCAGGAGGAGTTGAAGATGGTCAAGACAGAAATGAAAAGAGTGGAGAGATCCCTGGCCACAGAACAACAGACCAACAAGAATTTATTAAAGTATCAAACAGAGCTGGAGGAGGCTTTAAAGAATGCAGCAGAAGATGCACAGTCACAGGTTGGGGTTTTTTTTTTTTTTTGTGTCCAAATATCTGATCACATGATTCTAGACCAGACCAAATGAATTTATAAACATGATCGCTTTACCTTAGTTCAGACCAAATTGCTAAATAAAGCTATTTATAATTGCTGTTTTTTTGTCCAAATATCTAACAGCATGATTCTAAAGTAGACCAAATGGCTGTTAACTTGATCACATGACCCTAGGTCAGACCAAATTACTTAATTTGTTTGACATTTAACTACATGAATAAATACGATCTCATGAATCCTGGTCAGAACATATAACTCAGTCTGTGTATGCACAGTTACAGATTGCATTTTAGATTCAAGTAACTGACTACATAATTCAAGATCATACCAAACAACTTCACAAACATGACCTATGACCCAAGGCTTTAACTGACTTATTTAACTCCCTTTTTGTTGTTTAATATTATCCCCTTAACTTGCAGATCTCACATCTAACCAGTAAGCTTGTGGACTGTGAGAAATATGTTAAGGATTTAAAAGATCAGTTTTCTGCCACACACTTGCAGCTTCAAGATCATTGTGTAAGTCTAGTTCAATAATCTCACATAACAAATGTTTTCTACAAGACACGTTCATATATTTTGTTAAAATGTATTATTTTCTCCAACAGAAAACATTAACAGAGGGTCGTCAAGAAGTGCAAAATGAGGTGGTTATCTTTTATTTCCTATAGAAAAATAAGACTCACTTTGAAATAATTTAAACCAGAATCAATAAATCTTCATGCTTGTCTCTCCAGCTTATAAAATTACAAGAAGAAAATGATAGTTTGGTGGATAAACATTCCAAGACAGCGCAACAGCTTCAAAATGAAGATATTAATTTACCAAACAATCTAGAGGTATAATGTTTAGAATTTTTAATGTTAAAATATGTAATGAGTTCTGATAGTTTCCTGTAGAAATGCATCTCTAATATGATAACAAATACATTTGACTTTCTGCATTCTACATTTTCTACATTTTAAATTTCTGCAAAAATTTTGCCTGTTTTATTATTTTACAAATCATTAAGTCAAATTTTTTCTTCTCATTTGTAGGAGATGCAGTTACTTCTGCTTAAGTACAGGGAGGAAATTATATCTGCCAAAGTAGCAAAAGAACACATAGAAGAGACATTGAAAAGTGAGATTGTATTTTTGAAGTCTCAAGTCATGGGTGAGCAGCAAGAAAAGACAACCCTGGAGGAAACACTCACTCAAGAGATTAGTGCTCTCCAGGCCAAAGTTGGTAAGAAATGTTTTGATTACAGGTCAATTCTTTTTCACTTTTGCCAGATTTAAAAAAACCACTTGTATATACATCATAAATCTAACGTGATCAAAATATCCTAATGCCATGATTGTGAAACAATTAAGAACTTGGTGCTAAAAGCACTCAAGTCACAACATTTTGAGACAGAGTTCAAAATTTTTAATTGGATATTTAACATAACATTTTTATTTTAGTTGTTTGTTTGAAAGAGGCACCTAATACTTCAGTGTTAATATTTGTACATAAGATAAAACTTAAGTAGAGAAATATCAATCATTGCTTGGTTTGATTAGTACTTTTAGCAACAGGCTGTTCAATTATTGTAAACCGTTTCTCACTAGTTGAACTTGAGTCTTTGAAGAAAGACTTGGAAAAGGAATCAACACTCAGGGCAGAAACAGAAACAAAGAACAGAGAGTCAGAATCTGCTCTTAAAACAATACAAGCCAAGACCAAGCAACTCATTACCAAAATGCAGGAGAGATTAGAAGAAATGGATAAGAGAAAAGTAAATAGTTTTAATTTATTGTGTTTTTTTTTTCATCTATCTTGGATAAATACAATCACTGCTAAGTGTTCTTTTTTTAAAAAGTATAAATGTTACTTTTAAATTTCTTCAAAATGATAATCAAGTTTTTTCTTTCTTTTTCCAAAAGTAAATTAGAATCAGAGAATTTTATTGTTTTGTATCTATCTTGAATAAATACAGTCACTGCTAAATCTTCTTTTTTAGAAAAATATCAATGTTACCTGTAAAATTCTTCAAAGATTATTAATTTAACTTTTTCTCCCTTTTTTCCAGAGTAAATTAGAATCAGAGAATCACACATTGAGGAGCAAAGTGCAGTCTTTACAGATAGACCTGGACAACAGTGAGGCAGTACAGAGGGACTTTGTAAAATTATCTCAATCTTTGCAGGTATGTTTTTCAATACAATTTAATGTTTGTTTTAAATTAGAATTGGCAAACGAGCTGGAAAAAGTTTTACATATTTTTTAATGAAATGATAAAATGTAGTGTATAGCTGTATTTTTTTTTATAATATAGTCATTTACGTGCATTAATTAAAAAAATATTTCAATAAATAAAACTTTTAATTTCAAATTTAATAAGGTAATTCATTAGTGTCAAAAATACATTAAAATAATTTTAAGACAATGTATAATTATAAAATTTTATACTGTTGACGTGTTTCTGATTGGTTATAGATACAACTGGAGAAAATCCGTCAAGCCGAGAATGAGGTGCGGTGGCAACACGAAGAAGATATTGATGATTGTAACAACTGTAGACAACCTTTTAGTGTCACAAAACGCAAGGTGAGATTTTGCTAGATTTACTGTTCCATTAGTTTAATGCCGGTTCTTAGTTGCTGTTTGAAGTTGCTGGGAGGAGGGGAGAGGCAGGGGGAGGGATTACAAAATTAATTTTTTTCAAAAACTAAATAAATAAAACCTGATAAAAATGTATATTATATCAGATGCTTTGACATATTTATATTGAAAATTTTAAAGATATAAAAATCAGTATTTTCCTTTTTATTTTTAAAGTAAGAATGCATAATTTAAAAAAAAAAAATTCCCATCATATAAATTCTATATTTCTACCTAAATAAGTTAATTTTAAATATTTATTTTTTAATATATTTTTATTTACTTTATTTACTAGCATCACTGTCGACATTGCGGTAGGATATTTTGTGCAGATTGTATCACAAAGTCAGTTAATTCTGGCCCACATTTTCGGCCAGCTAAAGTCTGTGATGTTTGCCACACTATCCTGGTCAAAGATGCCACACCGTATTTTAGCACCGATCCACCTGCCACACCTGATTAATTCCTGATAGTTATAGAATTTTTTTTTTTTTTTGAGCCATAGATAATGATGTACAAATGGTTTGATAAGTGGATTGTATTTTTGTTATTTATTTTGTTGGGAGAAAATCTTTTGTGATACCTAAACTTGAAAGCCATACAATTTTTTCTTCATAAGTATGGATTTGTAACTTCCTTTCTTTTTTTTTTGTTTAAAGGTATGTCTAAATGAAAGATTTTTTAAAAATAACATTTTCTTTTCCACAAATCATTTAGTTTCTTTCATTAACATTTAAAAAAAAAAAGAGAATAATCTTATTTTTAGATTTACTTTTTAAATTTATATTTGGCTGTCAGTTGTTGTTTTCCAGTTGCTTTTTTGTTTCCGTTCGGCTGTTATTCATTTACTATTATATTGTGGCAAGTAACTACTAAAAATGTTTGTATCATAGCTGTTTCTTAACTGATGTACAAAATTCAGCTTTTCGTTTAATTCAACCTTTCAATGTTCAAACTTAACTAGTGGACATGTTCTTGAATGGTTAAGTGCATTTGTATTTCACAATGCCATTTTAAAAAGTGCAATATTTACAAATTAGTGTATTATAGTTTGCTAACGACTAGTAACATCTGTATAAACTTGAGTGCTATCTATAAGCTACTTCCAAATTTTTCCCACTCTTCAGGGAACAGTTATTTAAGGCTTGGGACCAGAAAAGTTAGTGAAGAGGGATACACCTGTCTTTCTACCAGTTAATAATTTAGTTAGGTTACTTGACATTAATTGCTTGTGGGATCTCATTAAGAAATTTAACATTTACATGTAAAGACAAAAAGTTTGAGTATTTTTCAAAACAATGTTTTTAGTGATTGGATTTTTGTATACATTAAATAGTTGTACACTTATTTTAAAATCGTACACATGTTAATGTGGTATTAAATAATATGAAAGTGTTATGAATGTATACAGCACTTTTCAATAGTTCATGTGTAAATGATTGCTCATCTGAAGTTTGGCTTTTTAAATTATATGGCTTTGCTAGCCAGCTATGAGAAATGAATGAAGTATTAATATATATGTTTTTAATAGATTTGCAGTATTAATCTAAACATTCTTACAACTTTTTAAAGGTATTTTGTAGTAAGATTAAAAATGGTAAAAAAATTTTAGTTGTTTATTTTTGTTTTGGTATAAATTAGGTACTTTATTCCCTATCCAAGAAAAACTCATAATATTGCTGTGAAACTTAAGCCTTCAAAGCTGTAATTTTATGTACAAATTAGTTAAAAAAAGAAATTACAGATCTGATAATTACAATACATACTCTAATCTGGAGTTTTTTCTCCTGGACTAGGTTAACTCTCCATAATTATGTGTTATGGAGGGACTTTTTTTTTGTGCTGATAGAGATATTTGTAGCTTCATTGTTTATGAAAAATTCAACAGAAAATAATATTTTACTTTACCATCATGAAAATTCGCTGATATTAAATAAGCCAGTAAAAAATGTATTTAATAAATAATACCACCATTCACACCAGAAATAGCTCGGTTGATTAATGGTGTATTTTTTTAAAGAACCATTTTATTATCTGTCTTAAACATTTGTGTACATTATCTTTGACTTTTGTCCTTAGTTTTAACTATAATGTAATTCATAAATCCTCAAAAAGTTAATAATTTTACTCACTCAAGATTAAAAAAAAAAAGAGCATTTGAATGAATGGTTAACATTGTATGATACCTCTGTCAATGAGTATTTGATATTGCTTACATATCTCCTTTTGCTCTTAACTGGTTTTAAAAAATAGATTTTCTTAATTAGCTATCAAATATTTATACATTTTTTTATCGTGATAGTAACTGCTAATTATGTTTCTGTCTGAAAGCAATAAAGTAGTTCTACACAAATCTGTATGAATTTGTATTTTAGCATTGAATATTTAGTATTACTACTCGTTAAAATAGTTAGGCCTACTTAGATTAGGTTATGCATTTTAATTTTAGTATTTGTTCAAGCTTGTAACCATCTCTTTTAGATGAATGATTAAACAAGCTTCTTACAACCAAATCGTACTAATTGTAAACATTAAAATTCACATTTGCTTCTATTTAAAACTATCTAAAATTGTTACTATCTTGATTTGTATATCATGCATTGTCACTGATTAAAGGAATTCAACATGTAGTTTTATTTTTGTGAAGATTTTTTCATTTAAAAAAGGTCCATTAGCTCTTTTTTTTTTAAAACAGTAACAGGTTTATTAAAATTCCACTCATAATTGGAGATTTAAAACTGATATATGTTGAACCCATTCATCAAGGTTCAAAATCAAAGCTCAGAAGGAAACAGGTGACAGAAATAGAAATAAACAACCATCAAACATACTATCACACAAATGCAAAAGTGTAATAGCAAAATTTAATTTCTCATGCAGCAATAAATTAAAACAAATATTTATAGATGTCAAACTTAATTTTAAGTTCTTGTTTTTTTCTTCAAGGTTTTGCCCTCTCCTGAGAAAGCCTCAAAAGCTTTTTCCTCCTCTGCTTCTGAATTTCCATTTGTTGCTGGACGGACAGATCTTATGAAAGTTATTGTGCCACGTTTAAAATTGTAGTTAGGAATCCCCCTGAAAATTCCACAAGTCACTCAGTATTTGCATGAATGTAAAAATCACCTAATAATCTACAAAACAAGTAAGGTTTAATCCATATGAAAAATATAAATATTGCTACTACCTTCTTTGAGGCCCACATAATGCAGATCCGCTAGATGAAGCTTCTGTTCCTTTTTTCTTGCCATCCAGTCTGTTCCCTTGACCAGCAAATGGCTAAAAATTTAATTTTCAATAAAAGTATGAAAATAAATTTAAAAAAAAAACATGTTTGAAATTAAAATAGGCAAATAATTTTCAAAGGGAGATTAAAAACAAACCCTGAAGGACTGAATATCATCTGCTGTATCTGCCTCCATATCCTGAAACAAATTTTTTGAAACGTCACCCTTATAATCTTAGCTACACACGAAAATAATTTTAAAAAGTGATTTTTGAGGATTGGATCAAAGCAAAAAATTAAGTGTATTTTTCAACCACCGGTGTCTAAACACCAATCACGTGATCTAAATTATAACAATGACACCTAACCAAAAGAAAACTACCTAAATAATTATCGACACCAACTAAACAATACTTACAACACCATCTAAACTGTCCTGGACTTTAGGTTTCCACTCTGGTTCTTTGTAGCCTACTGGTGGTGCAAAATCAACCTAAGTGGTGACAGGACAATGTCATTATTTTTTAAAGGTAGCCATATATTGCAAGGCTTGTGGGACAGATATACTTTTAGCAAGATCTACAAGATTGTTGTGTTGCTATCAAGTTACTGTTGAGTTGACAGCAAACATTGCTTGAATGTTTAAATTTACAAAAAACAAACAACTGAGTAAAAAACACATTCTAAAATTATTTCTATGTATAGCATGTGCTTGATAAAATTGTTTATAAAAATACTTTATCTGAGGGCCAGAGTTATTTATTAAACACAATTAGACCAAAATATTGTGTCTTTAAAAAATGTTATTTATAAAATTGCAGAAATTACTTACCCGCATATCACACTCTATAATAGACACAGCCTTGCCGGGTTGGCTTTCTAGCACACATAATTCATATTCCTAGAGATATAAAAAAACTTACAACATAAGCAATATACTGATGAGCACCACCCACCTTGTTACATAAAATCCTGAAATTTAAGTTTTTATTAAAATTAGCTTATTTTTGTTTTAACCAATAAAATGTTAAATTTACCTTGTCATTATATTTTATGGCTATTACATCGCCCTGGGTGAGGCAAGCAAAGTTTCTGAGAGCATTTTCAAGACTGAATTAAAAATTAAAGAAAATTGTAATTTTGGTAATTTAAAAAATTAAATCTAAAAAAAAAATGGAAGCCAAGGAAAGTATTTAACAAAACAAACAAAAAATATCTTTGAAAGGATACACAGCTTTGGGGTTAGTGATGTCAAGGAAATCCACACTCTGAGGCTGAAACTTTGCATATGTAGCAACAGACAAGGAAACATTGTCTATCTGAATGAAATCTCCTTCATCAACACAAAGATTTCTCATCATCTAAAAAAAAATAAAAAAATAACACTGTTCTTACAAAACTTGGGCTAAATAGTCAAATCTAAAGGAGTTTACTTTTTTGGTAATTTAAAATACAAAACAAACTACAACTCAGATCTTAAATAAAAAAATTGTGGAGAAATGATGCAACATCTGCAGCGTTTTATTAACAAAACTTGCTCTTGCCAAAAAAAAACCTTATAAAACAATCAATAAATAAATAAAAATACAAAGCTATTCTCTAAGAAATTTGTTGAAGGAGATTATTTTAAACTTTAAAATTTACCCAATATGGAATGAATATCCGACCCTCATCAGCCACAAACTCAAGAACACCACAATGTGTTTCACGAAATGTGTTTGATTTCTTGTTTGTAAGTTTAAATAACATCGGATACTGGATGTTTAGGCGAGCTTAAAGAAGTAAAAAAAAAAAGCATGTAATTATTTGTCAACATTTGCTATGAAAAAATTTGCTTCTTAAAAATATTCTCTAAATACTGAGCTAAATGGGCATGAAACACTTTATTAAGGTTATGAAATAATGTAACAAATTTAAATACTGTAATTATTACTCTCAAGCCATAATTTACTTACTCAGTTTATCAAGCGCAGAGGGTGGCATTATAACTGTGAAAGAAAATTTTTGTTTTCACTAAATTAATTATAAACAGGAAGAAATGAACACAAAACAGAACTCAATGAAAAACAATCCTACTTTTCAAAATTGCATTGCATTATTACTTTGTTAAAATCTTTCAAAACCATAAAAAAATGTATTTATGTTTTTGCAGCTTCTTAATATACACAGGATCTATTTTTTTAAGCATTTAGTGTATTTAAAAAACTTCTGGTAATTTAGACCTGCAATGAATAAAGCCAAATGCTGTTGTCCCACTAACTAATATTTTCTAGTGGGTTTGTATAAAGCATATGCATTTAGATGAGAAATCTATAGCTAACTTGATTGTGCTATGTATTGTATAGCAATTTTTAAAGTATGCAGTTAAGTTACAAAATGATTACAATAATATGTAGTTATCAGTTGGAGTATAAAAGCTACCAAGTATTGCACTCAAAAGCTATTTAATATGACACGCCTCATATTGTGTGCAAACTGATATTTAAAATAAACCCCAACCCCTGCCTAAATTATTGAGAGTGTTTGATCAAGGCATTATTTAGGTCAGAAATTCCAGAGATCAAATTTTATTTGAGTATCCTGAGACAAAAGTTTACTAGTATTATATTTTATCTGTATATTTTTGGCATCATCCATAGCAAGCACTAGTCCACACCTCTTAGGGAGATGCACCTTCCAGGTTGGAAACTGCATAATGTGCTGGTAATAATAATTAGGATTTTGCAAGATGTAGTTGTCATGGATATAAGGCTGGTAAGTAGATCACCAACCAGTTCTACTGCTCAATAAAACCTGCATGAGCCATAGAACTGGTTGGTGACCTACTTACCAGCCCTACTGTTTGTAAGCATTACAATAGAATCAGAGTAACATCCCTTGCATTGGATAGTTTTAATTTATATTTATAAGTTGTCACTTTTCATATTAGATTAGTATTTTGTAGACTTATTACTTTAATACATTTTGATTAAGTATTTAGAGCTAAATTTTAACTTACTTTTTCCACCTCTCTCCACATCTTCTCTGTCTCCAAGCATAGTGACACTGTAACATTTGTATGTTTCTTGAAATGTCCTCCCTGCTGTGAAGTCTGGAAAGTTATTTCCAAAGCCAAACTGAAAATGTTTACAAATTAGAACTCTTAAGATTAAAACTTAGGATTTCAGGGAAAACTACTCAAATTTACAGATAGTTGCTGTTTATCTCAAATAATGCTGTTTAAAGTTAACTTCTGGCCTTTTTTTTAAAAATTAGACCGATAATTTTTAATAATGCTGTAACAGTGGGTTAACTGTTGGCTTAATTAAGGCAAGGATTGATGTTATGACCCAATTTATTTCAGTGTGTGGTTGGTAAGCTCAGTAAATTAGCTGCTGTCTCAATCATGTTATTATTACAATTTTTATTTTTAGGGAAATCTATTTTCTTCAAGATCATGAATTTTTGTGATTAGAATTACTTTATTATGGAGTGACATTTAATTTTCTATGTTTGACCAGTTTTACCCTTAGCAGTGTTATTAAACCTAGGGCTGGGGTACTTACTACTTAGTCATTTTGGTAATCTAGCAGAGGCTAGTAATGGGCCACAAAGTTCCATCATTATTAAGGCTTTAATAGAAGTATATTGTGGTATATTTGTGTCAAATATTATAGATAATTGAATAATAAACCAAAATCAATGATATAGGCCAGAAATTAACTTCAAACAGCAGTGTTTGTGAGCAATATTTGATATAAACAGCAGCCATTTGTAAAATAGAGTGGCTTCCCCTGAATCTCCCGCTATCAGTTTACCAAAAAAAAAAACCTAAACAAGATGGCTGCTGAAGTAAACGAGCTTTGTTGCACCTGATGAAAACATCGCTAGTCTTTATTTATTACTGAAAAGTTTTAACACTTGTTTAAAAACAGCTATATGAATGAAACTTTGAAACATTTTTGTAACTTTCAAAACATAAATGTTCCTTAAAATGTGAAATAATTACTAAAATTTAATGAGGCACCTTCTTTTCACATTACTAGCCTCGGCCAGTTTTACGTACCTAAGCCCTAAGGCGATAGATTACCATCATTTTAGCCTTTGTCTTTGTATGACTTAAAAACAGGTTAATACCGTTAGTTTAGTAAAAGATTAGTAGGCCCTTATTACTTCAGTCACATACAAAATAAAAAAATATACTTTTTAAAGAAAATTTTTAGTCATACACAACTACTTCGCCTTGCTACACAACACTACAATTTAAATTTTAAATTGAGGCAAGTCACAAGCAGAAAAACATGACAAAAAAATGAAAAAAATAAAAAAGTCCGATTTAAATAGAAACAGTTTTGATTTTATACTATTAAAATGCCAAAGTACCATCTTAAGGCCAGTTGATTTGGCTCCTTTCCTTCTGTATAGATCTAGATCTAGACCTAGAATCTAATGCTAAGCTGTTTTAAGTCTAGAAGATAACTGCAATGACGAAGAAAAAAATGAAAACATTTAGACCGGAAGTTTACTTATTTGATCACATTGCCAGAAAAAAATGTTAAAAATAATAGCAGACGAAATAACATTATTTATTTTGTACCACTTATAGATCTAAGTGGTTTGTTCTTCGTTGTGTTTTGTTTACTTTTTATAATTTTATCGTAAACACTTTAAGACGAGAGAATAGAGCTTACAGGAGTGAGTAAACTCACAAGTTACAAATAACAGGAACAAGTAAATTGTTGTTTTAAACTTTTACTTAGCCTTTTAAGCGTGTATAAATCATAGACGATGATAAGCAATAACGCCCTCGACAATACGTCCCCGTCATATTGTCCCCGTCAAATTGACCCCATCAAAAGGGCTGGCGACAACTAGGCTCCCGTCAATAAGATCCCGAAAATGTACTCACGACATTTAGGCCTCCGAGAATGCGGCTCCCGTTATAATATTAAGACTCCTGACAATGGGCTACCGTAATTTTGATTCCCGACTAAATGACTCTTGATAATAAGGCTCCCGCCGTTAGGACTCCCGACTGAAAGGTCACATCTATACAGCTCCCTACAATTTAATTGTTCCCGGCAAAACCCTCACATTTCAATAGGACTCCTCCTCCCTGTTAGGAATCTCATCTAGGATAGAAAACTCCAAAATCAAACAACTGCTACCTTGTAGTTTGTTCTCGGATGGACAAAGGCTTTGGAAGCATACCCAAAAAGAAAAGCATACTGAGATCAGAATCAACGGTCTGTATGGCGCATAACATGTTGACGCGTATTGCGTTAGAGCAGGGGTCGGCAACCTTTTGAGACAGAAGAGCCAAAAGTGACAATTTACAAAATTTCAAAGTTTTTAAAGAGCCGCCAACATATTTATATTATTATTATTAATATTATGATCTTTAATTAGGATTTAGTATATATATATATATATATATATATATATATATATATATATATATATATATATATATATATATATATATATATATATTTGTGCAAAAAAAATTTATTTCGCAAGGGCGGTGCCCGGGGGGGGGGGGGGGGGTAGAGGTGCGATTTTTCTCTATGTACGGTAAAAAAAATGTGTATGCGGTTCAACACAGTTTATCCGAGTGCCATGAAACTTTGGGGAGTAAATGAAAATACTCCCGAGAGGAAATTCTGCGAAAAATTTTTTTTTTAATTTCTTATGGGCGGCGCCCGAGTTAGTGCATTTTTTTGTCATTACACGTTTTGGCGCCCAGAGTTCCAGAGCGGCTATGTTAGTACTTAGCATCCGTTAATCGGGCGTTCTGCATTGCCAAGTCGTAAGGGGTACTACTATATTCAGCGGCAAAACTGCAACAGACGCAACCGCCGGCACCTCGTCCATTGCGCGACCCGAAGAGCCCCGGGCTCACCTGCGAGCACTATAGTGCCTACATTCGTTTTTTTAGTCTGTACAATAAAGACTCGATGAGCAACAATACGTTCATTTCAAACAGCGCGATAGGCTATGGATACAATGGATTGCTATAGTCGCTCACTAAATTGAGTCACTGCAGGGTGCGATTTGGCGCCCAGGGCTATCCCGTGAGCACTAAGCACCTACCTTAGTTTTAAGGAGCACACTACACAACGACATTCCAACATTCGATAATTAAACCGAGCTAGGGGCCGTACGCGGCGCCCCGGCGGTAGTGTTATCGGGTTCACGAGAGCGCCACTTACCGTCGGTAGTGATTAACGGTGATATTACGGTGAGTGATTAACTTACACTCAAGGCTTTCATACAGCACGCCATGGTGGTGGGCGGTAGTGTAGGAAACCAGTGCCCCGATAAATATGATCCAAACACAGGAATTGTTTACATTTAAATAACTCACGTTTTAAGAAACAAGGAAGTAGTTCTACATTGAAATATCGAGTAACTAAATGTTCTAATAGAATAGCGAGTGTTTAATGTTTATATTTATTATTATATCGTTCATTACTGAGTGTTGCAGACTAATACATTTATGAGTTTTAAAAATAAAATATAATAATTCTTAATATTTGTGCATGGAGCTGAAGAGCCGCATCTTGACACCTAAAGAGCCGCATGCGGCTCGCGAGCCGTAGGTTGCCGACCCCTGCGTTAGAGGAATTCCCGTCCAAATTTACAGTGAAGAACGAAGAAGTAAAACTAAACCCCTGCATCAATGCCATTCGGTGTAAGACGATACGCTTAAATACTACAATGAATTTAGCTCTTGGTCGACAAGCTTTATTTTTCCATTATAGTATCTTGTATAAGAAATAATTCTTTTTTTTTTTTTAAATGTACGTATCCAGCGGAGGGATCGAGAGGCTATAATTTAAGTATCTGGTTATGGCGTTCACACAAATGAGTCGGTAGTGAGCTGGATTTTATAATGGTAAAGTGGAACATGTAGTTTTATTAGATGTATTAAATAGAATAACATGTTGCTATTTTGTGTGGTATCGTCTGATATTTCAGTGAGCCTACTTGGTAAATAATTCTGTTCCGGAGAGGACGACAGGTGTGTGTGTGTGTGGGGGGGGGGGTGTCTCCCGTAGTGATGCCTGAGAGAGTCTGTTCTAAAACTATACCATAAGTGGTAATTAAATACAGGCTATGTGTCTGGAGCCAAAACAAAAAAAAAAGAACGAAAAAGAAGAAGAAAGTCTGGAGCCAATATGTCAGGAATCGAGGTGGGGGTGGGGGTAATCCTGATTTTGCAATTGTTATTATAGGATTATATAATCTATATTGCCTAAATATTGTGCTTATGACCAACTTCACAACAACATTCTTGAAAATATTCTGATTATAATAATTCTCCCACACAATGTGTAAGAAAGCGCATCAGAACCGATTAATTTTATTCTTTCACTGACAGTGGCGTAGGCAGGGGGGGGGTTAGGGGGGGTCATAACCCCCCCCCATAGACCCCTCGGTATATATAAAAAGTATGAGGGGGGGGGGGTGCAAATCGAAAGTTTGAGGGGGGGGGGGTGCAAATCGAAAGTTTGAGGGGGGGGGTGCAAATCGAAAGTTTGAGGGGGGGGGATGCAAATCGAAAGTTTGAGGGGGGGGGTGCAAATCGAAAGTTTGAGGGGGGGGGGGTGCAAATCGAAAGTTTGAGGGGGGGGGGGTGCAAATCGAAAGTTTGTCCCCGGGTAAAAATTGGAACCCCCCCCCCTTGAGACGATCCTGGCTACGCCACTGCTTTCACTACATTAAATTTCAGTAGGCCTAATTGCTTGATGCTTGATATTTCAATAAAGCTCTTTTATACGCCTAAAATTTAAAAAAAAATAGTATTTGTTTGCGAAAAATGTCTTGTAGAAAATTCTAGTTTTACAGGAGAGCAAGGGGACTTAATTATAATTCTCTCAATAATTTTTCCATTGTTCGGTTTTTCAATTATCACACGTAAACAAGTTCGCTAAAATAACCAGAGATCTAGAAACTGTGCGGCTTTTATACCCACATATGTAAGTAATACACATTTTATCACCATTTTCCTGCTTAGTTAAAAAAAATAGATATTGCAAACTGCATTTTAATGAATTATTACCTGTCGAAACGTTGCCAGGCTAACGGATTAAATCTACTGACTACTAGAAAATTCTGGGAAAAATAGGAAAACTGGAATCTGTCATCCGAGCCTATTGTCCGTGTTGTGTGATCCATGTGTGTGTGTGATCATTTAGGCCTACTCAGAATAAACTGAGATCAGCGTGTGATGTACCAGTGAGTTGTATTGCAGGCTGTTTATTCTTAAGTAAACTTCTTAATATTAGTAGGTCTACTTAAAAGTTAAAAGTTGATTGCATGGCTTGGATGGAATTTATTATGAATTTAGAATTTACTCAATTTAGTCACAACCTGGTTGTTTTTGTTAGCCTATTAATGTCAATTAATATTATTAGCCCTATTACCATTTAGTTAATAGTTAATTTAGTAGGCTAATTATTTTTTATTTAGTGGTCCCATTATTATTAGTTTATTAGACATCCTCATCTAGTTATTCTAGTTTCTAGTAATTATTATGTTAGGCACTGAATTAGTATTACTATTACTGTATTACACTATTTAATAAAATTACTCTAGGCTACTTATTAGGTTTTCTTAATTTAATTTAATTATTAAATTACTAATGAAACTGTGAAAGCTTTGACTTATTAAACCTCAAAAAATATTTTTGAAAGTTATTACTGATTTTGTTCTAAATCATTAATTAATACCTTTATGCTTTAATTGAATGCTTTGTTTTTAATTAAAGTATATCTTTTTTTTAGATCAACAAAGGAAGAGAAAAAAACTAAAACCTGGTGCTAGTGTTATGAAATTTATTTGGACTTAACAGATCCACCTGCTGACATGGTAATGGCAAACTACAGTGAATTTAGCAATAACAACTACCTGCCAGGATTTTATAATGGTAAAGTGGAACATGTAGTTTTTGTTAGAGGTATTAAATAGAATAACATGTTGCTATTTTGTGTGGTATTGTCTGATATTTTTCAGTGAGCGTACTTGGTTAATAAATCTGTTAAAATTGAGCTGAATATGTGGGTGTTGATTTAAAGTAAAAAATATCTTTAAACCTAGCAATCCATTGGGCAGATCAAGTAGTTAATATTTTTCTTGACCTCGGCATACAAAGGGATGATCTAGTCAGTATATGCCCAGCCGCCTTTACTTTCTCCAACATAAGTCAGGTACCCATCATAGCTGGATGGACTCAGGGAAGTCCTACAGCCAAACGCTCTACCATTTGACCATGCCATCTCTGGGAGTTAAGCTAGAATAATAGGATACTATAGAATAAATATTTATTTTCGTTAGCAGTATTGTAACATTATTACCACTGTTGTAATCAAAACAGTAATTTATTGTAGTGATGTTTTACATTTATTTTTCAGATATGCAGACTTCAACTTTCAGTTCATTCCCATCCTCACCACAGTTCCGTAGCCCTGTTGTGTCCCAAAACAGTTTTACATTCACTTCTCCCACCCAGTGCAGCACACTTTTAACTCATAGGCCCAGCATACAGGTACTGATGTGATATACTAAAATGGAGGGCATACTTATGCTTACTATCAGCAGCACTAAATTATGGGTTGTTTATATCCCTTCTAGTTCTAGGCATAAAAGCTCTCCCTGGTAAAAACTTGAAAATTAGTATTTAAAAGTTTTTATTTTAGATTTTTACAGAAAAGCAAAGCTCAGTATTTAATTGAGAAAATCCACACTAGTCTTCAACCAATACGATTCTGTAGAAATGTTTTAATCTTATATTTACATGATAATGTTACTCTAGAATAGGTGGACATTTCTGTAAAATTCTCCTTATCTATGGTCAAACAATGTGACCTAACATTTGATTTATTTATGCTTCCTTTTTGTGGACCTATATGCCAGTATTTTTACTCTTCTACTGCAGCATTAGTTTTTAGCTAATTCTTTTTATTAGAAATTACTCCATTGGTTTATTTTACTAAATAGGAATATGCTTATGTTTGAGTTCAATAATTAGGTGTCTTTATCAAACAAGATTTTTAGTTACAAAAAATTATCTACTAGATAGCCTTAAAAAACAATTTTTTTTTAATTTGTACAGTTATATAAACTTAAAACTGTGGGTTAATAGATCCAGAGTTGTTTTTTTTTAAAATCTGAGATCCAAGTTAAGAACACATATATTGTTGGTTGAGTAAAAAAGCTTGACCACCTATTTGGACTCTTAGTTTTACCCTACCTCAAGATGTCCAAAAGTATTTATAACAATTTCCATCATCAATTCCAGACAACTAGCCGTATCAGCAATCTAAGTGCACCAGGTGTTGGCACTTCTTGGCAGCACTCCATCCCTGTAACTATGCCTTGGGGAGACTTGAGTTCTGCAGGAACTACTACAGTTTTTACAGGCGCTCCATTACCTTCATAGTAAGTATTATTCCCAAAAACTTTAACATCAACCAAATTAAGAATAATTTTAATCTAATTTTTGTTTTGTGTTATAAATAACTGTTTTAGTATTAAGTTCAATCTTCCCTGAAAAATATTTATGATTTGTTGGCAATTCTTTTTTCCAGTCCTGAATTAAATATCTCATGCGATAAACCGTTTAGAAGACCAAAGCGCAAAGCACTAGAACTACCAGATGAGTAAGTTTGAATGTGTTCTTATTATGTGAATGTTTGGCAATATTACTAGAAATATAATTTATAAAAGTAACCTGTTTGTTTTAGATTATAATATTTTTTTTACACAGCAATTGTCCTTGATAAACATTTTCTAAACCAAATTTTCATATTAGCTACATTAAATTCACCAAATTTAGTAACCCACAATCTGAAATTTTCAGAGCACCAATGTCTAAAGTATACCTGTGTGCAGATCAGTTTGCAAATATGAAAATAACACAAAAAGAGCAATCAATGTTTGATCAGGTTAAAATAGATGCAGAAGACAGAGGTGTACAGGTCTTCATAGGTGCGCCAGGTACTCAATGTAGAACAGATGCTGAGGCCTGGCAGAGGTTTAGAGAAATAGAAGATAGGTAAGCTTTAGTTAAGATCTACATGGCAAATAAACGTCATTATTTATGTGTTGTGGTAGATACACTATATCCTACTTGAAAGTAAACTGATTTGTGAGCTAGTGTTAGTAGGACATATGGAGTCTACCCTGCTTTAACCCAAGCTGGGAAAGTTTTGCTGACTGTAAAAGTGCTGACCACACAATCCGTTTATAAGCTGAGGCAAAGAAACTCAGGAGTTCTGCCTTACAAATAAGTTCAGACAGTTAATTTTAACATCAACTATTGTTCTTTACTTCACTGCCATGTAAATTAAACATATATATGTATATTTTTTTAGACTAGACTTTGAACTTGAGGAAGATGTTGATTTCAACATAAACAATTCCAATAGTTGGTCTGATGAAGGTCCTCGTCTCAAGGTAGCTGAAGGAGTTTTAGAGTCTGCTCAAACACCCTCTCCGATTCTTCCACGAAAAGTTATGGAAGAGATGTAAGTTGAAATTCTGGGAGATTTTTGGATCAAAGAATAATTCCCCATAAACTGCCCAGCATTTTTCTTCTATCATATATTCCCATAAGCCTGATCTATATAAAGTACTTTCATTGCTGTGTAGTAACTAAAGTCTCACTGTTAACAAGATTTTGAAATTGCTGTCTTAAAGCCAGATGTAATAACTTTTAATTTTTCCTTTACTGTTGTGTCCTGTGGCAGTTATTTTCTATTACTTTGAAACGTTGAAAGATTTTTTCAATTATATTTTAAAAGTTCAAGGATTGTTTTTTAATAAACAGAGGAAAATTATAACAATAAAAATGTTTCTAATGGTGAATTAAGCAAATATTTAATAACTAGATAAATGGCCCGTTGAGGAAGGGTACAACGGGCGCTAGGCTGATAGTGCTGTCTCTTTTCTCTAAACTAAAACCATCCCACCCCCCCACACACACACCCCCACCCCCAACCCCTTACCCCCACCACCCCCACCCCCCACCCCCACACACCTCCACCCCCCACACACCACCCACCCCCACCCCCACACACACCACCCCCACCCCCCACACACCACCCCCCACCCACCCCCACCCACCCACCCCCACCCCCCAAAAAAACATGTCTACCGTCCCATTCAACGAAATATAATTATATACTTTTTCCAGTGTCCGCCCCCTTCCCGAAAATTCTACCCCCGCCCCCGAAAACCTCAAGTACCCCCCACCCCCCACCCCCACCACCCCCACCCCCCACCCCCACACACCTCCACCCCCCACACACCACCCACCCCCACCCCCACACACACCACCCCCACCCCCCACACACCACCCCCCACCCACCCCCACCCACCCACCCCCACCCCCCAAAAAACATGTCTACCGTCCCATTCAACGAAATATAATTATATACTTTTTCCAGTGTCCGCCCCCGAAAATTCCAAGTACCCCCACCCCTCTCCGGGGAGGAAAAAGTCTGAAAGAAACACTGGTGTCGCGCTTAGCCACTACCCGAAGAATTGCATTAAAGAAATTGCAAGAAAACCACTTTTTAGATTAGACACATTAATTAGGCGGTAATTTTATTATAGAGTATCGATGAAGAAATTTCTTTTGAGTTGGGGAGGGGGGGGGGGGGGCTCAGACGTTCTTACGCGTGGGGTGGGGCTTCGCCCCTACCCGAAGAATTGTATGCAAGAAACTCTTCACGCAAACCATTAAGATTAGACAACATTTCCTTTTTATTCAATGTTAACGCGAAAATCAATGACGTCATATAACTGTGAGCACTCTCTGGGTTTGAGATTATTTTCTACTCTACGCTAAATGTGTCGACGTCATATTTCGTTTTTCGAATTACTGTGCATGTTTTTATTTTGCTTGTGTTTTCTCTAGAGCGTTCTTGTCAGACAGAGCGTTCTTGACAGACAGAGCGTTCTTGTCAGACAGCGAAACTATTAGTATTAATATAATAAAATAATTGATAAAGAAAATATCTGCATTTCCAGTTAAGATGTTGAAATTTTTTTTTTGCATTTTACTATAATCTTATTAGTAATACTGGTATAGGTTTTTTTTTACTTCTAAGAAAATGTTTGATACTTTATATCACAATTTGTTTTGTTGTAGATTATTATACCAGTTAATCATTGAAAACCAAGTTCATTTTCCTGTGTATTGCTTTTTTATTTTAAATTTCAACTTTATTAGATATTTTAATAGTAATACTAATAGTATAGCCTTTTTTTATATAATTAAGTAATGTGGGTTTTAAAATATGTCATCCTGATGTTCTGCCTCAAGGAGAGGAAACATGTTTCAATGCCTAAGCATTAAGCTTAAATTGTTAAACTTTAAATGGATTTTAAAATGTGTTAGTTTTTAAAAATGAACTATTCTTGGCTCATTTTAAAATAAAAATGCAGCTAACTTTTTTTTATAAGTAGGGTTTAATATAAAAGAATTTTTATTAATAATATAACAATAATTTTCGCTTAACTTAGTTTAAATAGTTCTTTAGGTTTAATCTTTTTTTCTGTTGCATTATTGAAATGGTTACCAGTATTTTAACAATTTGTATTTCTATTTTTCCTTACAGCACCAAACCATGCATGCAAATAGTGCTGTGGAAATCACCAGGGGAGCTTATTCGTGAAATAAAAAAAGAAGATAACCCTGACTCATCTGATAGTGACTCCAACAAAATGTCAAATTCACCAACTAGATTACCTCTCTTGTCTCGTGATAACATCATGGAAGACAGTTCTGATCTTACACATACTCCCAGTTTATCACCACACTATCAGACAGATGTTTTCAAACTATCTACTGCACATTTTCTCAACTCCTTGCCTACTAATGCTGGTTTGTCAGATAGAACTGAAAATCTGAACTGCAACATAATAGGAAAAGATTCTGATATATTCGATAGCATGGATGATGAAATGCAGTTGTGATGACATTTTTTTAGTATACTTTAAGGACTTTGTGTTTATTGTTCTTTGCATTCATTAAAAAAGTTGATAAACATTTTTTAATTTCCTTAATTTTAATTATTCTGAATTAATTTCAAGATCCCTATTTTTGCACAGAAAGCTGTTAATAGCAAGCTCATTATTTTTTTTTCTATTTAAAAAATGGAACATAGTGCTTATAGAATTACTAGAAATCAGTATTGTTTTGTGTATTTTAATGATGCATGTACAAAGTGCTATCTAAAATGCTTAAAACATTTTCTGTTTAAGATATACTTTATATTGTTTTGTGTTGGTATGAGGTGTATTATTTCTGTTTTCCTGCCCCTTGTTTTTTGGTTATGAAATTGAGTGAGAAATATGGCAGCTGTTTATGTATATTTTTCTGTTTATTGAAGCAGCTCATTCATTATGTATTCCTGTTTATAATGGTTTGATTATTTCATAACCTGTTATTAATTTATCTTGTAAATAATGTAGAAAAGTTTTCACATTTGATAATTAAAAGTATGTGTCTAAGTTTTATAGTTAATGATTTGAAAATAATATGTTAAGCAGGAAAAGAAAACTTGTATTTGATTTTTTCAGGTCTTCATTAATCAAAATAGTGCATTACCTATTAGAATGACCTTTATTGATGTGCTTAAATTTAAATATAAAAATAGAAGACAGAAAGTGCACCAGGACCTAATCTGATTTTTTATATTTTGTAATAAAAATCTTAAAACATTTTGAGTTGAAAATCACAATATTATCTGTATTGTATACACACAAATGTTACCATGAAAAAGTAATGTTACAATTTGTATTCAAATATTTATAAATGATGTTTAACAAAAAAAAAGTACATGTATGTCATAGTTGTACAAGCTTCAGTTATGTGACATATTGTTGCAGAATAAATAAAATCATAACAGAAATGAAGTTCAGAATTAATATATTTGTTTCTTAAGATAAAACTGCATAGATATACTTTTTCTTAGAAAATCTATATCCTGTTAGGCAGTCAATTTTTCAAGGGCATTTTACTTTGTTTTGGCATTACTGTAAAACTTATTTCATAATGAAATAAGTCTTAAAAAATACATTTATTTTATATTTATAATACATGACATAAGTTCATCTATTTAAAAATACTAGCTAGAGCAAAATTGCACACAGTGACAATATATTTAAACAATACACTAGCATAAATATGCTTTTTTTACGTTTAATAATCGATAACTGATCTAGGTAGATCTCAAGAACAATGTTGCTTAAAACACATACAGGTACAATATAAATAAGCTCAACTGATTAACTTTTGTACATCATCAATATTTAAATAAACAAACTTCTGAACTACTTATATCAGCAATAAGTGGATTATTCTTTATAAATAAAAAAAAATCACAATGTAACCAGTATCATTTATTGTGACTGATGAACACTGCTAAAAATTAATTGCAAAACACTACCAAATTAAACCTTAGTTTAAGCACTAAAGGCATAACTTAAAATTTTCTTTTGGCTATCTGTTATGTCTGGATGCCACATATCAAACATGAAAATAACCCTGATGTGGCTTTCATTCAGTCCTTTATGTTGGACTGAGTGGGGGAAAGCATCATTGAAACAAACTATTTTGCCCTCTTCATGAATACGGCTTTCTCCTCCAACCTCAAGGATACATTCATCTTTAGGAACCTTTAGTCCTGACAACATAAAAAAGTTTTATTATGGAAATTATACTGGTAACAAGTAATTCAAATAATAAAATTTTAGTATATTATTCATAATAATTATAATTATTAAAATATTTTCATCTTTTTAATTGAAGTAAGAATAAACAACAACAAAAACAAAGAAGTTGGACATTTCAATAGATTCAGCTTATCTTTGATTCAAAAATTATTATCAAGCCTAAATAAAAAAACTAAAATAAAGAAGTTTTTCTTTTTAAAAATCTGGAACATTTTTTGTGAAGTAAATTATAACTCTTCTAGCTTTAGCAGAATCAATAATTAACAGTATCTGGGTATTTTCCTATATTAGGCAAGAATCAGAAATTAGAAAGGTAGAACAATCTGATATTCTGAATCTGCATAGACAAGAGGGACAACTAACTCAAACCTAACCCTATGCCTTACTCAAAAAGAATACATTTTTTGTTTGTTTGGCTGATTAAGAAATAAGGACAAAATCTGTTGCTATAAATCTGAAATGGAAAACAAAACACACATTAACAAAAACTAAAAATCTGATACCTAAGCTTGAACAATTTGGGATAGCGTGGCCTAGCAGTGGAGCGCTAGACTGCTAACCCGATAATTTTGAGTTTGAATCCGGGTTCAAGTTAGTGGAACTTCCCTGAGTCCACCCAACTCTGATCGGTACCTAGCTCACGTTAGGGAAAGTAAAGACGGCTGGGCATAGTGCTGACCACATTATCCCTTTATATGTCGAGTTCAAGAAACATATGAACTCCACTTCATCTGCCTGATCATTGGTCTCAAGAGGAATCTTTTAAGCTTGAACAAGCAAACTTACCTAAATGACATCGAATCCTGCAGTTTGTTGAGCCACAATGTTTTGCAATCAAAGTATTTGGATGAACAACAGAGAATGCAGCATTAGCAAAAATATTACCATTCATAAAATATGGTATTTTTGTCAGAACATCATAAGTAAATGGACACAATTCAGCCACTTTGGTTGCTTTGCCTTGATCAAAAATATGTAAAATACTCCATTTACCAGATGCACTACTATTTGTTTTCCAAAGACCTTGAATATCTTTCTCAGGACTATTATAAACATTGATAAATTCAGAATATATTTGGTGAAAATACTTGTCTAGGATCTGTAAAGCTGGAAAGTCATTTTTTGACCAGAACGTCTTCTCTCTTAGTCCAGACATTTTAAAAACAACTGGAGTCGAGCTACTAATGCTGGGAGATGATAGGGTATTTATATCCGTGACTTCTTCTTTCTTTTTTATTAAGGCGAGCGATTTTCGCAAATCCAACAACAGACTTTCCACATCATATTTTTTTACTGAGGGATCATTATCAGCAAAATAACTTAGTCTGGTAAGGGCCGTCTGAAGGGTAGAGTGTCCTCCAGCACACCTGACACACTCTAATGAATTGCACAGTGTGTAGCTGTTTCTGATTTTATTTCCAGATTTACTCTGGTCACTAATAATAGTACATTTCTGTGAATACCGCTTGTTAAATCGCCAAATTATTAAGAAAGTTAATATGACACACAAGGCAAATGTAAAAAAATAAAGTATGTAGGCACTGAAAATCTCCATTGTCAACCAATGTGGGCTGTGGTAGTCTACTCTATCGATATTTTGAATCAACCCGTCCCTTTGTATCCCTTGCAAAACGAACCCCCAGCTTGTTGCATTACTGAGTTTACTCTGCTAGAATTAGAAGAGTAGATAATTTCATTTTAATTTCAATTAATGTATTGTAGATAAATCTAACTAATAGGCCTAACTAATGTAGAATTATAATTATATTTTATAGGCCTATCAATGTGTAAAGTGTAAAAAAAGGAGTTAAGTTTGCATAAGAAGTAAATACTATTATTTACCTCTTTCTTTACTATTTGCTAAACTAAACTAAATAGTAAATACTAAATACTTAGTACTAATAACTTACTAATAAGTTTAAGAGTTATTAAGACTTAAGGAAGTTAAGACAGTTTAAGTAAAGAAAGCCTACTGGCCTAAACTAAGTTACTTAGTTCAATGAAGTGTATTGGTGTAAGTTACTGTTAAGTTTTATAGTATATAGAATCTACTTGTAGTGTTACTGTTAAGTGATGTGATATGTCTGAACTCTGAAGTCAGCAACAAACTACTTTACTTTTGGACTTTTGTTTGATTGACACTTTTGTAACTAGAATCTAGATCTACTCCTAATCTAAATCTAATCTAGATCTACGTGCTAAGTCGAAAGTCTACACTCTACGTCAATCTACTACTAGGATCTAGAATCTAGATATAGACTTAGATCTAGTACTGCTACTAGATCTACTTAGATTCTAGATCTAGACTTGTTCTAATATATTATGTTTTTTTTTTGTTTTGATTGTGATTTGCTTATGAGCTGCCAGTAAAAAAGTTATATTAAAGGATCAAACACAAAAAGTAATAGCATAGATTTAGATTCTAGATCTAATTCTATTCATATTATTCGCGGGGAAGATGAACATAAATTTGAATTATAATGTTTAGTCTGTAGAGTAATATATTTTTAATTAAGACACAGTTATAATATTCTGTTAAACGATTAATAAACAAAATCTTTAAAAAAATACTAAAAAATAAATCAATTAAATGAATTTACCAATGTGGCAAGCACTAGTATTTCCAAGTTATGTAAAACTAAAACGATCACAGAATTAAACGAACAAAAAAACTAATAATCTAGATCTATTTCTAGTAGTTGAGTGGTAGATCTAGGCCTAGGCCTAAACCGCGTTCTGTATGCCTAGTTTAAACTTTGTATAGACGACTAGTATAGATGTATAGTATAGATCTGTCTAGATATAGTATAGATCTAGCTTCCCTACTGTTTTTTATTACAATAAATTATTTCATAGATTCTAAATATAATATAATGTTATTAAAAATCTTTGTAAAAATGAAAATGGCACTTGCAAGAAGAATTTATTTATATTCCAGTCGTCACGCGTTTGAATCCTTTTGAAAACTTCTTATACTTTGTACTTATATTACAACATATAGAGTACCTTAGACAATATGTGCTAAAGTTAAAGCACTACTAATGGGTCATCTACAAACTCCCTCTCCTAAGGGGTTCATCCATAAACGACGTCACATTATAACTAAAGATGATTATATAGGTAGTAGAATCTATATAAAAATATAATATAAAGGGGTCATCCATAAATGACGTCACGCTTTTTTGACGATTTTTACCTCCCCCCCTCCCCTCCGTCACAAAAAGCCAGACCCCCACCCCTAAAATGACGTCACACCTCAGCCTACAGCCCCCCTCAAAATTGCAGTTGAATTTGTCTTAAAACATCGATATTTTTTCCAAAATCTTGTCTGAACTCTGTCTATATAGAATATAGAGTATTTTAATCAATTCCTAGTACAATAACGTCTAAAATTAGTTTTCTAACATGGCTTTTTTTCTAAGGGCTATTTGTAGTAAAGTACGAATAGACACTCTCTTTTTATAATGCAAAAAAGTGATGTCACTTTTAGTCCCCTCGCCCTCATCACACACCGTCACAAAATTACGGACCCCCCTCCCCCCTACGAGTGTGACGTCATTTATGGACGACCCCTAAGTAGTTATAGCCCATAGCCAACATAGTAAATAGATCTAGGAAGAGACGAAGAGTTTCGGACTTTTTTTTTATGATGTGCAGGTGAGAACAGGTAAGAACACACTTTTTAAATTTTAACATTTTTTTTTGTTTGAATCTGAATTTTAGCTTTTATTTTGCATTTTAAAAAGATTTTTTTAATCTAGTAAATTACAGAAATTCCCCAATTATTTAAACAGTTGCTGTAAATGTAAGTAACCCACGTTTGGGCTGTTTGGGTTTTTTAGTTCCGACAAAAACATCATAATTATTTGTAACATGTAGGCTTTATTAATATTAAAGACTTTCATTCGGGCACCCGTTGGGGGGGGGGGGGGGTCCACTTGTAAAGTAAATATGCACTTCAACCCCCGAAAGTTTCAAATACCCCCCCCCCCCCTCCAGAAAATTCTGAAAGAAACCCTGTATAAATGGTGTAAAAAAAAGAGGGATAGTAGATGGTTTCTAGTAATAATATGTTTATTAGTGTTATGAGCGAAGAGTAGAAATGTTATAACTATTATGGTAGGCATAGTCAAAAATATCCTATTGCAAATTAATGTCATATCACAATTTTATATTACCGTATGCCGTAAAGGCGTAAATTACCATTTATTTAAACTGTACGTAAGGGAAACAGCTTTTGCAGATAGAAAAAAATAATTATTACAGTTATACCCCTTTATCGTTTCCTGGCAATAATTTGTTTACTCTGGGAATGGCTGCTCAATGGTCGTAGCAACAACTGTTTCTTTAATAAATGCCATGAGATTAACCTTGCATTTAATTGTGTAAATATTAAAGTAATTAATTAAAATGGACGATCCACGGATAGAGTGGATAAGAGATCGAGTGTATGATGCACTTGACATTCAAGAAAAAGAAGTATTTGAAGAAATTCTTGAAAGAGAAGATGGTGAATTCGAGCGTAGATTAGGAAAATATCTTAATGACACACCCGTAGAGGGGGAAACATCAATTTTGTTTTACAAAATTGTCCGCGAGGAAGAAGAAGAAGTTGAAGTAGAATGTGGTAATGTATTTCATTTAGCATTAATTTTAATAGGCACATGCCTACTACTAGTACTAGATTAGATTGATTAATAAATAATATAATAGAAAATAGAAATGAATGATACTCAACTGGTAATTAGTAATTTACTTTTTACTAATACTATACTATAGTCTATACTCTAAACTCTATTATTAATTTTAAAAATACTAATAACATACTTAGCCTTCTGCCTACTATACTAAATTTTACTTAAATTACTAAATTAGGCCTAGGCCTAATAATTTAATTTAATTTTTTAGTAGTACTAGCAAAAATCAAAACTACACAATGTTATTTTATTTTAGTTTTAAAATACTTTTATTTTTAAATAGTACTATAAAAATGTATTGAAAAAATTTAAAAGTGAAACTGAATAGTAAACCTAATTGTTAAATTAAAAATGTATTCTATTGGAAATTAATTACTGTAGGCTAACTGTTGTAGATTAAAATTAAGAAATACAAAATTGTAAAATAATACATACTTATCTCCCTCATAGAATCTTGGTGTCTAAACTCTTCATATTATTCATAAAATATCTATCAGTTTTTAATGAACAGTATAACAATTTATTATAATGCATTGAACTTTGTAAGTCCGATAGTTATAGTAGGCCTATAGTTATAGGGCCACCATTTTTTTTTCTCTAGAAGTTCTAAGTCAAATGAAAATCAAGGGGTTAATGAAAAAACAAGGGCAGTTGTTCCAGTGTTAAAATAATACAATACTTTGAAAACTATTTCATAGACTAGAGTAGCTAGTGATACTTGTAATATTTATAAATTACTAGTCAAGATTTTAGTGAACTTTAAAATATCTGTGAAACAACATCAACATTTATATTACAGAACCAGAGATCCCTGACATTAAAGATGATGAAGAAGGAGGGGAAGGAACTGAAGGGGATGAGGCACATGAAGGAGAAGATGAGGTTCAAGCACTGCCAACATCAGAACCTGATGGAGACAGAGATTCTTCCACTCCATCTGATAAAAAAGGTAGAACAAGAAAGTATTACGTTAAGAACAGCTTTATAAATCATGTGTTTTTGCAGAAAAAACAACCTAATTCTTAGTTACTATTAGCTTTTTCATTCATTAACTTAACTTGTGCTAAATAGATTAATAATAATTTCAATATTTTTCATTCTTTTTGTATCTTTTTATAATTCAAGTACTAAAAAGTGTGAGACTAACTATACAGTTAACTGAACAGTTACTTAAAAAAATAAACAGCTTCTGACATAAGTTAAAGAAATCAAAATCAGTATTAACTATTGTAAATATCAATCTCTAATCTTCTTAAATCTCTATTCTCTAACTAGGAGTATACAATTAACTGAACATTAATTTTTAAAAAATAAACAGCATCTAGCATAAGAAATCAAATGCCTCATTAACTATTGAAAATACTAATCCCTAATCTTTTTTATCTGTCTTAATTTGGCTAACCAGCAATAAACAAGCAACAATTGTAATGAACTAATGCTAAAACTTATTTTATAAAGAAATTAAAGAATTTGATAATGTTAATAAAATGACCACTCCTAAATGTGTTTTTAAAAATGTGCCTAATCTTATTTGAACCTACTACAAAGGTAAAATGAAAAAGAAAAAGGGCAATAAAGATGAAAAGTCACAAACTCCAACTCCACAAGCTGACCACAATGCAGACAATGAAACAACTGCTGACACTGAGACTGCTGATAAGGGAGAAGAAGGAGAGGAAGAGAAAGAACAAGAAAGTGCACCAAAAACAGTATGTTTTTTATTTCAGTAAATCTTATTTTTTTTAAATTTAAGGTTATTAATTAGTTGTTTCCATACATTTTGTTTATATGAGCTTTAAAAAAGATATTTTGATTAACTTCTGTATAATATATTGATTATTTTCTTAATAATGTTTGACATATATTAAACTTTATGTTTTTAGAAAATTATCATCCAAAAAGTGTGGCGCACGTATCTACAAATGTGCTACGAACATCTTCCAGAAGAAAACAATGATCATGAGAGCATTTATTTCATACGCAACACAGTAGGAATGGTACCATTGCCTGCAACTTTATCAGAGGCTGAAGAAATCCTTCCTTCTTATTTAGAGTATGGAATTTTGAATGGTCATTCTCTTTTGATGTTGGAGCAAATCATAACAAAGGTAGTTACTTTGTTAATACATGTAAATACAAATCTGTGGTTTAAGTTTAATACTTTAAGTGGGATGTTTCTTTACTCACTTGGCCTACTACTCCTATGTATGTTGGATTTTTATAACAGCTTTGTCAGATTCTTGATTCCAACATATACAAGTGATCAGTTTTATTCTTTGTCTGTATTAGATGTTTAAAAAAAAATTAATGGCCATTTGGGGGGTGGAAGGGTCTGGCTTTTTGTGACAATGTGTAATGGAGCAGAGGTGTGAGGTAAAAAATCTTCAAAACAAATTTATGGATGACCCCCAATCTACAGCTCATAGCTTTATGTTTTTAACTTTCAAGTAACACAGTTATTGCTAAATTTACCATTCTGCACTTTGTAGTTTTATATTTTTAATTTTTAATTGTTAAACTGCAATTATGCTGTATAAATACTGTAAATTTTAAATATCATATACATCTTTAAATAACATAATGCCATTGTACACACAGAGACTTTTTATTTTTATTGTGATATCTAATGAACTAATCTAATAATCTTAAAATATTTCACCAAACCAGTCTTAAAATAGATGGATTTATAGGTTTATTATGTTTAAGGTAAAACATCAATTGTCAAGTGACTTTTTAAAAAGGAATCATAACAGTGTTGACGTCCAATAACAAACTCAATGCTTGATGTCTATTTTCAGGTGTACATGCCATTACTATCCTTCAACCAACACAGAAATGGTGGAGTGGAATCATCTACTGCAATAAAAAACCAGTCCCGTGCTGTAAGCAGGCAAGAAACAGGTACCTCCACAAGTAAAGAAGAGACAGCTAAACAGGATGTTGTTGAATCTAAATCCAAGGCCTTGCTTAGGGATGAATTTCTTATCAACATGCAAAAATTTGCTGCAGCAATTACACGAACATTGCAGCAAATTGAAGGAGAGGTCAGAACTTGACATTTATCTTTAAATACTATAGAAAATTTTGGGTAATTAATAATCATCATCATTCTTATGGCACCCTAGTGAAGCTTAGGGATACAACCACACCTCTCCACCATGTTTGGTTTTTGATGTTGGGCTCATGACATTCCAGCTGCTTGTGCCTCACTGACACTGATATTTTCCAAGTTTGTTTTGGTGTACCTACTTTCCTCTTTTCTTTGAGATTTTAATCTAACACCTGTCTGGTGATGCTGCTAGTTGGTTTACACATGGTGTGTCCAATCTATCCCCATTTGCACTTTTGTATGTCTTTTTTGATAGGGTCTAGCAAAGTTTTTCTCCACAGTTGTTAATTTTTTCAGGCCACCTGATGTTCAGTATTTGATCTGTTAATGAAAGTATGAAGTTTGTTGCTTTTTAATTATATAATATATATGTTGGCTGAATCCTCTTACATTTAAATTTTTTTTATTAAGGTTCGACTTGAAGTGCCTGAAATGGAAATCCCTGATAACATCGAGGAAGCATTAAAAGATGAAGCATTGGTTGAAATGATTCATGAGAAATGCTTGGATTGGCAGAAACAAATCCAGTTTGCTCTTGAAAATCTACAGCAGAGGAAGCGCCATGGCAATGGTCCACTCTCCGAGATCGACTACTGGAGAGAGAGAAATGCAGCTCTTAGTGCTCTAGTTGAGCAGCTTAAAATTCCTTTAGTAAGTCATACAGTAAATTTAAAAAAAAAAATGAAAAATAAATTGTATTTTCCCATGGTCTGAAAATTTTTGTAACTTATTCAAAAATATTAAAGTATTGAACTGTTTTAAAAATTAGTTAAATAAATTAGATCTATATTGACATATATATTTTTTTTAAATATGTAAAAAAAATGTATTTAGCAATAGAAAATGACTGATTTATCAAAATATCTAAAACCATCTGCATTTGAATTCAGCAAATTTTGTTTATGCTATGCAGATGTAGAATGCTCTCTCTATGCATAATACTTTACATCTTGTGCAAATTATAGGTAGCTCGCATGATTGAGATTCACATAGCTGCTGATGGAGACTTTGAGGACACACAATCTGAACTAAACAAATATTATGTGGAAGCCAAAGACAATGTCAGGTTTTTATCAACTCTGGAGAGACATTTTAAAAACATCACCTATGGTGCCACATTCCAGGTGAGACTTTTTTAAAAATCTTCATGTCTAGGTTTTAAGAGTAGTTGGTAAAGACAATGAAATATGAGCAAAGATTGTGCAATCTTTACAAAAAAAAAAAACAACCCACCACAATGTCCCAATTGAAATACATTAAAATACAAAGTTGTCATTAGTTTTCAATATATTAAATTAAAGGAGATTAATTACTTTACTTTATTTTACTTCTAAAAACTGTAAAAAAAAGTTATTTAAAAAAAATGTATGTGTGCTTATTATTAATAGCTAGTAATAATAATGTAATTATAATTATATCTTTAAACTAATTAATTCTTAAGATGAAAACTCATATATGCTGTTAACAAAAATAACATTGTTTAAAACATTTTTTTGTTACAAAGATTGTTACAGAAACTATCCCATCCATGATGAATGCACTTCGGATGGTTTGGATAATATCTCGCCATTACAACAAAGATGAAAGAATGGTGCCACTTATGGAAAGAATTGCATGGGAATTAGCAGAAAGAGTTGCTAAAGTTATCAATGTCAGGGAACTATTTACGTAAGCAGCTATAAGCCATTCAACTTTTTCTTAAATACAAAATTTTGGTTGGATTTATTTTTACTTTAAAACTATCCAAAGAAAAATTTAAAGAATTTTAAAGAGAAAGTTTTTTTTTCAGTCTTCAAACAGAAGAAATAAAACAAAGAACTTCAGAAGCAAAAAAAATGTTAACTACTTGGCAAGAAGTTTACAAAGAAGTCAGACAAAAAATTGAAATTTCAGGCAGGGATCAGCGTTGGGAATTTGACAGGAAACGTCTTTTTGATCGCACAGAATACATGAGTACCATCTGCCAAAACCTGTATGATATTGCACAGGTATTTAAGGCCGTATTATTTTCAGACCTGTAAATACTTAGCTATTCTTGATAATGCAGTTAGTTGCTGTATTCACAAAATACCTCTCTTGATAAAAAGTACTTGAGGTTTTGTTTCTTGTCTGTTTTGAGAGTAGTAACCAGTTGATGACAGTATTAAAACTGGCAGAACCTTAACATTTTTTTTTTAGATAAATTTAAGCACTATTCTTTTTATTCTTTTTATTGTTGTTTTAAAAATTTTTTTTTATTATACAATGCACATTCTGTTACATTTCTCTTTCACCAAAATACACAACAGGTTCTTGAAGAGTTTTACAACATTTTTGGTCCTGAGCTGAAAGCGGTCACTGGAGACCCAGAACGCATTGAAGAAGTTTTGCTGAGAGTGGACAAATTAGTTGAGCCCATTGAACAGGTATTCTTAGGCTGCCTTATACTGTGTATTTAATTTATCTCTTATATATCTTATAAAGGTAGTTGTTGGTCTAAATAAATTAAATAGCTTGTTTGTGAGTCATTTACAAATAAATTTAAAATTCAGTATGGTATTTATTTCAATTTCTTAATAAAACTGAACTCAAACTTGAAGTTTCAAATGCTATCACTTTTTTCCAGACTCATAATGTGTCCATCTTGTATCGTAAATACATTTGTATTATTACTATTATTATTTAATTTGTCTTCTGTAGTAATATAAAATTTAATATTATAATTTTTTTGCCAGCTGACTTTTGATGCCTTCAGCTTAAAAGATTCACAACTCTGGAAAAGAATTATGTCAAATTTTTACACAGAGGTTTCAGAAATTGAAAACGAGGCCAAGACTTTTATTGATGAATCTTTCCAATCTCTAAGATCAGCTGAAGGTGCTTTTGATATGTTGCTGAACTTTAAACATCTAAGGTCCCGTGAGGCAATTAACAACCAAATGATGCAAAAATTCAAAGATATCCTTGTTCAATATGGAAAGGAGGTAATATTTGATGGTTGTTTTTTAGTTTCTTATGTTTTAAAAAAAAATGACTTATCAAAATTCGTTGTTATATGTAATCAAATTCATGCATGAATTGTACAATATGGAAAGGAGGTAATATTTTATGGTTGTTTTTTTTTTTTTTTAGTTTTTAAATATTAAAAAAAAAAGGATTTATCAAAATTAGTTGTTATAACTAATCAAATTCATGCATGAATTGTTCAATATGGAAAGGAGGTAATATTTTATGGTTGTTTTTTTTTTTAGTTTTTAAATATAAAAAAAAAAGGATTTATCAAAATTAGTTGTTATAACTTATCAAATTCATGTCAAATTTATTAAATCTAACACATTACCTTTCCTGATGCTAATGATAAATCCTAAATTTTTTTTTAGAAATTCATAAATAAATTCTAAATAACTAAAATGATTTTGAGATGCTTTACTTTAAGAGAGTTTGTTTACTATCATTTGTTCTAGGTGGACACAATGGATCAACTTTTCATTGAGTTCAAAGAAGGTCCACCTCTAAACAAAAACTACCCACCCACAGCGGGCACAGTCTACTGGACCAGATCCCTGTTTCATCGCATTAAGCACACGGTCATCAGGTTTCTGACCCTGGAGGAAATGATGACAACAGATATGGGCAGATCTGTAGGTTATGTTTTCTTTCTATTATTATGTGGTGCATTGTTTTAGTATGATGCAAGTCTTCAAAGTTTCACCCTCTTAATTGTTTGATCTTTAAAAAAACCTTTCAATAGATGACATGCAGTGAGATTTCCCACCATAACCATCTAAGGGTGAAGAAAAAACCCACACAATTTGCTATGATATATGGGTTCAGAAGCCACAATTGACAAGATAGATAATCTCTCCACTTGGCCATGATATTTCACAATAATTTGACAAAAATTAAGTATTTTATATTAGAGACTAAGGAGACTACCCTAGTTCCCTGAGCCCAAGAGCCATGGGTAGCACACTACTGCTTTCAAGTGCGTTTTGATTTTCTTGCTTAAGCTACCCTGAATCACATTGCACCATAGCAAAGCATGGTCTTAACTATGTACACATAAATAATGAAAATAAAATGTGCGAATTTTACTTTGAAATAATTTTATTGATTGTGAATAGACCAAAGCCAAGTACCTGTCTGTTGGCAAGAGCATGAGAGCATTTGAAGATTTAAAGTATGAGCAGTGGAAGGAAAATGTGGAAGCCTCCTTGCCTGGACTTTTAAAAAGAAATCTGCTTGTCAAGAAAACAAACCAGATTGGGTCAGCTTCAGCTTCTCAGCAGATTCGTAGTTCAGTTACTGCAATAGGAGATGCAAATGAGGAGAGGAATTCAATTGGAGAGATTCAAGGTTTGTCCAGTTGTTTGTTGTTTGTTTTAGAATGTTCAGTTAAAATTCATGAAACCTTATTATTTTAATGCTCTGTAGAAATCTTTTTCCATCACAGGTAATAATTGCTATATTTAATTTGTATCTCATGAATTATGTATTAAATCTTACAAATTGACTAAAGTTAAAGTTGAAACAGGAAATAATGAATTGAATCCTTACATAAAAAAAATAATGTGCAAACACATCTTATTAAAAACATGTCATATGTCATGTAATATGAATCAGGACTGATGAAAGAGAAAAATGCACCTACTGAGATGGCTTTGCAGTGTGAGTCTATATTAAATCCAACTTTTTTTCTGAACACTTATTCAACTTTATTTTGATAATTCTTTTTTTTAAAATTTCTGCCATGTTTTCCAATTATTTTTTTTTGCTAGATAGTTGTAGGTATTTATTTATATAAATGTTGTAACTAAAATGATTGCAGATGTATATTTAGAAATTCTGTCTCAAGATTCTTGTTTTTATCAAAACTTTTCATATATTTAAAAATATGACTTCATCTTTCTTTCGTTTTCTAATTATATTCAAACATTTTCATTTGTAAATTTAGATCTAGTTTTTTTTTATTTTAGAAAGATTTTAATTCTATTTTTCCACCTGTTCTTATATATTCTATTTTATTATAGAGCTTTGTATACTTCTTATATGTATGGCCATTTATATAAATATAGTAATTTGTCACATTAATTTTTCTTAAGTTCCAAAGTTTTTTTTCAGGCTGAATTGTTTTATTAATAAAGGCACACTTATTTTTTATTTTTATAAATATTGTTGTGATTTTCACACTAAATGTTTTTATAAGAAATCTAGAAATAATGTTGCGTGATTATATTAAAAAAATAGGACTAAAGGTATTTTTCAAACATGTTAATTTTTCTTTTGCTTTTGTCACCAAGGAAGCTAAACTAAATTTTATTACTTAAGATGGTTAAGAGCATCCCTGAGTAAATTTAAAAGTATCTATAAAGTTGTTTTAAGATAAATATATTAATAGATAAAATTCTAGCAAAAAAATTGTTGCTTCACCAAAGTGTAAGACATTACCACATGTTTTAATCTGTTACATTATCTGAATTAAAAAAAATAATTCTGAAACATTAATCTCACATTTCTGTTTTAAGCTTCTGAAAAGATAACATACGCATGTAAAACACAAAATTGACACTGCTTTCTAAAAAAAACATTCTCTACAACTAAATATATTATCAATTTGTAGTGATGAACACAGAAACCAAATATGTAGTGGACTTTGACTTCAGACTGGCAGAAATCATTGCAGAAACTAAATATGTGGAATCCCTGGGATTCACTGTACCAGAGTTAGCAAGAAATGTTGCCTTGCAGGTTCGTAGGCATCAACATTTGTTAAAGTTTACCATCTCATATTTAAAAATTTAAACATAGACCTTCAATCGATTTTAAATAAACTGTCAGGTATTTATACAACTAGATTAGTTGCAGTTTACTGTTTCATAGAGCTAACAAATTGAAGATAGGTCTACAGTTAATTTTAAATGAATTTTTATTTTCAGGAAGAGAAGTACATCCGCTATGTTGATGGCTTGTCCCGAATGCTCTTCCGTTACCACTCTCTGTTAGCTTCCCTTGATTATGCTGAGGTAAAAATAAAAAATGAAAATTTTATAATGCCATTAAGTTAATGTAGGATATCTACTTTTAAAGTAGTACTTTTGTCTATGTCATATCATTATCTTAAAAAAATACCCTTCCATAAAAAATGAACTTATATGATTGACTTTTTCGCAGGCTGCTCTTCTTGATGACTACCAAAGAGACTTAAGAAGAATGCTGAGACCTGGTGCCAAGCGCCTCAACTGGAACTCCTTGGGTATCAATGACTTCATTGCCAAATGTGACTCTGTAAGATTTTTATCTCATTTGATATTAACATTATAAAATATTTTATTCGTAACATTTTTTATAACAATTTTGCATACATTATGAAAAGAGTATTGATAAATTATTTTTATGAAACTGTATTAAAAAGCTGTTGTTTGTACTTGCAGGCTATAGCAAAGTTTGAATCATTGGTGAACCAGATCCAAAAGAATGCCAGGGACATCAACCAACGCTTGAAAATGGTTGAACATGCCAATCTTTTCAAGGCTCCCAAACCAAAATTCCCAGGTCATTTACCTGGCTGCAAGGTAAATTCAACTTACCTTTTAATGTTGTTCAAATTTCTTCCATTCATTTTTTTTTGTCATTTTCATTTGTTATTCATTTCTTTCTAGACTAAAAGTATAATAAATTGAGTAAAATGTGCTTATTTTAGTTCTCCAGACTAACACTTGCATTATATTCCACAGGAATATTTTGAATACATTGAGCAAGAGAGAGTAAAAGATTTAGAGATCTTAGCCAGGAAATACAGAGCTATTGGTCCTTTACTAACAAAAATGGAAGGCTTGGTTGTTCATACAAACACTGGCAGGTCACCCAAGCTGGCAAGATACTATGCCTTCTGGGAAAGAAAGGTTTATGAAGCTCTCACAAAGGTAGGTAGTAAACAAGTGTTAATCTAAAACATTATGGGACAGCGTGGCCTAGCCATAGAGAGCTAGACTGCTAACCCAGTAGTCTTAAGTTAGAATACAAGTTCAAGTCAGTAGAACATCCCTGAGTCCACCCAGCTCTGATGGGTACCTGACTCACATTAGGCAAAGCAAAGACTGCTTGGCATAGTGCTGACCACACTATCTGTTCATATGCCTATGTCTCCAAACAGATTAACATTACTTCATCTGTTCCATGTGTCTTGGGCATGAATGGGAAAATATGACTAATCTATCAAACAATTATGTAGTTAAGACCATTTTTAATTTAAAGCCTACGAATTCTCATGAATGATACTTTAACAATGGTTTTCTAATTATTTCTGTACCAGATGATCATAAACAACCTGATGTTGTTCAGTTCTGCTATTAAAACCAATGTTCCACTGTTCCAAGTGGAATCTCTACTGGCTCCACCAGATGTTGTATTGCACCCACAGGCTAATGAGGTCTACAAACTTACCCTGCAGTGTGTCAGAGATTGTGTTGAAGGGTGCGTTCTCTATGTAATAATTTATTTCTAAAAATGCTAAACTTTTTCAGTGGTTAGTATAGGGTTAGGATTTAACTCATGTTTAGATTAGAATTTATTGTAGGCTTAAGGTATTGATACTGGAAAAAATAACTTGGAAACACTGACAGGATTATTAGTTGTTTTAATTTTTGTTATACTAATTGTGTCTGCAACTATATTTTTATTAATATATTATTGGTCAAATTATATTTAATTTTTAGGTCTGTTTTTAATATTTTCTTTAAACTATTTCACATTTTTTTCAGATCAAAAAGTTTCATTCGCTGGAAAAATGGCAGCTGCATTGAGTGCCCTCCCCAGAAGGTTGAAGGGGAAGATGAACTTTTTGTGTTCAGTTTTTTCTTGGATATTGCAATGGATCAAAACATTATTGACCTAATCCAGAAGATCCAGAATGACATCAAAGGAAGCTTGACCAATGTCAGACGGTACCTTACAAGGTGGAAGAAATACAGGAGCGTTTGGAAAGTTGACAAGGTATGAGATTTTAACTCACTGTTTGAAAAAATAAACTACATATTATAACCTGTAGGGCTGTAGGGTTTTTTTTTTACCTGTTTAAGTTTAGTTATTTTTTCATTCTAAAATATTTATCAAATAATGTTAACAAAATTCAAATAACTTCAGAGGTTTGGAAAATATGTGTGATTTGTATTTAATATTTATTTTCTTTATGGATATATACACTTGCTTCTATGTAGTCCGGGGGGTGGTGTGGTAGAATAATAGAGTTTGATTGCTAGCCCAAAAATCTTGAGTTCAGGTCTACATTGGGGAAAGTAAAGGTGGCTTGGCATAGTTCTGACCACACCATCCCCTTGTATGCAGAGGTCAAGAAACATGAACTCTACTTTATCTGCCCAATGAATTGCTAAGAAGTCTACATGCATATCTGTGATTACTTACATAATATGTAGTTATCCAAATCACATTAATATTAACAAGTCTTTTTTTTTTCTATTTTGTAGCATGCCACTGCAGAAAAATGGCTTCAGAAAAACCCAAGCTCTGTTGATTTTGATGACAAGTTGCAGTACCACTACAAAATAATTGAAGAGATCAATGCAATGAGTGACTTCAGAGATCAAGACTGCATTCGTCTGCACATGTCCTCACTGGCTAGCTCAGTAAAAGAACATGCCAAGGAATGGATTAAGACTCTGGGCAAACTTCTACAGGACTCTGCTAAAGAGACACTTGCCAGCTTGCACAAGTTATTAGATGTAAGTGTCAGTTATTTAACAAGATTGATTTTTTTTAAATTGGAGATTTTTAAGTGTGTAAACAGAATACAATTTAATATTTAAATGGCATTTGATTCTTCAAAAATTTAAAAGTAGAACTGCTAGAGTATGAATGAAATAATAAGTTATAGGTTCATTATGGTATTACTTTACAGGCATTGATGTAGTATAATTAATGTTTTCAAACTTTTCTGATAAAATAAAACACAAAAACTTATGACAGAGAGATTATTATAAAATCCATATATTTTTTAAAAATCGCTTTAATTAAAAGATTTTTTGTCTCCTTTAATAGGACAAAGCAGATGACCTTGAACAAACACCTTCAACCCTGGATGACCTCAAATCAGTTTTATCCACCATCTCAGACATCAAATCCATGTCACTGGATGTGATGAACAGAATCAGAGACATACAAGAAAGATACAGAACATTGGAAATGTACAACTTACCTGTAAGTAAAGCAGGAACTGTTTCCAATTCATTAAAACTGTATATTAGTCAACCTAAATATCAACATATATATATTATTATATATATCTTATACAATACAGGTGAATGAAAAAGAGAAAGAGCTCCAAGCCCAGCTGCCTCAAATATGGGATGAATTGGTTCTGAAATCTAAAAATATTGATGCCAGTCTTGTCAAGGTCAAGAGGAAATTCACAGAGGTAAGTGACCTAACAATGACCTTTGCTTGAAATGCTAGGCACAAAGACATTTTTTTAAAAATGTGTCGTCCTTTTTTTTTATTAAGACTATCAAGTAATTAACTTTTTCTATAACATTTTAAAATACTTTAAATAAGTGTAATCTATTTTATTCAATTAGATCACTCAAGAACAAATATCAGCTTTCAAAAAGGGCCTGAATGATTTTGCTGACAGATTTTTATTGGAAGGACCTGGAGCTGTTGGTGAAGACTTGGACAAAGGTTTGTTATTTAAAAATTTTGTTTTAATAAAAATTTTAACTTTTGTGGATTTCATGAAATACTTTAAAAAAAAAATTTAATCTCAATTCTCTCTTTTATCCTAAAAATTGGCATCCTCTACATTTCCAGAGTATGAACACTTAACCAAAACTTAGTATAACATAAAAAAAACTGGATTAAATTTGCAGACATTTTCTTGGCTGTACAAGGTTTGATAAAACAAATTCTGTCCCAGTATGTATGCTCTAATTCTGTTGTACAAATTCACAACTTTTCTCTAAAAAAAAACAACAATTTCTGTAAATCAGGTGTGGAGCTACTGAAGGTCTACAAAGAGGAAGTTCATGAACTTGAGTCCAGCAGACAGGAACTGACCAATGCTGAGAAACTTTTTGAGTTGCCAATCACAATGTACCCAGAGCTGCTCAAAGTTCAGAAAGAGGTCGCAGGACTGGAGTCCATTTACCAAATATACACAGAACAAAAGGTTTGGTTTATACCACAATAATTTGTATTCACATTATTGATATAATCCAACAGATTTATTTTTCTCTGTTGAAAATGTTATACTTTGAATAACAATTTTAAAGAAATTGACTTACTTATTTAAACTTAGAATTTAATTTAAAAAGCTTTGTTATAAATTTACAATTGTCTGGACAGTTCATTTTCAATAACTATTAATTAAAACCAAGTGATATATGTATGTAATAGAATGTCTTTTGTATTAGGTAGCAACATTTTTAAACTGAACAAAGGATTATAAATAATTAACATCATACATAAGTATCTTAAAATGACATTCTAAATAAACTTTTAATAAAAATTTATATCACATTTAGATTTAGATTTTATTTTGAATCTATAAACTCATTTTAAATACATAAGGTTGAGTTTTTTTTATGAATGTACATAAACAAAATATTTTTTTTCTTCATTAGGTGGCCAGAGAACAGTGGTCAGAGACTTTGTGGGTTAACCTCAATGTGCAAATTCTACAAGATGGCATTGAAGGCTTCTTGAAAACATTAAGAAAGCTACCAAGAGATATCAGGTCCATGAATGTCGCCAGATGTCTTGAGGAAAAAATGAAAGAGTTCCGGGACTCCCTGCCGCTGTTTGGAGATTTGAAGCATGAGGCCTTGAGGGAGCGCCACTGGAAGGAACTCATGGCAAAAACTGGTCAGAAGTTTGACATGAACCCAGACACGTTTACGCTGGCGAATATCTTTGCAATGGAGTTGCACCACTTTAGAGACACAATAGCAGAAATTGTTACGTGTGCATCCAAAGAAATGGGCATAGAAAAGGTACGTAATTAAAATAAAAAAAGAATCCCCATATCCACAATTCAAAATTTGTGTATGTTATTATTTATCAATGAGAAAAATGAATTTCTTAAAAGCTGATCACCATCTAAACATTTTCCAGGGTGTGAGAGAAGTGGAAGAAACATGGAACAACATGAAGTTCAATGTTTTTGCTTACATGAAAGGAACATCCAACAGAGGTTTTATTCTTGGCTCTGTGGATGAGGTTCTTCAAAACTTGGATGATTCATCTATGAACCTACAGGTACGGGTTGGAGGACAAGTTTATCAATTACAAATTTTGCTTTTTTCGTCACAAGTTTTTTTTTTGTGCTAGTTATTTTAACTGTTATATTAAATGTTTTTTATTATACATTTCTATTCTACAAATCTCATATTTTCCACAGTCTTATGTTTCATGTCATGATTTTGCTTTGTTCCAGAGCATGTCTGCTTCTAGATTTATTGGCCCATTTCTTACAACTGTTCAAAACTGGGAGAAATCTCTTTCTCACATCTCAGAAGTTTTGGATGTAAGTATAAACATACATTACACAACAAAAAACAAAACAAGACAACACCACCACTTTATTATTTCATTTTTAAAAAAAGAGTTATGTTTGTAAAAACTGTATTTAATTCCATATCTAGGTATGGATGATAGTCCAGCGCAAATGGATGTACTTAGAGGGCATTTTCATTGGAGGAGACATTCGTTCACAGCTGCCTGAGGAAGCTAAAAAATTTGACCAGATTGATAAAACATTCAAAAAGGTTCACACCACTTTTTAAAACAGTTATTTTTACAACACTTAAAATATGTTGTATGACCCTTTGATACATAAGCTATGGTATTTTATGCCTTTATCAATAATGGCTGTTTATCCTTGACCTTACAGATTATGGCAGAAACTCACAAAACTCCACTGATCAAGATCTCGTGTCATGCTACAAACAGACTGCAAGATCTCCAAGGTCTGAGTCTTGGTTTAGAGAAATGCCAGAAGTCCTTAAACGATTACCTGGACTCAAAGAGAAATGCATTCCCAAGATTCTTTTTCATTTCTGATGATGAGCTGCTAAGCATTCTGGGATCTTCTGATCCAGAGTGTGTACAGGAGCACATGATCAAGGTCAAGTAAAATATTTTGAAACATTTTTTTTGTTTATTTTATATTTAAAGTACAAATAATATCATAACTAATTTTTTGTGTATTCCATTTTCAGATGTTTGATAATATTGCTGCCTTGAAATTCCAAAAAGGCCCAACCAATGAAATGCTTGCAATGGGCATGGTATCTGCAGAGAAAGAAGAAATGGATTTTCATAATAATGTCACAGCAGATGGTAGAGTTGAAGATTGGATGACATCTGTTTTAGCAGAAATGAGATCTGCAAACAGACTTATCACCAAGGAAGCCATTTTTTACTACAGTCACAAAAAGAGCAGGTTTGGAATATAACTAGTTAGAAATTAAATAAATGCATTTTATTGGTTCTTTTTAAAATCAAATTGACTGGACTCTTAATTTGATTTGTCAGAGTTGATTGGATGTTGGACTACCAAGGGATGGTTTGTCTTGCCGGCAACCAAGTGTGGTGGACTTGGGAAGTTGAAGATGTTTTCAGGAAAGTGAAGAAAGGTCAGAAAACAGCCATGAAGGATTATGCCAAAAAGCTGCACAGGCAAATTGATGACCTTGTTGTCAAGGTAATGTATTTAGTAGTGATAACTGCTAATATTTCATCACCAAAAATATTTTTATCACCCAACAATGGGACTTGATTTGCTGCTGTACTGGAATTTATGAATTGATTATTTTCCTGTAGGTGAGATCGCCTTTATCAAAGAATGACAGGTCAAAGTTCAACACAGTTTTGATCATTGATGTACATGCTCGTGACATCATTGACTGCTTTGTCAGAGACAGGTAAAATATTTCACTTAAACTTTTTAAATTGTTAGATTGTTAGGAAGATAGAACTAAAGGGATGCTACATAATAATTAATGCTTATCTGTAAATGTAAAGATTTTTGTGTGTTCACCATGGTGTATTGCCAACAGTTAGGGTTTTTAATATTTGTTTTTTTCCCATTAGAATACAAGAAGTTTTAGTTATTTTAATTATTTAATATATATAATTAATGTATGTTTAATTAAATTATTTTAAAACAATATTTCAATTGTTAATTAATTTAATGTTACCGATAAGTTTAGTCAATACATTTTGTATGATTTCTTCCACACCAAGAATTTAAAAAAAAACAACATATAAACAAATCCCAATGTTTGCAGCATCATGGACTCACGTGAGTTTGAATGGGAATCTCAGCTGAGATTTTACTGGGAAAAAGAGCCAGATGAGCTTGTGATCCGACAGTGTACGGGAGAGTTTGGCTATGGCTATGAGTACATGGGGCTTAACGGCAGGCTAGTCATCACACCCCTGACAGATCGTATTTACCTGACACTGACACAGGTAATGTCTTTGTATACATCAACCGTTGTTCAGAAAAAAATGTTAACTAGGCATTGAATTATTAGAACCAGTATTAGTTCTTTTAAATGTTGTAGATATTAAGAATTCAGATTCAATGTGTTTCAACAATTTAGTATTGCTTTGGATTTTGATTAATAATGCAATGTTAAATAGTCTATACAAAAAACACTAAGTGTAAGTTAAGTATACATAAAATATCCATTAAATAAATCAATCTCTATATGACATCTAATGAAGAGTGTTAAGTCAAATAATACATTGTATAGATAAAAATAGATCTTTTCTATGATTTATTAAAAACTTATCTTCTTCAGAAATTGGCATAAAGTCCACTAATACAGTAGCTATCAACCTATAAAAAAATTAATAAAGCTAAATCTTCACTAAAGAAACAAACATTTAACATTAGTCACCATATAGTGTCCCATCAACAGGGCTAAAAACTCTTGTTGTGAGTTTGACATGGTAATTGAGCATAAAAGTAACACATCATTTGATTGGTTCTTAGCCCTGTGTAACCAATCAAATTAGCATAAAACTAACACACCATTTGATTTGTTTTCAAGCCTGTGTGACACATCAAATTAGCATAACACTAACACATCATTTGATTGGCCCTCAGGCCCTATCAATGAAGTTAGGTGGAGCCCCAGCAGGACCTGCAGGTACAGGAAAAACTGAAACTACAAAAGATCTTGCCAAGGCCTTGGGCTTACTGTGTGTGGTCACCAACTGTGGAGAGGGCATGGACTACAAGGTCATGTGACACCTAAAAATAGATTGTAAAAATTACATTTTTTTATCAATAAGCTCAGATCAGCAGTTGAACTGAAGCTTATATCAAATACCAAACTGAAGTATATAAAATATTTAGCATTGTTAGAATTTGCCCCATGTTGTAGTGTTGTTATGGGTCGCCGTGGTCGAGTCGGTAAAGCTCATGGTTGCTAAACCGAAAAGTCTCGAGTTCGAACCCTCGGGCAGATGAGGCTTGTTAGCTGGGGACAGCCACTCTTCTAAGAGAGACAACTCCAAAATTAAAACAACTGCTGCCTTGTAGTTTGTTCTTGGTTGGACAAAGGCTATAGAAGCAAAACCAATAAGAAAAGCAGGCTGAAATCAGAGTCAATGGCCTCAATGGCGCATAACCAGTTGACACGTATCCTTAATTGTGATGGAGGCGTGGTTGTGTTGGCTAAAGTTAATGGTTGATAAATTTGAAAAATTCTTGAGTTCAAACCCTCTCGCAGATATGGCTCGATCCCCTCCAACACTAAAAATTAAGAACCAAGAAGAAGAAGAAGAAGTAGTGTTGTTATTTCTGAACAGTGTAAAAAAAAATTATTCCTAATCTGTAAATGAACCAGAGTGTATCAACAAAATACAATTGCTTTTGTGTTAACTATCGATTATTTTTCATCTATCCATCTATCATTTATCATCCACAAACGTTACAATAATGAAAAAAACCTTTGTAAATTGTACAGGCTGTTGGGAAGATCCTCTCAGGGTTATGCCAGTGTGGTGCCTGGGGTTGTTTTGATGAGTTCAACCGCATTGATGTGTCTGTACTGTCTGTCATCTCCACACAGCTTAAAACCATTCAGAATGCTCTGGTACTGAATCTCAAGAGATTTCACGTAAGTTATTTTTTTATTTGCACTGAAATTTTTTTTAGACAACATTTTCAAATAAAATTCTCTATTTTTTTTTATAATTATGTCACATAATGTTAATAAAATAAAATAAAATACATTAAAATTTGAAAAAAAATTGACTTTCACTTTGGATATTTTTCATAGTTTGAGGGTCAAGAGATAGACATGGATGCAAGAGTGGGTGTGTTTATCACCATGAACCCTGGGTATGCAGGCCGCACAGAGCTACCTGAGTCAGTCAAGGCTCTCTTCAGGCCTGTTGTTGTCATTGTTCCTGACCTGCAGCAAATTTGTGAAATCATGCTGTTTTCTGAAGGCTTCTTACTGGCTAAGGTTAATTATTATACACTTTTTTTTATAGTTTCCTAATTGTGAATAATCACAATTAAAATAATCACATTCATAAAATAAAATTTCTAGTAAAAGTACATTTTTAAGTTTGAAAAATATTGATGAATATTGTAATTGTAAGGAACAAATAAAATTACTTAAAATTATATAAATTGAATTTTATAATTTTAAACATGTTGAAATTGCTTTTCAGATTTTGGCTAAGAAAATGACAGTATTGTACAAACTGGCAAAAGAACAGCTATCCAAACAATATCATTATGACTTTGGCCTCAGAGCTCTGAAATCTGTGTTGGTTATGGCAGGAGAGCTGAAAAGAGGGTCTCCAGATTTAGCAGAGGTAACCTTAAAACTTGTAATTAAAACTTAACTCAACCAGAATTTTTTTAGAATAAGAAATAAACCGGGAGTGATCTCCCCTAAACTTTCTCGAATATTCTTATATAAAATAACAGGGGATGGGAACTCGGGCTATAGACATGATTTTTAATCCATTTTAAATACTTAAAGTTTTAAAAATAGAATAAAATCTCGTAGACAAATTAATTGCACACCAAGTGAACGCGAAATAAAAAAGCGCATAATAGTGCGCAATATTATTAGTACTTTTAAAATTTACATTAGTTTTTTGAGAAATCGGAAGTAGCGTAAATTACTACTTCCTGTCAACGGAAATTACTCAAAATTTAACAGAAGGTAGAGAATTAGATCTTTTACTTACATGTGAAATTTCATTTATCTATCTGAAATTGTACTCAAGTTATAGGCTTTTAAAAAATTCAAAGTAGGAAAAGTACCACTTCCGGTTATCGGAAATCGCTCAAAAGTTGATACGGATCTACGATTTTGATAAAATACTTATATATGAAATTTCATCAACCTAGCTGTAACGGTACTCAAGTTATCGTGTTTACACACGGACAGACACACACACAGACAGACACACACACACACAGACATACGGACAAGATTGTTAAATTATGTTTTTCCGTATCAGTGAGGTGTAAAACGTCGAGATTTGTAAAAATCTCGATTTTTTTTTTTTGCACGATTACAATACTTTCTCTATACTACGTATATACGAGAAAGTAAAAATGAATAAGAAAGTTATTTTTTTTCATTTTTAGGATGTGGTGTTGATGTTAAAATAACCAGACCACCATTTTTTTGTCATTTTTAGGATGTGGTGTTGGTGTTAAAATAACCAGACCACCTTTTTTTTCACTTTATGGATTTGGTGTTGGTGTTAAAATAACCACATCACCTTTTTTTGTCATTTTTAGGATGTGGTGTTGATGTTGAAATAACCAGACCAGCTTACCAGCTTTTTTTTCATATTTAGGATGTGTTGATGCTAAAATAACCAGACCACCTTTTTTTGTCATTTTTAGGATGTGGTGTTGATGTTAAAATAACCACACCAGCTTACCAGCTTTTTTTTCATTTTTAGGATGTGTTGAGGTTGAAATAACCAGACCACCTTTTTTTTTATTTTTAGGATGTGGTGTTGATGTTAAAATAACCACACCAGTATTTTTTTTTTTCAATTTTAAAATGTAGTGTTGATGTTAAAATAACCAGACCACACTTTTTTATCATTTTTAGGATGTGATGTTGATGTTAAAATAACCAGACCACCTTTTTTTTTTAATTTTTAGGATGTGGTGTTGATGTTAAAATAACCAGACCACCTTTTTTTTATTTTTAGGATGTGTTGATGTTGAAATAACCAGACCACCTTTTTTTTGTCATTTTTAGGATGTAGTGTTGATGAGAGCTCTCAGGGACATGAACCTGCCAAAGTTTGTCTTTGAAGACGTTCCTTTGTTCCTGGGACTTATCTCTGACCTCTTCCCTGGGCTTGACTGCCCCAGGGTCAGATATCCAAACTTCAACGACGCAGTTGAGCAAGTCTTACAGGACAGTGGCTATGTCCTGTTACCACACCAGGTGGGGAGTGAAGAGATGTTTACGTGTTAAATCCTGAATTGGATAATTTTTGCTCATTATTATAGTACAACACACAAAATATCCTCACCCAACAACTAACAAAAGTAAAGTAAATATGGTCAGTAGAGCAGGTGAAGTAGAGTTCTCCTGTTTCCATTACCCCAGCATTCAAATGGATAGTGTGCTCATTTCCATGTTCAACTACCTTTACTTCATATAAAATGAGTTAGAAACTGATTGGACCTGCTGAATCTTGCCCAGGATCTGAACTTGAGTCTTTCTTGTTTGCGATCCTGTGCTTTACCCCAGCAGCCAACAAACCCACCAATTATTGATTCTAAAATTTACTCCTGCTTTAGGTGGATAAAGTGGTCCAGATGTACGAGACCATGCTGACCAGACACACTACCATGATAGTGGGACCAACGGGGGGCGGCAAGTCAGTGGTCATCAACACACTCTCACAGGCTCAGACCAAGTAGGTCATATTTATTTACCTGGGATTTTATCATGAGATTCATCAAGGCATTGACCTAGTATGTTAAATATGTTTTGTTTTAAATATAATGGTTCAAAGTTTAAAACAAGTTTTTAAAGGAGATATTTTTTCAGAAAGCTTAAAATGTAAGTGTGAAATGGGTTTGTGTTAAAGATTATATAAACTTGGAAACATACCTCTACATGGAAGAAGGTTGTTCATTTTAAAACCAAGTTTATCTGGAAAAGATGATGGCTGAAAGCTTAAAACATTAGTGTGAAATGAATTTGTATTAAATAAAAGGATTTAATGTAAAAAATATGCCTCTGTAGGAAAACAGATAGTTTGTGACTAAAAAATTAGGTCTGTATTAAATCAGTATAAAGTTTAAAACATTAATTTTTAAATATTTGATCACAATGTGTTAAATTTGTAATCCCCAGGATCTCAATGTGTATAATCTTTAATCCCCAGGCTTGGCATTTCAACCAAACTGTTTGTCATCAACCCCAAGGACAGATCTGTCATTGAACTGTACGGCATCCTTGACCCTGTCACTAGGGACTGGACCGACGGGTTACTGTCAAACATTTTCAGAGACATTAACAAACCCACAGACAAAAATGAGAGGAAGTACATTGTCTTTGATGGTGATGTGGATGCATTGTGGGTAGAAAACATGAACTCTGTTATGGATGACAACAGGCTGCTAACTCTGGCCAATGGTGAAAGAATCAGGCTGCAGAAACATTGTGCCATGCTGTTTGAGGTAAGTTAAAAATTCACATTTAAACATGTTTTGTTTCAATGGTTTCTTCATCATTATCTTCTCCTTTTTGTGCCCAAGACACATGGGGCTGCCACAGTAAGCTCTTTCCACTTTTGTTGGCCACAGGCAATTTTCTTGGCAGTACCCCATGACAGTCTTGCCTCTGCCAGCTGCTTCCCCGCCGTGGGCCACCATGTCTCCCTTGGCCTTCCTTGCTTTATTTTTCTTTGAGGCGTCCAAGTTTAGAATAGTTTCATAATATTTTTAAAAGCTTTTTTTTAAAATGTATATAAAAACACCTTAGTAATAAGGCTTTAAAGAGCAAAATAATTTAATAACAGCCTTTAAAAAAATAAACTAATTAAATAATCATTGTAGACCAGCCATTGTAATCAAAAAATGAATATTGTTTTTCAAGGTGTATGACCTGCAGTATGCTTCACCTGCTACCATCTCACGTTGTGGTATGGTTTATGTGGACCCTAAAAATTTGGGCTATAAACCTTACTGGCAAAAGTGGGTCTCCACAAGATCTACAAAGCAAGAGCAGGATGACCTCAATTTGCTGTATGAAAAGTATGTGCAAAACTGCATTGATCTTGTAATTGATGGAATTCAAGATGGAAGGCAAGGGGAGAAACTGAAGACAATTGTACCATTGACTAACTTGAACATGGTAAGTTTATAAATATTTCTAATACATAGTTTCTTTATGTGAGTACATATATTGTTTTAAAAATATTTTGATTTATAATTTAATGTTTTTAACATTTTTTGATTAATGTAAAGGAAAAAAACCCAAATAGAGCCAAAAGAGAGATGACCTTATTGGCAAGAAATAATCAAAAACCATTTTGATTTGAATAGGTTACAGATATACATTGCACTTTTTAAAAACATAACTCATTCACTATTTTAATTATTTAAAAAAATATTCAGTAAATATATTAAGGCTGATGATTGATATTGAAATGTTATCTCACTTAGGTCAACCAACTTAGCCAGATGCTGAATGCTCTGTTGATCAAAGAAGTTGGGGATCCAATGGAACTGGAGGCCTTCTTCCTGCAAGCCCTTATATGGTCAGTTGGGGCAGGGCTACTTGAGGATGGGCGCATCAAGTTTGATGGCTATGTCAAATATCTCGCCTCGCTGACCCAGGTACAGGAAGAAAACAAATATGCTGGCCCAGGTATGATTGTTTTATTTTTAGGTTTTTACATACAGAATAGTTGTAATCTTTTTAAAGTTAAGAAAAACACCAAAGTATAATACAGATCTTAGAGATAAACATAGCAAATAATATCTTTTACATTTTTATTTATAATATTTTTTTTAAAAAGTTTTCTAGTTTCCAGAGGGTCTAAGGTTAAATCATCAAATTACCTGTTCATTACTAGATTTTCCCTTCAGAAATTCCTGTTTTTCATAAATTTTACTGTCTGAAACTACTTTCTTTTAAATGATAATTTTTATTCTATTTTCTAATCTTGGCAATGTGATCATGATTTCCCCACTATACGATATATTATAGAACAGTCTGCATCAGAATTAAATTTTTACATACATTGCAGGTAGTATGTACACCTTGTTTATTGTGTTAAGTTGATTTTTTAAAATCTCAAGTTTTCTGATATTTTTTGGAATGGAATACATTACTTCCCTTAAAAATATAGGCCACTAAAACAATTCCTGTTTTAACAAAGGAACTTCAAAATTTGTTTTAATTAAATAATTCACACTTACTGTAAAGCAATATTATACACAATCATTACAAATAGGAAATAATACTTTTTCAATATCAACACCTTCAGCAGTTTCCTTATTTCAAATATTTTTGTTTCTTTAATGAGTTTTGTCCCAGGTCATCAATAATCTTGATTTGTTTCCTAGGTTTAAGTTATTTTTTATTTTAGTTTGTGTCCATTTAAAACTTACCTTTTTGTAAATTTCCTTTTACAAGTTGCACAAATGCATTTTCGAAAGAAAATGAAAGAGTTTTTGAGTAAGTCATTGGTAGTTTTTAAGGTAGTAAATTGATGTGAATGTATAACCACAATAGATTTTATTTTTCATTTAATAGACTATGATAAGATTTAAATTAAAGATTTTTATGGTTCACTGAAATAAAAATAAAAAAACAACTCACAAGTTTCTTTCATACTTTTTTCATTAGTCATCAACCCATCATATTCACATGGCATGTTGTAAAGAATTTCACTTTGCAGGTTTAAAATTTGGTCACCTAAATTTTATAAAGATTTTCTTACAGCATGTACTATAGTAATTAAATGCATGAAATCATTATTTTTTACATGGCACAACTCTGATCAACTGAACTTTTATTTTGTACTCTTTTTATTGTTTTTAAAAATAAATGATGACTCGTTTATTTTAAAAAAAAGTTTAATCTCTTCATAAGATTGATTACTGTTTTTCCAATGCTTCTTTACATTTAAAAAGCAGATTCATTTTAATATACAATGGAAAATAGTGAAGTATAAATATAGTTACTTAATTATTTTACAAACATTTATCAATTAAACAAACATTTACACCAGGTCCCATTCAGTTTTGAAGCTTTGTATTTGTTATAGTTTGAAAATGGTATCAACCTAAAAGCAACTTTAAGGATGATTTAACCACATTAAGTCTATGTTTAAAAAAAAACGAATGAAGTATTTGTTACATTGAATCTTACTATTTACCAGGTGAACTTCCAGGCCAGCAAACATTGTATGAATATTTTTATGACGGAGAGCAAAAGAAATGGATTCCCTGGTCCAAACTGGTGCCCAAGTACAAGCACAATCCTGACCTGAAGTTCTATGAGATTTTGGTTCCCACAGTGGACACTGTTAGGGCTACCTGGCTACTTGAGCTCATGGTTAAGATCAAACGACCTGTGGCATTGATTGGTGAAACTGGAACTTCTAAGACAGCCACCATTGCCAATTTCCTGAGGACTTTGGACCAAGAACAACATGTTGGTTGAACTTAAAACTTTTTTATATGAATAAATTAAATAGATTATTTAAATAAAGATTTTGGAAAGCAATTTTTTAGAAAAAGAATAAATCGTAACATATTTGTCAAAGGTTATTAGCTTCAAAAGGGAACTATATTTTTACTTTATTCACATGTTGGCCAGGTATTCTAGTGAACTTTGTGTGACAGTAGAATACTTGGCCAACTTATGTGAATAAAGTAAAAATAAAGTTCCCTTTTGAAGCTAACAGCCTATGGGGCTAGTTTTTGTGACATCAGCACGTTACACCAAAAGTAGTCTTTTATAATAGCATATGGTAATATCAATGTTAAAAACAAGTTTATTATGACATATATGAATTGGTGTATATATTGTTTCTGTATAATTAAAAAAAATGTTTAAAACAGCTCCTTCTGAACATGAACTTCTCATCCCGAACAACTTCCATGGATGTGCAACGTAACGTCGAGTCCAATGTTGAGAAGAGGACCAAGGACACCTATGGACCACCCCCAGGGAAAAGATTGATTATCTTCATTGATGATATGAATATGCCTCAGGTTTAAGATTTAAAATACTTTATGATTTATGGCAGTATTTTAGAACTTAAAAATACAGAGATAATTATAAATTAGTTATATTGGTAATGTAGCATTAAAAATTTTGCAAAATAAATTTAGATTAGTTAGTTTAAAAAAATTACCTAGTAATTTTAAATTAGTTATTTCCATATTTTAGAATTTGATAATTATGCATATAATTTTAAATTATTTATTTCAGTATTGCAAAATTTGAAAATTGTGCTGATAATTTAAAATTAGTTGTTACCCTTTTGTAGAATTAAAAAATTGTGTAGATAATTTAAAATTACTTGTTTCTGTATTGTGGTGCTGCAGAAAGTGTACAGATAATTGTTAGTGAGAAATTTCTGTTGCCAGGTTGACACATATGGTACACAACAGCCAATCGCATTACTGAAGCTCTTGCTTGAAAGAGGTGGATTGTATGACAGAGGCAAAGATCTCAACTGGAAGAACATGAGGGACATGGGCTACATCGCTGCCATGGGCAAAGCTGGGGGTGGGAGAAATGAGACTGACCCTCGCTTTGTCTCCCTTTTCTCTGTCTTCAACATGACATTCCCTGATCTGGAGTCTTTGTTCAAGATCTACAACTCCATCCTGGAGGGGCATCTGTCAGGATTCTCTGCAGAGTTGCAGGCCTTGTCTTCAAAAATCACCAACATGACAATGGAACTTTACAAGTAAGGCCACAATTTTTTTACATTATCTTGGTCATAAGACACATGTGAGACAGAGCTTACATTGTAAATTGTATTTTATTATAGAAATTGTAATCAGTATTCTATGGAGGTTCCATAGTAAACTTTATTTTATTTTAAAATGGTTAATCATTACATCATGGAGCTCACATAGTAAATTTTATTATAAAATGTGTAATATTATTTACATAGTAAATTTTTACTTTATTATATAAAAAGAGTAAAATTTATTCAATTGAGCTTAGATGGTAAATTTATTTTATTTTGTATTAAAATGTGTAATCATTATTCCATGAAAATAAAAATATAAATGTGTGATCTTTATTCCATCAGCCACATTGTGAAAGAGTTGCCACCCACGCCATCCAAATTCCATTACATTTTCAACCTCCGAGACCTGTCCCGCATCTATAATGGCCTCTGCCTGTCAACGCCTGACAGGTTCATCAAAGAGGAGCAACTCTTGAGGCTATGGCGCAATGAGTGCCACAGAGTTATCAGTGACAGGCTCATTAATGAGCAGGACAAAGAGTTGATTTCTGTAAGACAATAATAATTTATTTCTAATAAAAAAAAAAACAATATACATAAGCTAGAACTATATGATTACTTTAAAGAAAAATTTGTCTATAAAAATTTCTAATACATCTTATGAACACTTTATATTAAGTAAGATTTCTTTCTTTATGAAAAAGCATAAGCTTAATTATAACTGCAAAGGCTATCAGCATTACATACAATTAATTCTAAATAGTGGTTTAGTTGCTGTAAGACTGAATTCTAATTTTTGCACAAAAATGACTAATGCACTATTTCATTCTCATTTGTATTATTAGTTTTTATTTTGAACTGCATGGTATCCTCATGCTGAAATATCTGGTTTATAATATTAACGAGCTTAGTCATTGTATTTGAATTTCCTGTTATTTTATCTTCAGAAAAAGTTAACCAGCTTGTTGGAAGAAAACTACAAGTCCCATTTAGAATATGTCAACAGAGATCCCTCGCTCTTTGGGGATTATCGCACAGCTTTAGATGAGGGAGAACCAAGACTTTATGAAGACATACAAGACTACGAGGCAGCCAAAGGATTGTTTCAGGAGGCAAGTAAAATAGGAATAGCAGTTTTAAGTTGTTTCCTTTCTTTTTCTATAAATATCTGTGGGGTAACATATGATGTGGGATGGCGTGACCTAGCAATAGAGTGCTAGTCTGCTAACCAGAAAGTCTTGAGTTCAAATCTGGGTTCAGGTCAGTAGAATGACCCTGAGTCCACCCAGCTCTCATGGGTACCTAACTCTTGTTAGGGAAAGTAAAGGCTGCTGGGCATAATGTTGACCACATTATCCGTTGATGCACAGAGGTCACAGAAACTAGCCTCATAGACCGTTAGCTTCAAAAGGGAACTTTATTTTTACTTTATTCACATCACTTGGCCAGGTATTCTACTATCACACAAGTTCACTCCAGATACAATATACTAAAAGTACAGTTTGTTAAGTAGCATAAGGTAATATAGATGTATTAAGTTCCTCTACAAATGACCCATTAGATCCTGGAAGAGTACAATGAGAGCAACACTCCCATGAACCTCGTTCTGTTTGATGATGCACTGGAGCACCTCACTCGCATTCACAGGGTGCTGAGGATGGACAGAGGTCATGCCCTCTTGGTTGGTGTTGGTGGTGAGTTACTTACACTTTTTTACTTTCATTGTGAATAGGCCTAGTGTACATTAGATAAAGTTTGTTACATTCTCTTCCTATTTTCTGTATTTGAATTCTAATTTATTATACACAATTTTTATTGTAAATTTCTGTGATTTTTAAAATTGTTTATTAGTTTTGATATTTAAAAAAATAAATAGCTGACATTTAAAAGAATTACCTCCCTTGAAATATCTCTTTTACTTCATAAACCATGCTAATAAATTCTGTTTTCTGTAAATATAATTTTTCAAGATCCATCTTTTTTTTTTTCATTTTCATATCTTAGCCAAAATCACAGAAACTTGCTCTCGTCATGTATATAGTAATTTAAACTCTGAATAATTTATTCTCTAATATATTCCTTTCAGGCAGTAGACTCAAACTGTTTACACTTCTGTATTGCAGGTAGTGGCAAGCAGAGCTTGTGTCGCCTGGCATCTTATGCAGCCAACTGTAAAGTCTTTGAGATCATGCTCAGCAGGGGCTACAGTGAAAACTCTTTCCGTGAAGATTTGAAAGTCCTCTACAACAGGCTGGGCATTGAGAACCAGAAGATTGTTTTCCTGTTCACTGACCAGCACGTCGTAGAAGAAGGTCAGTAAAATGAAATATCCTAATATCATTTGTGAACCAGAAGATTCTTTTCTTGTTCATAATATTTTGTTTGTTTGATCATATTTTTATTGCTCAATTTAAATCATGTCTGTGTGGTGGTCACATGGCTAAATATCTCTGGACAAAATATCTCAGGGTAAAATATTTCTAAGAGAAAATATCATCAAACATTTTTTGGACAAGATAGCTAAAGACAAAATATCTCAAACTAAAAATAGTACCTGTACCTATAAAGTATTTTGTTTTTTCATGTAACTAACTATGCTGGTGAACATTAATTTTAAAAAAAAATTAAATTATTTTAATGCCAGGTTTTCTGGAGTTGATCAACAACATGTTGACGTCTGGCATGGTGCCAGCTTTGTATGCTGATGAAGAGAAGGAGCCAATCATAAGTCAGGTATACAGTCAGTTACTTGGGTACATGAAATTTTAAATTATTCAAGGTCCATAGTGTCCTTATCAATTCTAAACACCAAAATTGTGATTTTAAAAAGTATTCACGCTTGCCAGTTCTATTTAAAGAAATTTTTTTTTTAAATTATTTTTTAGAAGGTACTATTTCACTTTCATGTTCACATACACCATTTCTATAAAAATAATTTAAAAAAAAAACATTTTGTATAAGGTACTAACTATTCCACTATTTTTTAACACTTTTACAGCTGAGAGATGAAGCTTTGAGGGCTGGAGCAGGTCATGCTAAGGAGATGATCTGGCAATACTTCATCAACAAATGTGCCAACAACCTTCACATTGTCCTGGCCATGTCCCCTGTTGGAGACACCCTGAGGACAAGGTGCAGGAATTTCCCAGGTAGGCCTACTCTTTCCATAACACCAGAACACATATTTACATGGAGAAATAAAAACACATATTTACGTAGAGAAACAAAAACACATATTTACATAGAGAAACAAAAACACATATTTACATAGAGAAATAAAAACACATATTTACATAGAGAAACAAAAACACATATTTACATAGAGAAACAAAAACACATATTTACATAGAGAAACAAAAACACATATTTACATAGAGAAACAAAAACACATATTTACATAGAGAAACAAAAACACATATTTACATAGAGAAACAAAACATATTTACATAGAGAAACAAAAACACATATTTACATAGAGAAACAAAAACACATATTTACATAGAGAAACAAAAACACATATTTACATAGAGAAACAAAAACACATATTTACATAGAGAAACAAAACATATTTACATAGAGAAACAAAAACACATATTTACATAGAGAAACAAAAACACATATTTACATAGAGAAACAAAAACATATTTACATAGAGAAACAAAAACACATATTTACATAGAGAAATAAAGATTTTAAAAAAAAATAACAAGGATTTACAAGTTTAGCAAATTTGAAGCAATGTAAAGACAACTAAAAAAAAACTATAAACAAATAATAATTTAAAGTATTTAAAAAAAGAAAAGAGAAAATTATGAGATTTAACAATGCCTGTTGGTCTAATAAATGAAGTGTTTCTCTAGGAACTGTCAACAATGCAAGTATTGACTGGTTCTTCCCATGGCCAGAACAAGCACTGTACGCAGTGGCAAGCGTCTTCATTTCTTCAGAGGTAAATGATTAATTTTTGGAAAACATTGCTCTTGGTTCTAATTTAAAAATTTTTTTTTAATTGGATGACTGCTTTTTACGTACTGTGAAATTTAATTAAATACATAACGTTTCAACAAATGGTGATGTTTAAAAATTTTGAAATTGTCGGGACTATATGTTAAAACTTTCTAATTTAGAATCAGCTGATTCCAACAGACAAGCGTGAAGACATTGTCGCCCATGTTGTCATGGTGCATCAGTCTATTGGCGCATACAGCATCAAATTTTTACAGCGGCTCCGCAGAAACAACTATGTCACTCCTAAAAACTATCTGGACTTCATCAACACATACGTTAAACTTTTGGACGATCAAGACAAGTTTATTCTTAGCCAGGTATCTTTATTGCTGCATCTCTATTGCTAAAATATTTTATGTAATCAGTGTTTCTTTCAGACAGGGAGGGGAAGGAGAGTGGGGGGGGGGGGGGGCTGACAATGGTTAAAGTATATATTATTTTCTATATAAATTTTATCTTTTCTATTTTGTTTGGGGGAGTGGGGTGTGGTGGATGTGCTCAGGGGAGGCATTGCCCTTCCCCACAGATATATTATCTTTTCCTGTTCATGTCCAAGATCCATGGGGCAGACGAATTAGAGATCATCTGTTTCAGTGAATTCAGCATATGAAGTGATAGTTTGGTCAGCACTATGCTAGTCCCCAGATATATGCCTGAAAGAAACTGTTTATAATTTTCTAGTTTAAAAGCCTTTTCTAAGTATTTGTTTATTTGTGTGCACTCCATTACTTATGGTAAATTGTGAGTGAATCATTAGAGTCAGCTTTATATTTAGGTTTGTTGTAGAGCATCTTATAAAATAAACAACAAAAACTCATTTCTCTTCATGATGAGTCTCAGTAGGTATCAGGAGATACAAAACCTTTGTGTATAGTATTCAAAATTTAAAAAGTGACATCCACACCAAAGAACTACTTTAGGGATTCAATATTTTTTTTAAAGTGTGAGCGCTTGCAAGGCGGTCTCCAGAAAATTGCTGATGCCAGTGAGATGCTGGCTGTGTTGAATGAGAAGCTGGCGGTGCAGAAAGTTGCAGTCACAGAGAAGACAGCTGCTTGTGAGGTCCTGCTGGATGAAATAGCAAGAGGCACCAAAGCAGCCACGGAGAAGAAGGCTTTTGCTGAGGCCAAGGGAGAGGAGATTGCTGAGCAGAGCAAAATCATTGAAGTGGAAAAGGTTGGAATTTTTTTTTTTTTTTACATCATCAGCTAAGCAAAATCATTGAAGTGGACTAAGTTGGGGTTTTCAAAAAATTTTTTTTTACACAAAAGAGATTTCAAGTGTTAAAATAAAGCTACAGGTCGTTTTAAAAAAAATATAGCCTATTCTAAAGTTAAAGCTTGATGATAGTAATAAAGTATTGATCATTGTTATTAACATTATGCAGAAGTATTGTGCATAAATGATTCTCTTTTGACAGAAAGATGCAGAAGATGCATTAGCAGAAGCTTTACCTGCACTTGAAGCTGCCAGAATTGCACTAGATGACCTTGATAAGCAGGATGTAACTGAAATTAGGTATTAAATCAATTATTGTAGTCTTGTTCATTTTCATTTTTTACAAAGATTTTAGTCAAATACATTTCTATATTTAAAAAAAAATGCTTGCTACTAAATTACAATTTTCTTAACTTCATATCTATTTGTCTGAAACTAAATTAAACTTTTTTCAACTTTATGTTTTTAAACTGCCACTAAATTAAACTTTTCTTAACTTCAGATCTTTTGCCCGCCAGTAAATTAAACTTTTCGTAACTTCAGACCTTTTGCCTGCCACTAAATTAAACTTTTCTTAACTTCAGATCTTTTGCCAAGCCACCCAGGGAGGTCCAGACAGTGTGTGAGTGTATTGTTGTCATGAAGGGAATACGTGAGGTCTCATGGAAGTCTGCTAGGGGCATGATGTCTGAGGCCAATTTCTTGAGGGCCCTCAAAGAGATGGATGTGGACAACATTGGACAAAAACAGTTGACAACTGTAAAAGGTAATTTGCATTAAGGAACTTGTTAGGAATATATTTTTCTTATTATGTGCCTAAGATTATTTACCCTTCTTAGGGCACTATATAAAAAAGAATAAAAACATATTGGTAAAAAAACAATTTTACAAGATATCTTATTTTGCTGACAATGTTTTGGGTCTCCATTTAGTATTTTAAACTAAACAAAAGGCAACATTTTGTCATTGACACAGGGCATCATTACGTTTCAAAGACCTTATTTTTGTTATTAGCTGAGGGCCAAATAAATTTTAAATAGAGGTTTTTAATGTTGAATTTTTCTGATTGGCTGAAAATTGTGTCCACAGGCTTGTTGAAGGATATTGATATGACACCTGACCAAATGAAAGCCATCAGCAAGGCCGGTGCTGGCCTGCTCAAGTTTGTTGAAGCAGTTTGTGGCTATTGTGCCGTGGCCAAAGAGATCAAACCAAAGAGAGAAAAAGTCGCCAAATTGGAAAGAAATTTCCACCAGGTAAATTCTATTTTCTAAATTCAAACATTGGATGTATAGAGAAAATAATATCATTATTATATTAAATTATTATATTTATATATAATATAAGTATTATATTTATATAATTATATAATTATATTTAAAAAAATTATTATAATATTGTTATTTAATTATGATCTATGTCTTTATCATAAAGAAATATGACAACTAATGGTGTTAAAATTATATGACAGGCCAAACGTGATCTAGAAAAAGTTACTAAAGAAGTTCAGGCTTTGGAAGAAGAGCTGAAAGAGCTAAATAGTAAATATGAGAAGGCCATGACTGAGAAACAGGCTCTGGAAGAGGAAGCCAGGATTATGGAGAGAAGATTGATTGCAGCAGACAAGCTGATTTCAGGTCTTGGTTCTGAAAATATCAGGTCAGTTTTCCAAAAATGGAATAAAAAGCTTTTATCAGTTTCATAGAACCATAGGCTAGAGAGTAATCATCCTTCATAATAAGCTTGATATTTTTGCAGTTTTCAAAGTAGCCAAAATTAAATACATTACACTTTGTAAATCTCTGGGCTATGTTTCTTATATAGATCATTATAAAAGTTAAAATCTCCTTTTTAAAAAATTAGTTCTCAAAACATGATTATACAGCAATTTTAAATGGTACATAATATAGGTTTAAAAAAGCTCCTTTTTACAAGCTTTTATTTAACTCACTTCCTCGTCAGTCGTCAGTCTAGACCAGGGGTCTCCAAACTACGGCCCGCGGGCCGGATGCGGCCCGCGAGGTCCTCTTATCCGGCCCGCGGTGATCTTTTTGTCCACGGAAAAAAACGTTTGTTGATGATGGCTGAAGAACTTCGCTCAGAAAAATCAAAGAAACTGGCCCCCGAACGGAAATTTGATAGTTAATGCGGCCCTCGGACTGAAAAGTTTGGAGACCCCTGGTCTAGACGGAAACGCAGGAGTGAAAATTCGGACAGTTCTACTTGACCGATACGATTCACATTTGGCACGTGGGTCAAGACATGAAGACAATGCAATCTGAAACTAAATTTGACTTAATTGGATGCCTAATTGATTTGTTATGAATTAATTAAAATTTGGACCGAATTAGTAGGCATGTCTAGCCAACCACACCACACGCGTCATCAATAGCTGCGCCATCACGACCACGTAATGGCTGCGTTCAAAAACCATTGCGCGCCTACTGAACGTGATATTCAGTAGGCGCGCAATGGTTTTTAGTCATGTAACTCTATTGTAGATAAAACATGTAAAGTACTGAAAAAAAAATCATAAAAAACGTTTTAATAACAAGCTTTTATGTAATGATGCACTAAAAAGTAGAAAATAAATTATAGACTACTATTTAAATAACTATAAAGAAAAGCGTGGGTGTCTTCCTTAACATTAGTAAAGGTATCCAATAGATACTAAAGTGACCCACGCTTTTCTTTATAGTTATTTAAATAGTAGTCTATAATTTATTTTCTACTTTTTAGTGCATCATTACATAAAAGCTTGTTATTAAAACGTTTTTTATGATTTTTTTATCTTATTTAATTTATGTTGACAATCTTAATGTTTCTACTTCATTGCCCTATATATCTGTACATATATTTCTACCAGATGGAGCAAAGATTTGGAAGACTTGAAACAAAAGAGAGTCCAGCTCCTTGGTGATTGTCTTGTCAGCTCAGCTTTCTTAAGTTATGTCGGCGCCTTCAGCTGGGAATTCCGTAATGACCTGGTTTACAAAGACTGGGTCAACGACCTAAAAGAACGCCAAGTTCCCCTGAGTGACCCCTTCAAACTAGAAGATTTGTTGACCAATGATGTAGAAATCAGCAAGTGAGTCCAAAGTCTGAAAATAAATTTTTAAGATAGCAAAAACGTAATACAATTTTGGTATTACTTTTGGTATAAATGCAATCAGAAAATAGAAAAATAAATTGTAACTCATTGTTTAATCAGGTGGACATCAGAAGGGTTACCCCCAGATGAGCTCTCTATACAGAATGGTATTTTGACCATACGAGCCAGCAGATTCCCCATGTGCATTGACCCACAGCAGCAAGCCCTTAACTGGATCAAGAAGAAAGAAGAAGCTAATAACTTGAAGGTTAATATCTCTACATAATTTGTTTACATTTTTGATATAGCTCTTGATTCAACATTTGAATCAATGTGACATTTGAAGGTTAATATCTCTACATAATTTGTTTACATTTTTGATATAGCTCTTCATTCAATATTTGAATCACTGTCACACTTAAAGGTTAATATCTCTACATAGTTTGTTTAGATTGTTGATATAGTTCTTCATTCAACATCTGAATCACTGTGACACTTAAAAGTTAATATCTCTACATAGTTTGTTTACATTTGGTGAAATAGCTCTTGATTTAAAATTTAAATCAAAATGACATTTGAAGGTTGATATCTCTACACAGTTTGTTAAAATTGTTGAAATAGCTATTAATTCAACATTTTAATAACACTGACATTTGAAGGTTTATATCTCTACATACTTTGTTTACATTGTTGCATATATCTTAATTCAACATTTGAATCACTGTGACATTTAAAGGTTAATAGCTTTGCAAAGTTTATTTACATTGTTGCATAGCTCTTGATTCGACATTTTAGTCACAGTGACAAAGAAATTATAATATTTAATAATAACGTTACTTTACATATCCTTATATTATTAAGTTGCCAGTCAACACATTGACACTAGAAAATGACAATTTTTAATAAACAAAATAATACTTTGAAAACTAATATAATTTTTTGTGCATTTGTACCAACATAATTTTTACAGGTCTGTACATTTAATGACCCTGACTTCTTAAAACAACTGGAACTGGCAATCAAATATGGCTTCCCATTCCTGTTTCAAGATGTGGATGAGTACATTGATCCTGTTATTGACAATGTGCTGGAAAAAAATATCAAAGGTAATAAGTTACACCTTATTTATGTTTTAATTTTTAAGTAAAAAAAAAAGTGTCATTTTTGGTTTCAGTTTAATTGTTTTTATTGCTTAAAATTTTATTACATTGGTTAATAAAGTTTAATTTGAATTTTTTTGTTTAGGAAATCAAGGTAGACAGTTTGTCATGTTGGGTGACAAAGAAGTTGACTATGATCCCAATTTTAGACTTTACCTCAACACCAAGCTGGCAAATCCAAAATATGGACCAAACATTTTTGGGAAATCAATGGTTATCAATTACACTGTAACACTAAAGGTTTGTTTTAGCTCAAAATTTCTTGAAGTAAAATATTTAGTATATGAAAAATGTATTCCTTTAATTAAATCCCATGTACAACATGGTTGTTTTATTGTATACCTCTATTGCTATTTAAAAATTTGAAATAGTTTAATGCATGGTTACTGCATAGTTAGTAAAGTTCCCTTTTCTAACCTGATGGTCAATGGGGAAAGAGTATTAGAGTTCACCTGTTTCTGTGACCTTTACATATGAAGAAACGATAGTGTGGTCAGCACCATGCCCAGCTGCCTTTACTTTCCCTATCATGAGTTAGGTATGCATTAGAACTTGGTGGACTCAGGGAAATTCTACTGACATGATCCCAGATTCGAACTTGAGACTTTCGGGTTAGCAGTCTAGCACTGCCAGGCCATGCAGTTCCATACTGCATAGTTAACTTAAGTATACCAAAATTATGTCAATTTTTTTTCTTCTTAAAGAGAGGCTAATAAAACAAATTTTTTTTTACAAACACTATTAACACTTTTATATGTTTTATAGGGACTTGAGGACCAACTTCTCAGTGTCATTGTCAAGTTTGAAAGAAAAGAATTAGAGGAGCAAAGAGAAAGATTAATCATGGAAACTAGGTAAATTATTTCATATTCATGATCTCATTTAAATTTTTAATTGGTCTTCTTTTTTGTGCATCAAATGCTTGACTTTGTATCTTATTAATATATAAACTTACTGTCATATTACTTATTAAAATAATTCTTTGGCTTTACAGTAACTATTCTGATGATAATGCCTATGCAATATTTGTTTTTATAACAGTGTTAGATACAATTTACTTTTTAAATTTAAAAAATGCAACCTTAAAAATATCTAACTCTTGCTGTTGAAAGTGTTAACAAGAAACTCCTGAAAGATCTGGAAGATTCTCTTCTAAGAGAATTGGCTACATCTCAAGGCAACATGTTGGACAACGTTGAACTGGTCCAGACACTAGAAGAAACAAAAACTAAGGCTACAGAGGTTGGAAACTACACCCACTTATCTGAATTATATCTATATTTATACATAGGTTTGCAGGGGGGAAGTTAACTGTATTTATATATGTCTATATATATATATTTATATATATATATGTATATATGACTATATCTCAAAGAGATTATATCTTTAATTTAGAAATTAATATTACACTATGGCACACATTAATTTTTAGCATCTACTAATTTATTCCCAAGGTGTCAGAGAAACTGAAACTAGGGGCAAAAACTGCCATAGACATAGAAAAGCTCAGAGACGGATACCGTCTTGCTGCCAAGCGAGGAGCCATCCTGTTCTTCGTCCTTGCTGAGATGTCCCAGGTCAACTCCATGTACCAGTATTCACTGGCTTCGTACCTGGAGGTGTTTGGGCACTCACTCAAGAAAAGCTTGCCCGATTCCATTCTTAGCAAAAGGTTGCGCAACATCATGGACACACTTACCCATAATATTTACAACTACGGTTGTACAGGTAAATTAAGTTACTCTTTGTTATTTAAAAAAAAATTTACATTCAAAAATAAAATACGATAAATTTAGTTGATGCTACTTACACTATAAATAATCATTAATTTTGTATTAAAAAAATTATGCACACACTTACCCACAATATTTACAACTACGGTTGTACAGGTCAATTAAGTTACTCTTTGTGATTTAAAAAAAAATATTCAAAATCAAGATAAATTTATTTAATGCTGCTAACACTATAAATTATCATTGATTTTTAAAAAAAAAAAGATTTTCAGGATTGAACTATGCAATTTAAAATTTTAAAATTGTTTATTTATTACTGTTTATAAAATTCAATTTTTTTTACTCTACATTTTTCTAGGTATATTTGAGAAGCACAAGCTCCTTTTCTCCTTCCAAATCAACATCAAGTTGGAGCAAGACAAGCAAGCTGTTACTCAAGAGGAACTGGACTTCTTCATCAAGGTAAGTAAAGATTTGTCAGAACAAGTGTTATGGAAAGTATCAAAATTGTATTATTAAAATAAACTTAAATCTTACCTATAAATTTATAATTTGTATTGTAGAGATGAACTAGGAAATCGTGTACAATTTTAGTATTAAAAATATTTTTATGTAAGTTCTGTTAGCTGTTTTAGGTGTGCATCATTTATAATATGTGTAATGGAAAGTATCAAAATATTATCATTATAGTAAATTTAAATCTTACCTATAAATTTATAATTTGCATTGTAGAGATTAAATAGGGAATGGTAAGAAATTTTAGTAATAAAAATATTTTTATGTCAGTTCTCTTAGCTTTTATTAGGGTGCAATATTTATAATTAAATGTGGTACTGTTGATAATATATATTTTTTATTGTATCACTAGGGCAAAGTAGCACTTGAAAAAAGCAAGCGCAAAAAACCATTCCCATGGTTCCCCGACGAGGGATGGGAAGACTGTAATCGTTTGGCAACTGACTTTCCTGTTTTTTCTTCTTTACTGGAAGATATTGAACACAATGAAAAAGCCTGGAAAAAGGTTTGTAGTCAGTTATAACATTGTAACAGTTGGTAAAAAAAAACTATGGATATTAACAATCAGCTGTATTTTGTTTAAAGTTTCAATGCTTTTTAATACAATCAAAAATAGAAAAATATATTTGTAGTAAAATTAATCCCCAAGTCTCACTACACAAACCATGCCTAGATCTCTAAATGGCATTGATTCACCTTGCCAGATCTATAATAGTTTCTTCTGTAAATCCATGCCACTTGGCTTTTACATTTTTTCAAAATATGTATGTTATACATATATATATATACATACTAATGTACTAAAAGGAAAATAATAGTTTGGACAAGTTTACTAATATGAGAAAATATAATTTTAAACTGCAATTCTGAACTTGTTTTTTTTCCCAGTGGTTTGACCACGACACTCCAGAATCTCAGCAGTTCCCCATGAACTACGATGAAAAACTGAGTGAATTCCAGCGTCTTATGCTGGTCCGCTGTTTCCGTATTGACAGGATCTACAGAGCGGTGACCGAGTACGTGACCAAAACCATGGGTGAGAAATACGTCACCCCGCCGATCATCAGTTTTGAGACTGTTTACGAGCAGAGCACTCCGATGTCTCCGATAGTTTTTATACTGAGCCCAGGCTCTGATCCCGCAAGCGATCTCATGAAACTGGCTGACCGGATTGAATTTGGCAGCAATAAACTCAAATTTTTGTCCATGGGTCAAGGTCAAGAAAAGGTGGGTTTATACAGCTTTAAGCTATTAAATGAATGGATAATACAGGTTTAAGCTACTAAATGATTGAATAATACAGCTTTAAGCTACTAAATGATTGGATAATACAGCTTTAAGCTACTAAATGATTGGATCATACAGGTTTAATCTACTAAATGATTGGATAATACAGCTTTAAGCAACTAAATGATGTTATACAGCTTTAAGCTACTAAATGATTTTATACAGCTTTAAGCTACTAAATGATTTTAAAACACAGATTTATGTCTTATACAATATGCTTATCAATGAATAATACAATAAGATTTCAGGTTTCTTGAAAGTAGGATACATTTCTTTAGCTTTCCTCACTACATGGGAAAGGGAAATTGTAATTTAGAGTAGACCTATATGTAGTACAAATTTTTTTTAAAAGAAATATAAAATTTATTTACTTAACATAACCCATTTTACCAATCAAATATTACTTGATAATATACAAAATTGGGCAATCAAATATTACTATTCAATATAACCCAATCAAATATTACTTTACAACATAACCGATATTACCAATCAATAATCTATAACTTAACCAATATTACCAATTAAATATTACTCTACAACATAGCTCATATTACTAATCTAATATTTCTTGACAACATAACCCAAACAGCCAATGAAATATTACTCTACAGCTAGCTCTTCAGCTCCTGGAGACTGCAATCTCCCGTGGCCAATGGCTCATGCTACAGAACTGCCATCTGCTTGTTAGATGGCTGAGAGAGCTGGACAAGCAGCTGGAAAAGATGACCAAACCCCACCCAGACTTCCGTTTGTGGTTGACCACAGAACCCACACCATCTTTCCCCATCAGCATATTACAACGCTCTCTTAAGGTAAGGAAATCAATTAAAATGGTTACACAGCTTGAAAATATGTGTATTCACAATACAATAAAAGAAAAAGGTAAGCAGTAAAAAGTTATAAGTTATAAGCTTATCTTAAAAAATTTTTTTACCTTAGGGTAATGAAACAATTAAAATTGTTACACAACTTGAAAATATATATATATTTGCAATACATTAAAGTAAAAGGATAAGCAATAAAAAGCTAAAATCTTAAAAATATTTTTATAATGATCTATTTTAATTTGATAAAAATCTAGTGCCATATGTATTAAGACAAATTAATTTGCTAAATAAAGTTAAAATTAACCATTATTGTAGCACTTGAATAGTGTCTCCTTATCTTTCTATGAGTTTCTAAATTTTTTGTTTTGTTTTTTGTGTAGGTTGTGACTGAGCCGCCCAATGGCCTGAAGTTGAACATGCGCAGCACCTATCACAAGATCCCAGCATCCTCTCTGGCTGAGTGTGAACACCCAGCCTTCTCATCACTAGTTTTCACCTTAGCATTTTTCCATGCTGTTGTTCAAGAAAGAAGAAAGTATGGCAAGGTCAGTAACTCTGTAAAGCTATTCACATTTTGCTTATAATTTGCCAGTTTATGTTTTTAATCATATTTTAAAAAAAAGTTAATGTCAAGCTTACATTCAGCAATTAAATCTATTTTCAGATTGGCTGGAATGTCAGCTATGACTTCAATGAAAGTGATTTCAGAGTCTGTATGCAAATCTTGAACACTTACTTGACCAAAGCTGTTGAAAACTCTGAGACTAAAATACCCTGGAACAGCTTGAAATATTTGATAGGAGAGGTGGGTTCATTCTTTTAAAACCAATACAATCTTACTTCATAATCTGTAATATCAAATGTTTTGTGTGTGTTTAAAACCATCATTATAATTAGCTTTACTTAAAAGTCTATAAATGAATTCTGAATTGTATATGTGATTTTTAATAAATAACTCTGTTAAAACAAAAAACAAACAAATAGCCTTAGTTCAAATTCTTTGGTATTTAATACCAATACTTCAATATCAGTACTATAAAATTAACACTTTTTATTTCCTCAATAACTAGGTGATGTACGGAGGTCGAGCCATTGATGACTTTGACCGACGTATCTTGAGGACATACATGGATGAGTACATGGGAGATTTCATCTTTGACACTTTCCAGCCTTTCCACTTCTACCACGATGAAGTTGTGGACTACCACATCCCAGCAGATGGCCCCAGGGATGTGTATGTGGGTGAGTACAGTCACAGGGAAAGGCAGCAAAGCTTTGTGAACAGATACATAAACAGTAAAGTTTCCCTTTCAAACCTGATGGTCTATAGGGCAAGTTAGTTCACTTGTTTCTGTGACCTTGGCATATGAAGAGATAGTGTGGTCAGCACTATGCCCAGCCGCCTTTACTTTCCCCAACATGAGTTAGGTACTCATCAGAGTTGGGTGGACTCAGGGATGGTCTACTGACTTGAACCCGGATTCAAACTCGAGACTTTCGGGTTGGCAGTCCAGCTCTCTACCACTAGACCACTCCATCCCACAAACAGATACATAAACTGTATACTTTTCTGTATGATTTCCCAACAGCATTCACATTGATTCTAAATCCAATAGTTCAATACACCTTAAAATCTGAGCTTGCTTTGTCTATACATTAAAACTGAACATATGTCAAGGCATATTATTTTTAAAATTTTGTTTCCTTATCATTATCCTATTTTTAAAGCTTTGTTACCTTATCATTATATTATTTTTGAAAATGTGTCTTCTTATCAAGATTACATTGAAAGCCTACCACTGGCAAATACTCCAGAAGTGTTTGGTCTCCACCCTAATGCAGAGATTGGCTACTACACCCAAGCTGCCAGAGACATGTGGAACCATTTGGTGGAGTTGCAGCCTCAAACTGGTTGGTTTAGAGTCCATGTTTTTATTCAACCAATGCTTTAATCTTCCCATAACTGTATAGAGGACAGATGAAGTATGTCCAAAAACATAATGTAGAGAAAAATGAGTTTCTTAATCTTACTCTCATATTATAATAATGCAAAATATAACGTTTCAAAAATATTTTGAATTTTGTTTTCTGATATTTAGCATATATATGCTTTGGTAGCATTTACTATTGCCAATTAAAAAGTATAAATGTGTATTAATTTCACAAAAAAAGTGGACATTCTGCATTAATCCCCTATACAGTCAATATATAAGCTATAACTGTAACCGTTATTATACTAACTTTTTGCAACTTTAAATTTTTTAAAAGCAACTTTAATAAATTTCATGTTTTTTTTAAACAATAATAAAATACCATTCATTAAAAATATAAAAAAAAGTTATATATTTTGTTGCAAAAAAAAAAACAGCTTGTATAAACTATGGCAAAAAATGTGTTAGTTAAATCTAAATTATGATTAAAATTATCAATAGGTGACTCATCCAGTGGAATAAGCAGGGAGGAATTCATTGATCAAATCGCACAGGATGTGTTGAATAAATTACCAGCAGAGTTTGATTTGGATAAGATCAGGAAAAATCTGGGCATAGACATCAGCCCAACCACTGTTGTCCTACTTCAGGAGCTGGAGAGGTTTAATCTTCTCATTGGTCGGATGAGGCGATCACTTGTCACTTTAAAAAGGGTATGTCAAATTCAACCCTGCCAATTTATATATATTTTTTAATTTGCAGATGATGCAATAAAATGGTATCATCTTTTCCCTTTTGTGCCCTATACACATGGGGATGATGAAGCTAGTAGATGATGGTCCACAGAGCAGGTGAAGTAGAGTTTACCTGTTTTTTTGTGACTTCGGCATCAGAAGGTATAGCGTGGTCAGCACAATGCCCAGCCGCTTTTACTTTCCCTAACCTGAGTTAGAGACCCATCAGAGCTCTGTGGGTTAAGGCGCGTTCTACTGACTTGAACCCGGATTTGAACTCGAGACTTTCGGGTTAGCAGTCTAGTGCTCAACAGCTAGGCCACACCGCCCCACAGCAAGATAAAGTAAAGGGTTTAAATGACTGGCATCCAAAGGATAGTGTCATCAGCACTATTCCCCACTGAACACATTATCCCCTGATCTAGATCTATAATAATAACGTATATCCTCTGTTTAAGACATTTCATTTTTTAATTAATTATTAATTTGTGTTGTATCTCTAGTAAAAGTATCAATAAATATTGAAGTAGTTAAAAAACCAACTTATGTAGTTATATAGCGCTATTTTAGCTGTGGTTGCCAAAGATATTTCACAATTACAATCTTGTTCCATCCAGGCACTTGCTGGAGAGGTAGGCATGTCCAGTGAATTGGACGATGTTGCTCGGTCAATGTTCAATGGTCAAATTCCTGTCATCTGGAGACGTCTAGCTCCTGATACCTTAAAGTCCCTTGGCAACTGGATGTTACATTTTGAGAGGAGGTTCAAACAATACAACAGCTGGGTAAGTTGACTATTACATTAGAAATTAAATGAAAGTGGTTTTGTCTTTGTCTTTGATTTTATGCATGGATGTTTTTCAAATTTTTACTAACATTTTCTGTTTAAAATAACATTCTATAGTTGCAAAAGTTGAATAGAATTTTATAATATTTTAATGTTAGGATCATTCATAAATAATATCACATTCATAGTAAGGATGGGAGTTTTGTGATGATGTTGATGAAGGGAAAGTGAAGATGTACTTTTAATACATTATTTTACTTTTATCTAATTTTTGTGTGTAAATGTATGATTAAAATTAATCAACAAAGCTATAAATTCAAGTTTATAATGATTAATTATATTTTCAATGAAATGTCAACCAGTAGGTTGTAAAAAGCTATAATAATATTCTCATAAAGGGATATAACTCAATTAAATATTTCGGCTCCGTCCACTTAACTTGGTTATATCCCTTTCCGCAATTGAAGCGGCTGAATAGATCAAATGATGATCTCACAACCATGCATTACAGTCAGACACAAATTTAGACCAGAGTCATAGACCAACTTAATACACTAAAATTAAACTAATGAAAAGAATGAACGGATGTTGAATATTGAGTACGTTTTGTTATTCTCTGCAGGTCAACGAAGCAGAACCCCCAGTGATGTGGCTGTCTGGCCTGCATATCCCCGAGTCGTATCTCACAGCCTTGGTGCAGGCTACATGCCGTAAAAATGGCTGGCCACTGGACAAGTCTACGCTGTACACAGCGGTCACTCAATACAACTCTGCTGATGATGTCACTGAGAGGACAACATCAGGTACATTTTCTCTGCCACAGCAGGCAATTATTTATAGAAACTTCAGGCTCTAACTTACAGTCAGAACAGTATGTGTGAATTCTTTAAAAAAAAACAACCCTGGTTGTATAAAGTATTGAAAAGTGTATCTTAAGTGTTTAATTTCAAAAAGTGACAAACATACCAACATTGAATGCATCACACAGCTTTTAAAATACTATTTGGGATTTAAGTAAATTTAAATGAGACCTCACTATGCCATTATTTATTATTGTTAAAAAAAAGGTTTTCGCATAAATTGAATAAGTGAAAAACGTTAATGACAGAAACTGAATCCACATAACCTTCAGACTACTACAATGACATATGGTTTTATGCTGTACAGGATGTTTTGTTCATGGGCTGTAATTGAACAAAAAAAAAATAAAAGTAGAAACTGAATCCACATAACCTTCAGACATACGACATATGATTTATATGCTTGCAGGATGTTTTGTTCATGGGCTTTAAATACAGTTTTAAAAAATAGCAAAAGAAACTGAATTCACATAACCTTCAGACATACAAAGACATATGATTTATATGTTTGCAGGATGTTTTGTGTCCGGGCTGTACCTACAAGGAGCAGGCTGGGAACAACAGCTGGTGCCACAGAAACCAAAACAGTTAATCCAAGAACTTCCTGTCCTCAAGATCATTCCCATTGAAGCTCACAGGCTGAAACTTCAGGTACTTTATGTGAAACATAGTTTTATAAAGATGTCAATTATGATGATGTTATAACAAAACATAGTTTTATAAAGATGTCAATAATGATGATGTTATAACAAAACATAGTTTTATAAAGATGTCAATAATGATGATGTTATAACTAAACATATTTTTTATAAAAATGCCAACAATGATGATGATATAACAAAACAAGGAGGTGATGTTGGGGGGTGGGGGGTGGGGGCAGGGGTGCATTTTGTGGGTGACACAAAGATCATAAACTTTGTAAAAACAATTTTTTTTAATCCAATTAGAATTATTAAATAGAAATAAATAAAATAAAATAAATAATAAAATAAAAATAAAATAAAATAAATAAATAAAATAAAATAATATTTCCAATATCTGAAGGGGGGGGGGGGGGGGTTGACACCTTCAGTTACAGCACACTGCGACACCTGATCTAGTGACGCCACTGCAACAGGTGGCTTCACCCTATCGTTATTATTTTAGTCAACCTATTTTTAAATATTAGTTATGATGAGTGCAGAGGTAGGAGAAAAAATAAAACATATAGGGCCTATAATTTATACAATGTAAGTTTGTAGATTTATTTTAAATAAAACTATCTTTTTTAAAAAAAAGCCAAAAAAAACAACTAATGAATAGTTTATTTATTAAATTCTTGTGAGTTCCTAATGCAAACAGATCCAGACCTAAATTTTAATAATTTTTCGGATATGGTATGCAAGTAAAAAAATATTAAATTCTTGTGAGTTCCTAATGCAAACAGACCTAAATTTTAATAATTTTTCGGATATGGTATGCAAGTAAAAAAATATTAAATTCTTGTGAGTTCCTAATGCAAACAGACGTAAATTTTAATAATTTTTCGGATATGGTATGCAAGTAAAAAAAATATTTCTCTTTCCAGAACACATTCAGGACACCTGTATACACCACCTCACAGAGACGAAATGCAATGGGCGTTGGTCTTGTGTTTGAAGCTGACCTGGCCACCCAGGAGCATATTTCACATTGGGTCTTACAGGGAGTCTGTCTCATCCTCAACACTGATTAACTCAAGAATATATTTCACATTGTGTTTCATCCTCAACACTGATTAACTCAAGAATATATTTCACATTGTGTCTCATCCTCAACACTGATTAACTCAAGAATATATTTCACATTGTGTTTCATCCTCAACACTGATTAACTTAAGAATATATTTCACATTGTGTCTCATCCTCAACACTGATTAACTTAAGAATATATTCCACATTGTGTTTCATCCTCAACACTGGTCAGATCAAATTAAAAAAAAATTTCAGTACCACACTTGTAAATCATAGACTGCAATAGATTAACAATGTGGAAATCTACTTGTTTTAAATAACTTAATACATCAAATGTCTTTAACAAATAAAATTTACAACTAGTATTATTTTATGAATTACATTGAAATGTTTATAAAAGTATTGGTAAATGTTTCATAAGAATGTTTAGAAAATGGCCTAAATTATTATGTATTATTTATGAAAACTGCTGTGGATATGTATGTTTTAAAGTGTTATATTGTACTTAATGATAGTCATGCTGTTCAATGGAATGTCATTATTTCTTGTTGTAATTATGTAACACTAACAGTAATTTTTAAATTTATTTAGTATGAAATATTTTATAATGATCATTTACTATTGATATATTAAATTTTACATGGCAAAAGATTGTACTATATTTTACATTTAACTTAACATTACATGTGCTAAACACATCAACTGTGATATTCAATAGCATTGTAAAATTGTGTGAATTCCATGTGTGTGGTTGAACTTTCTGATTGCTACAACCACTTCCTGTTTGGCCTTTCTACAGCTGATCACTGACTTCTCCCCAATTGCAATTTAATTAATGTCATTTTTTAATGTATTTTCAAGCATTATGTTTCTCAAAGTTGATTTTGTATTTGTTTTGAAATATCTAAACATTAAATCAAATAGTAAATAATTAATTTTGTTTTAATTTAATGAGGAGACAGAAAATTAGGCTGTTGTAATAATTCAAGTCTCTAAATCAGTGGTTCCACCAGTTTCTTCCCCATTCACCGAACTTTTCTTGGTCATTCTTTCATCCTCACTGACAAAATCCCATCATGAAGCATATGACTTGGGTGTATATATATATATATATATATATATATATATATATATATATATATATATATATATATATGGTCTACTCATATAACTTCCAAAGAAAGGCGATCTTAGTGCATTCTCTAACTATTGAGGGATAAAACTTTTGTCCATCTCAGGAAAAGTCTTCAACATAATATTATTAAACAGAATGAAGGAAGCGATAGACCCCCAGCTTTGAGATCAACATGCAGGCTTTAGGAAGGAAAGGTCATGCGTAGACCAAATTGCTGCCCTGCGCATCATCATTGAACAGACCCAAGAGTGGAACTAATTTCTCTATATTAATTTCATAGATTTACGAGAAGGCCTTTGATAGCCTGGATAGACAGTCAGTGTGGAATTTGTTGAGACACTACGGGGTGCCACAGAAAATAGTCAGCATTATTATGTCTTCAAATGAAGGTCTGAAATGTAGAGTAGTGCATGGCCAACAGACTACAGAGGCCTTCCCAGTACGGACCGGAGTAAGGCAGGGTTGCCTACTTTCACCATTCCTGTTCCTACTGGCCATAGACTGGGTTATGAAGATGTCAACAGAGAAAACGCGAAACGGTATACAGTGGACACTGTGGAGCCAGCTGGATGACCTGGACTTTGCTGACGACTTCTGGCCCTTCTTTCTCACACACAACAGGAAATGCAAGATAAAACCAACAGTGTTGCTAATTTCTCTACATGCCTGGGCCTGAACATCCACAGAGGGAAAAGTAAAGTTCTCAAAGTCAATGCATCAAACAGTAACCCTATAACATTGGCAGAAGAAGCCCTAGAATGGGTGGATAGATTCATCTTCATTGGAAGTATTGTTGATAAGCAGGGTGGGACAGAAGCAGACATAAAAATAAGGACGGGCAAGGCAAGAGCAGTCTTCAACCAACTAAAAAATGTTTGGGGTTCTGGAGATTTAACCCTTGGAATAAAAATTCCGGATCTTCAACACACTAGTAAAACATGTTTTACTCTATGGAGCTGAGACATATATATATATATATATATATATATATATATATATATATATATATATATATATATATTTGTAGACTGTCGCACTAAATTTTTTATTAATTTTTAAATTATTAAGTATATCCACCATAAGACAAACAACACAGTGATAGGCTAAAACTCATTTCTGGTCTGAAATAATCTAGTTTTAAAATATCTTATTTATGCCCGCCGAAAATTTGTGAAAAAAGTCATGGAAGTGATTTAAAGGTTTGCTATTTTTCATACTACAACTACAACTTATGTAGTTGTTTTTCTCTACTCAACAGTGTGTGTTAGTTACTGTAGAACAATCACTGCTGTAGTCTATTTATTTTATGTTATCACAAAACCACTAGTCTATGAAGGTGCAAACAATGTATATTTTTGTATCGGATTTTGCTCCCCCTTCCCCCTAAATACCCCCCCCCTCTCGCCGCATTGCATGGGTCTGGCGGTATAGTAGTTCAGACCCTGTAATTAATTTCAATTTTGAAAAACTGCGCTCTCCACTTGCCACGGACACTGGTAGTGTTACAGTATTCTCAAGGAAACAACACCACTTGGTACACAATCTTCCAATTTTGGTTGTACTATGTAGAGAAGCACATCTGATGGGGACTTATGCTTAAGAAGCTACTACTTGAAGCTCATTGCAAAGATCTACAGCATCAATAATCAATATACTTATTAACTTTATGCATTCACGACGTTTCTAAACGTTTGCAGTCAGTAAATAAATACGCAGGTGTCTTTTTGTTGATATAGGATATAACATAAAGATAGCCAAATGGACTATTATGTTGTTCTAATTGTTGGAACATCTCTTCCAAATACTGCATTCATATATGCAAGATAGTGTAATAGAACTCTACTTTGAAACGCTGTTTAGGGTCTTGTGGTGCCAACAAGATTTCTAATTGAAAGTATAAGAAAACAAGACTTACACGTCCTATTAAAAATCAAAATTACACGCGTTTTACACGTTATGCGCTAAATCAACATTAACATTATATAATCATCGAAAATATTTGAAATTTTAAAATTTAGATTAGACACAAAATGGGTTGGAAAAATAAATCGAAAGTTTGAGGGGGGGGGGGGGGTGCAAATCGAAAGCTTGAAAGGGGGGGATGCAAATCGAAAGTTTGTCCCCGGCAGTGTTTCTTCCAGACTTTTTTCTCGGAGGGGGGGGCACTTTAAATTTTTTGGGGGGGGGGGGGGGCGGTAGACTTTCTTTGGGGGGGGGGGGGCGGACACTGTTAAAAGTCTGTATTTTCTATATAAATTATATAAATTTCATTTCGTTCGGGGGGGGGGGGGGGGGGCTGGAAGAAACTCTGGTCCCCGGGCGCCGGGAAGGGTCGCTACGCCTTTGGGGGGGGGGGGGGGGCATAATTTTTTTTTTTTTTAATTTCTGCTTTAAGGTGGACATCCCATAATTCTGGGGTGGCATAAATGTAAGCCTTGCTAGGGGGGGATACCTAATATCTACCCTTCTAGGCTTATCTAACTAACTACTGTCCGGTCAGTGCAAGCCCGGATAAACCCAGACTGGTTAATAACCTAACCTTAGTCTAAAATAAAAAAAAACTACTAAAATAAAACAAAAAAACTTAAACAATATAATAAAATTTATTTAACAAAATAATAAATATGGAACCAAAAGTTATTATAAAAAAACCAGAATCTAGATCTAGACAAAATAAAACACTCAAGACATACAAAACAAACAGAACTCAACGAAACAAAACACCCAATCTCGGACCACCGTCCATACACCATATAAACGTGACACAGAAACTCTTCAACACACAGGCCTCGACATTCCAGCAGAATGTCCCTCCATGTCGACACACCACATTCACGAACAAAGAAACCAATACTACGAACAAAGAAACCAATGCTACGCACAAGAAAATAGTCCCTAATACAATAATAAGTAACATTCAGGACATAAAGCAAAGTGGAGCAACAATCCAAAACAAAGTTTGCATAAATAATAACATTAAAATATAAACAAGACACAATAACCAGGCTACAAACCATTGTAAAATCAAAATCATATCAGCGCCATAATAGCGGACTACTTAACTAAAAACCACAACAATCCTCAAAGGAACATAAAAAGCGACATTCGCCTTCTTAGTTACAAATAATTATAATAACAGATAAACACACTCCAGCCGCTCACATACACGCCCCTTAAAGCTTGCGGTCACTGCAAGCTAAATAACTTGAAAAAAATCAGCCCACAGGGCACAATCATAATTTTACAAAAACAACTTGAAAAAAATCAGCCCACAGGGCACAATCATAAATGTTACAAAAAAACAAAAACTTTGCAAAAAAAAAACCAGCCCACAGGGCACAATCACAATTTTTGCAAAACACAATTTTGAAAGAACTTGCAAAAAAATCAGCCCACAGGGCACAATCATACATTTTACAAAAAACAAAATTTTGCAAAAAAATCAGACGATGTGGCTGTAGCAGCCGGCGGTACAACTTTGACCGGCCTTGGGGAGGGCGGTTGAGCCTTGGGAGGCACATATCTCCTAATCTGTGTGCTGGCCACCCGGCGGGTGCCAGAAGGGCCATCTTTCTTTTTAATGGCATAACCCCCGCCGGTGATCGGAGGTAATTCGACCACGACATAAACTGTCGGGCCGTCCAGGTCTGCTATTTTGCGTCTGCCAAGTGGGGGTTGTCTCAGAAGGACCAGGTCGCCTATGGCCAGTTCAGCTACAGGTGCCTTTTTGACCAGTTTGTCCTTCTTGCTTGACTCTGTCTGGGGGCATGCCCCAGCACCACCACCCGGTGCCTTAATTAAGGATGGGTTAGGTGGAACCATTGCCTCTAGTTCCTCAGATTGGTCCACCTTTACACTGGTTATGCTGGCGCGTAGGCAGGATGTTGGGCCTGATACCACTGACGGATCTGGGTGAAAAGGTTGGTCTAATGGCTGTACCACCTTGTCGTCTTTCATTCTGGGGTCTCCTTCCGTCGCCTGAATGGTTGGTACACCCTTGGCAGGCACCATAGTCCTTTCGCGGGGGCGTAGGACCTTGTCCCCTCGCCATACCTTCGGTGTCACTTGATTCCCTTTGGTCTCATATTTCTTTGCCATATGGCAATGACGGGCGAGGTGACCCCTCTGGTGACAGTTATAGCAGCCCTTTGATTGGACCTCCGCGCGCTTGCGAGGTGCTTGGCGCACATTGGAAAATTTGGGGTCCCGCGTAAAGTGCTTCAGCAGAGCAGCAAGCTGCTTGGTGAGCCTGTTGACTTTGTCCTCCAGCTTGGACCTGAACGAACATTTTTCAATGGGCCTGGCATTTATTGCTGCCACGTAGGCAGGTTCAGCAAGAGGGTCCTCGTCTCCAGACCATCGAATGGCCGCATCACGTATGGCCAGGAAGGGGAGCTTGGGGTCCCGAAAAATCAGCTCGTGCAGATGGCGTCTGACTGTGGCCTGGCTCAGGTTTTCCACAAACTGGTCTCGAAGAAACCCTGCATCAGTCTGTGGGACCTGCAGGGCACTCTGCCTCGTAA